ATTTTCAAGACTTGATGTTATTATTTTTGTCATCATTCTATTTTTGCTGCTAGATAGCCAAGAAAGAAAGATACTTATTATTTATTTATTTATTTAGTTTTATTATATTTTCTATCTAGTTGAAGATAATTTTTTCTTAAAATAATTTGATTTATACTGTTGAATTAAGTGGCATCTTCAATTTTTCACAAAATTGATGAATTAAATATTATTTTAACATATTTTAGTATAGATGTAGTGATTAAAATATATTTTATATTCGAGTAATGTATGAAATATAATAATCATAATTATTTTTTAAAAAATCACATGATAAATCTGATAAAACTCCTAATTCCATCCAAATATGTTAGAATTCCAATATAATTTCAAATTTTTAAAATTCCATTTAAATTTATTAGATTTTATCCATCTATTTTACTAAATAAATAGAATTCAAATCTAATATCATCCTATTCAAATATGACTCATTGAGAGCCCTATCCACAGCAACCAAATCAGGTAGATACTATTACAAGACATAAATACTCTGTTTTCACATTTAATAAAGACAAAACAAACAATGGACTACTAGTGCGTCGTCTTTCTTATCTTCTCTCCTAAATCTAGGAAGTGGTGTTGGTAGATAAGTACATAACTAAATTCTATCTCCACCAATCCTCTCTCTCTCTCTCTCTCTCTCTCTCTCTCTCGTTTTGGCATAAGGGCCTACCTTTTTTGTTCCTTTCATTTTAGAAACTTGATGCTTTCTCTTCCACCAAATAAGGTTTTGGCTTTGCTAACTTCTCCAAAAAACCAACACGGTGACATGAACCCAACACAGCTCTTCTCTTATCCACACGCTATCTTTTCTTGCCTCCACCGTTCACGTCTTAATCATCTTCACTCACAATCACCCTCCTTGTCTTTTTCTTATCAAATTCATGTGATATTTACTTTTGGGGTTTGATATTTCTCTATCTTTCTAGAAACGCTTTGTTGTCTATCTCTTGAATTATCAATTTCCTTGATTATTTGATTCAAAGATTGAAACTTTTGTTACCAAAGACAAAAACAGATTACAAATTTAGAAGTTTTGTTGATAGCCCATTTAGGTTTTGTAAGTTTATACGATGCTATGGCCCTGAGTGAGGCTTTGTATGCGATGTTAGAGAATCCCTCTTCACTGGTTGGGGTATGTACGGAAATGGTGGGTTTTTTAGGTCCGTTGTGGATAGCTTTTCTCATTGGTTTAGTGCTTGGATGGTCATGGAAGCCGAAATGGGTGACCAGGGAAAGTGACAAATTGACTTGTTGTGTATCAAAGATATTGGATTCATCGTTGCCATCTTCACCCTGTCGGTCTTTGATGTCTCCGTTGAAGACTTTTGGTTCAATTTCACGGTGGAATTCATTCATGATGAGGTCCTCAACTTGTGACACTTCTTGGGTTGTGAATAATAATAACAATTCAGTGCATCAGAATCTACCTCCTGTGCCTTCTACAGAATATGAAGATTGCAGGTACCAGCCCTTATCGAAGTGTCTAGTTTTCATTATCAAAAAAAAGATTTAAGCAGTTTTTTTATGAATTTAGAAGTTTGTTAGTGGTATTTGTTTTATCTGTTGTTAAATAAGGGATAAAGCTCTGAATCATTTTGTGGAATTGAAATTCGTAATCTTTGATTAGTTGTTTCTAAAGCATTAGACATTGACAACATGTTGTCACATTTATGCTAAACCTCAGGTTGCTTTTACCATCGTGTAACTTGTGGTTTTTGCGTGAAAGTATGGAATGTAATGAGAACCTTGAGTCTCTGCAAATACTAGGATTGGATGAAGCAGGAACCAAAAAATCGAGGATTCAATGTGGTAGCAACTTGCAGTTTCATAATGATCTCATGCTTTGTGATTCGTTTAGTATTATCAATTGTTGGGGTTGACACACAATGAGAACTTTGTCTTTATAGGATGGCCAAAAATGGTTTTGGATAATTGGTAAAGAAAAATGTATATGAGCCTAGTCTGAGGCGAGTAAATAATTTGTTATTTGTACTTGTCTATTAGGTCTCAGCTGAATGAAGAGCAGTCTAATGTTGCCAGTCTAGTCACAGAGGAGGATTTAGAACACTTGTACCAGCTTGTTGAGGGGAAAGATGGAGGTCCCACTTGGATACGTATGATGGATCGTTCCACCCCAACTATGAGTTACAAAGCATGGAGGAGAGATCATGCGGTAGACTTTTCTCTCTTATTCAAACAGTAATTTATTTCAGTCCAGCAGCTGTACTGGGTCTTCAGATTCAGTTTGGTTGGAATTTCAGCAACTTTCTTTCATGCAATTTGATATATTTCGAATGTATGCCATTTTGTTGATCAATTCTTGTTTTGATGGGTTGTTAGACTGGTCCTCCACAATATCGTAGCAGTACTGTCTTTGAGGATGCCTCGCCAGAGATAGTAAGAGATTTCTTTTGGGATGATGATTTCCGGCCAAAGTGGGATGACATGCTTGCTTATTCTGCAATATTGGAAGAATGTCCCACTACAGGGACTATGCTAGTGCATTGGATACGAAAAGTGAGTCTTTCCTTCATATGTTCTAATTCATAGCTTCTCTTGGTTTTATGTGCTCATGTCCTTCCAATGCTTTGTGTTGCAGTTCCCCTTTTTCTGTAGTGACAGAGAATACATAATAGGTCGGCGAATATGGGAGTCAGGCAGATCTTATTACTGTGTGACAAAGGTATGAAACAGGAGTTAGTTATTCAATTTTTATCAATTTTGTACCATAATAATAGCATTAAGTAGCATCTACTTAGTACCTATCTCCATTTTGAACATGGAAAATGAATTCAGCCATCTGTAAGGTAATTGATTGCCACTGGCTTAAAATTGGGACTGCTAATGCTAACTAAGGTAGACCTGATCTTCTGTAACCCTCCATTTTGAATCTCCCCAGCCATAGGGTACAAATAAATAATTGATTGCCACTGGCTTAAAATTGGAATGGCTTAAGCAGAGATGTGCTTCTTAGAGTGCGTAATTCTTATCTTGGTAACACAAGTAAAGAGAAATTAAAAGAAAGGATTGATGAGATATACTTTTGAAGGATGCATTTAAATCATTAAATAACCCTGTTTATGAAATACAAATTTCCTAGGTGATGATGTTGGATTTGAGTGTAAAAAGCAGCTTGATTCTAGACCCTATCTGATTGGGGTAGATTGACAAAAAAATTTACTTGTGTACATTATGGGGATTAAATGTAACAAAAATTATACCAGCAGGGAATGAGCATCGAAGAGAATGTTTGATTTGAAATGATACATAATGGTAGGGATGGAAAAGACTTATTCCTTTTCTTTATGAGGGACTCCCTCAGTCTATTTACAGTACTCAGCATTCTTTGAGAACTACATTTATTGCTCCAAATCATAACCTCTTCCTACTAGAGGGAGAGAGAGCATTGGACTGCAAGGTCTTGTGGAAAAAAGACTTTCTTTGGAATTCTGCAATCTCATCAATTGGCATGTTTATTATGTTTGCTTGCTTTCTTTTGTAATCATCAGTGAGAATTTGGACTTCCAATATGATTGGCTACTTTTCCTAACAAATTTCAGGGAGTACCCTGTTCTTCTGTCCCAAGGCGAGATAAACCAAGGCGTGTTGACCTATACTACTCAAGTTGGTGCATTCGAGCAGGTACATTATAGCTTCTTCCTTTCTGTCATTTAATTGAATAGACCCTTTGTATATCAGCATGAAACAGCCCTTCAGGTTCAAGTTACCAGAATATTGGGCAATTGCTTCCCCTCCCCTTAAATAGGTAGTCTGTAAGTGTTTTGACCCGACAACAGCTTTAAGTGTTTTGTGCTATTGTTTGTTATGAGACTCAGAATAGCGAGTAACAACTAAATATTTTCAATTACACTGGCTCAGTGGAATCAAGAAAAGGTGATGGCCAGCTGACAGCTTGCGAGGTATTACTCTTCCATCATGAAGACATGGGCATCCCATGGGAAATTGCTAAGCTTGGAGTGCGGCAGGGCATGTGGGGAACTGTCAAGAAGGTTGAGCCTGGTTTACGTGCCTACCAAAAAGAAAGAGCATCGGGGGTAGCACTTTCTCGGTCTGCTTTCATGGCTCAGATTAATACTAAAATAAATCCAGAGTTGCTTAGATCCTTGGAAGGTGATGAGGATTTGTCAAAGACTGAAGCAGCGACTCCGTCCGAGAAGTCTTTGGGCAGGAACATACCAAAGCTTCTGATTATTACTGGGGCTATTGCACTCGCATGCAGTTTTGATCGGGGACTCTTGACTAAGGCATTTATATTCAGTGTGGGAAGAAGGTTTGGAAACATGGGAAAGAACGCAAAATTGAACGCTGGAAGTGCTTGAAAGTTGAAAACCATTATTTTTCATTATCCAAATTGTGAGATGCTCTATTTGTAACCTGTCGTGTCACTCTTCCCTTTTCAATGGTAGTGGTAGGTTATATAATGCTTCACAAACATAATGATGTTACGAGGATGTATATACTAAAAGCAGAAATTTTCTATTCAATCAATGAAAACACACAATTCATGGTCTATATATCTTCTGTTCCACAAGATGCTGTCGTTGTTTATGTTCATCAATCGCATCTTAGCCCACTCGTTGCAGAGATATTTGTTGGCAGAATGTTCTGTGCTTTGATGGCATAGCTTCTCTCATATTATCAGTTCTAAAACAGTCACGACAAATCAGCAAATGAAATGTTATAGAACGAGAAGCTACATTGGAGATACCCTCTTTCTGATCTCCTCCAATTCAACCTCTTTCGTTGCATGCCAGAAGAAATAACAAATAGTAAATCATAATCAGCAAATGTTTAGGCTAAAAATATAGCACTACTCTTGAGTGCCTTGAATGTCTAATCTATGCATGACTAGCTATGACAGAAGCAGTAAATCATTTTTGGAGAAAGAAGGCGATTTCCTTTCTTTATCATTAATTAACCACAAAGACCAAGCAGAATCAATGACATATTAATGTTTCAAAACAGTTTAACCCATCCAGTTGGGGTGCTAATTTTGGCATCTCACTGGCTTTCTTCACTTTTTCCACCATGTTTTCACGAGATGCTCTCATTCTGCTTCCCAACTCCTGAACATATAACAATTTAACAAGATTTAGCTTGGATTCTTCCACATAAAAAAGAACTAAAAAAACTACAGGTTAAAAGAAAAAAGGGAAATTTATGAAGGAACCTGTGAGTTACCTGAGCTTTGGAGTGGCTTTTGTCAAGGAAATAAATCCCAGCTGCAGCAACAATAGCTGGTACTGTCACAGACACTGCACCCATTGCCATCTTCCTATGTTATTCTTGAAGACAATGGCCTGCAATGACACAACTTTATACAGAGAAACACTAAAGATGGGGTAAAGCAATAACAAGGGAACTTGAGATGCCTTGCTAGTGAAGAGAAGTAAAGAATGATAAAAGAGAGAAAAGAAAGGCAAGAAAGAAAGGCACAAAAGGACTATTTGGTATGGTATTATGACTAGTAAAAACAACTTGGAAATTCCTATTTGAGAAAGGTTCCCTCTTTGCTTGTATAATTTATAATATCTTAGGCTCTCTTTAGGGCTTTGAGGGGAAAAAGATAATCCTATCCAATTCCTATGTCATCAATCCCATTGGACAAAGTTTCCTCCTGAGAATAAAAAGTTAGCCACGTCAAGAGGGAGTGAGCCGACCACAGACGTTCTTGCCACTTCGCTATCATCTCTTATCTTTCAAGCCACTTGCAGTTTGTACCTTGTGAAAAAGTGGATGCTGTCTTATTTCCATCATGTGAGGATATTAAAACCCCTAGGGCACACCAAATTCATTTCATTGATTGACCTAATGATTGTTAAGACAAATATGTTTATATTTAAGTAATTATATGTTGATTTTAATAATTGTATTCGATTTTGATCTGGGTTAGAAAAGAAAAATATAAGAATGTTTATCGTTATAATTTTTTTAAAATTTATTATCAGATGTTTTAACTCTGTCAACTGAGAGCGTAAAATATAATTTTTTAAAAATAAAATGTGTGAGTGTTAAAAACACAATACTAGAGGACGCTCAAAATAATTTTGAAAAAAACCATTTACAGGTATGAAAAACATGACAATTAGAGGGTCAATTTCTTGAATGTCTTTATTGAGCGTAAAGGAAGGATTTTTAATTAGAAACATGAGCTAATAACAAGAGCTTGAAAAACAAGAAATATACATCAAGAAATATGGTATGTAAAACGTGATGCTTTTGCAAGTGTTGATGATAAGTTAGGTGCAAAGTATCGATGAAAAATATCAATCAACGCTAAGAAAAGAACCCAATTGAAAAATATGTGAAACATATGAGATTCAATTGGTAATTGTCGTTTGAATTTTAGGGTTGGAGAAGCCAATGGGATTCTGGAGAAATGGTGACCTTTTTGCTGAAACTAGTAATGGTAAGCAGCTCATATATGCCCTTACCGTGCAAGAGATTAAGGTACCCAGCAGTATACAACTTGTTCCTTCCTTGGAATCCCAATTTTCATGGGAGAGTTAAGGATCAAGAGTTTCAAGATCAGAGCAATTTCATAAGATGTAGTTGGTGATTCATTTCGTTCCTTCTTCAGTTCTGTCTCTTTGGTCGGTGAATTTATGTAATCTCTAAAGCAACAAATTTTAAACTTTGTTTTGGTTTCTCTAAAGGAAATTCTAATAAAAATTGAATTACTGATACTGAATTTACTGATAAACGAAAAAATGAATCTTATAACTGCAGATTGATTGAATTACATGAATGGAGGATGAGCAAATATACAATATATACACAAAAAATTGAAGGCTCAGTAAGGAAGTATGGTCTCGAAACAGTGAACGCCATCCAACTCTGGAGCAAACCTTGGTCTCCTCTTCTGTTGCTGTGATGACTTGTTAATGTTTTCAGGAGGTGATGTTGATGACTTGTCCTTGTTCCCTTCAGACATCCCACTCTTCTTCATAGGCTCAACTCCTGGTTTGTTCCCTTCTTTGGGAGTGCTGAAAGAGAACTTGAGCTTCTGCCCAAATGTTTCTGCAGACAGTGCATCAAATGAACTGAACATAGACATCATCATGATTGTCTTTTCTCAAGGCTTAACAACGTTCGTTTTTGAGATTTCAAGAAAAGGGCTTTTTTTTTTTCTTGAATTAGGATTTCTAACTTGGATTGGATTGAGAGAGGGAGAGAGAGGAGGGATATAAAGGATGGAGGAAATCATAAATTCCTAGAAACATCTGGAAAGACGTACGCGGTGGAAGAGAGGTGTAAAGGTCAGACCAGGGCACGACTTGGTCCAGTTATAGTTTTGCAAACTGGATAAAGAATCTCCACAGTTCATTTGCTTGCGTGGAGGTGTACATTAGGACTGACTTTTCCAAGTTCCAACATGGTGGCACGTGTAAGCCGTCGAGACTTCTCTGGACTGAGCTGGAAACTTCCGTTAGGACTAGAGTTTCCAAGTTCCAACATGGCGGTTCGCGTAAGGCTGTCGAGACTTCTTTGGACTGAGCTGGAAACTCACCTTGTGCATGATCAAGGAAGGTTCGGTTGCGTTTGGACAAGCCACGTGGATGTCCATCTGTGGAGGAGACTGGAGATAGAATCGTAACCTGTTCCCATTATTCATGGATTGCATCACTTTTTGGTGATCAAGGAAGATATTTAAAATTGATTAAAATCATATATATTCAGACAAACTTATCATTCTTTTGATGACAATATGTCATAAATTAGTGCATGATCAACAAATTTTCTGTTTTTATTAAGAGCTAATTAAGCTACATATAGCTTCTTTCAACACCTAAACTTTATTTTTTCAACAAATAAATTTATAGGTTGAGATTGACCTATATTCTTTTATGTAATTTTTTTTAATTGATTACAAACATTTCATGTTTATTGATCACAAAATCACAAACATCTCATGTTCATTGTTCACAAAGAGTGTATTCTTTTATGCAATCATTTGCACGTACTATACTTATTCAAGGCGAAATGTAAATTGGCAAAACTGCCTATGTATTTCGTAAAACAGTGAATTCTTTTATAATAGAGTATAAATGACAAAGGTATTATCCAAGTATCGATAACTTCGTTCTTTCCAAACGTGTCGAGGAAATTAGAAATTAGTTCTTTTATTTTTTTCAAAAAACAAATTAAATAATCTTTTTAGTTTTAAAAACTAATTAATTAGTTTTTTATATTTTTATAATATATATATATATATATATATATGATGAGGAAAACAGATTTTTTTAGAATAAAATAATGTTAAATTAACTATAGCCAATACTGATTAAGAATTTAATTAATTAGTTTTTCAAATAAAAGGATTATTTAATTTATTTTTCGGAATCAGAGCAATTCATAAGATATTGTTGTTGGCGATTCATTTCTTTCGTTCTTCAGTTCTGTCTTTTTGATGACGAATTAACGTAATCTCTGAAGCAACAAATTTGAGACTTCGTTTTGGCTTCTCTAAAGGAAACTCTAATAAAAATTGAATTACTGATTCTGAATTTACTGATAGACGAAAAATGGATCTTATAACTGCAGATTGATTGAATTACATGAATGGAGGATGAGCAAATATATAATATATACACAAAAAATTGAAGGCTCAATAAGGAAGTATGGTCTCGAAACAGTGAACTCCATCCAACTCTGGAGCAAACCTTGGTCTCCTCTTCTGTTGCTGTGATGACTTGTTAATGTTTGCAGGAGGTGATGTTGATGACTTGTCCTTGTTCCCTTCAGACATCACACTCTTCTTCATAGACTCAACTTCTGGTTTGTTCCCTTCGTTTGGAGGACTGAAAGAGAACTTGAGCTTCTGCCCAAATGATTCTGCACACAGTGCATCAAATGAACTGAACATCGACATCATCATTACTGAGACTCGAATAAAAAAGATGGGCTCTGCTCGTTTCTTCTTTTTTGTTACAAAAACTAAGCAAGCAATCTAAGATTGTCTTTTTAAGGCTTAACAACGTTTGTTTTTGAAATTTCAAGAAAAGGGTTTTCTTTTTTGTTCTTGAACCAGGATTTCTAGCTTGGATTGGATCGAGGAAGGGAGAGACGAGGGTTATAAAGGGTGGAGGAAATCATAAATTTCTACCTAGAAACATCTCGACAAACTTGCGCGGTGGAAGGAAGGTGTAAAGGTTGGACCAGTGGATGACTTGTTCGTGATACTTTACCAACTGGATAAGATATCTCCACCGCTCATTGGCTTACGTGGAGGGCGGAGATCAAGTTGAACTTGTAATAAAAAAGATGTATTGGACATTAGGACTGACTTTCTGAGTTCCATCAACATGGTGATACGTGTAGCGCTGTCGGGACTTCTCTGGACAGAACTGGAAACTCACCTTGTGCATTGATCAAGGAAGGTTCGGTTGTTGCAGATGACATGGTGACCCAAATGGGGACAACTATTGGAGGTTGGGTTTGGACAAGCCACGTTGATGTCCGTTTGTGGAGGAGATTGGTGATGGGACCGTAACTTGTTCCAACATGTAAAGGAAGTGGTGGTCAATGTGTTTTCTTCGTCAAGAAAGTGGGTTTAGTCCATTTTGACAAGCCAAGCCATGTTGTTGGACATCCATATGTTTTTGTGAAACGAGATTTACTTGGTGAATCAACCTATTATGTATATACACAACATCAAAAAAATAGCTAAACAAGCTCAATTTATCTTATATTAAATTGATGCTGTACATCAGAACTGACTTTCTAAGTTTATATGTTACATGGTTATTCGGTTTTTCGTTTCGATTTTTAATTAATCAAATTGATTGAAATAAAAATTAAAATCGAACTGAATTGTGATTCGGTTTATCGATTTTTTTAATTAAAAAATTAAATTTTTTATTTTGATATTTTGATTTTCGGTTAAAATTGGTTTTTATTTTTGTATTTTTTTTTAAATTTTGAATTTTCTTTTAAATTAAACTGAAAAATCACTTTTTTTATAATTTTTTTTTCAATTTAAAAAAATACTAATAGATTGAATTGAGGTTTTAGCAAAAAAAATCATAAAAAATACTATAAGTTTTGGATATCCGTATTAAAAAAAAACACCAGAATCGAAATATTTTAATTTTTGATTTTTTTAATTTTTTATACAAAATTGAATCGAAATATTTTTAGTTTTTTATTTTGATTTTTTTTAATACAAAATCTAATCAAAATTATTAATTCAATTCGATTTTATTTTTTAATTTTAACTAAATAGTGCTGATTCCAAATTTAGTCAATTTTGACAAGCCAAGCCACATCCATGACTTTTGTGAAACGAGATTTGCTTGGAGATTCAACCTATCGTGTATGTACACAACATCAAAAAAATAGCTAAATAAGCTCAATTAAACTTATATTAAATTGATGTTGAACATCAGAACTGACTTTCTAGGCTCACGTGTAGCCCGTAGGGCTGTCGGGACTTCTCTGGGCCAAGCTGGAAACTCACCACGTGCATTGATCAAGGAAGGTTCGGCTGTTGCTGCGGACATGGTAATCCAAATAGGGACAACTATTGGAGGTTGGGTTCTGACAAGCCACGTTGATGTTCTTTTGTAGACAACCATAATTTTAAGTACTGATCTTACTTTATATAACGGTATAATTTCGAAGCATTTTATTATTATTGGTTTAATAATGTAATAAATCATAATTTATAATAATGATCATGATCATAATTGTGATTATTTTTTCAATTTATTCAAAATTTAAAACTATGGTTACAACATATCTAGGAAGTGGTGGTCGGTGAGAAATTTTATAACACATCGAAGTAACTCAGTGGCGTATACAATAATTACTTTATACGTCTATTTTGAGGAGAGAGATAAACACATAAAAAAATAATAAAATTACATCCATATTTATAAAAAAATAATAAGAAGATTTTTACGTCCGTTCAAATTTTTGTATTTTCTCTTTCCTGGTTTTTTTTATTTATTAATTTCTCTCTTGGCTATCTTTTCACCATGTGAGCATCTGTCTCTTGGGTCTGCTGGCTTGGTTCCAAGTCTGTTCTGGTGGATTTGGAATAGGTGCTGTAGGATTTGGCTGGGCCACAATTTCATCTTATCTTGGGAATCCACTGGCCAGTCCAGGTTTGCTACTGCCAATGTTGTTGTTGGATTTGTTCTGATAATGTCTGTAATGACACCCCTCTGGCTCAATGTCTACAATGCCAAGAACTTCTCATTGTATTCCAGTGGCTTATTTACAGCGACGGTTCAGGAACCGGTCTCGCTAAAGTTAGGTGTATTGGGCCAGTTGTATATAAGCCCATTAGGGTTTTAATAAACCTAGCCGCCTACGTTATAAATAGAGACAACATCTCTTCTGTTTGGAGCCGCTAATTGAAAAATTCTATTAAGAACTGCTAGTGCTTTTTCTATATGCACGAGATGGTTCACCCTTTTCTCAGATTTCCTCGGCAGCTTCTTCAATGGACCTACATTATATTCCACATCACCACCATTCTCCTTCACTTCCTCACTCTCCACCCCTCAATCTCCAATTCAGTTCCCTTCTTCGTTCCAATTGTTCCCAAATCATTAGCTTCAATCAAATGCCCATTTCCAATCTTCACTCTAGACTTGAGATTAGAGTCTAGATGATTGAAAGAGCTTTCATTTGCTGTCATATGTTTTTTGAATTCTGCTTGTGTCATCCTCTCTTGTTTCTTTTCGCTTGCCATTTCTTTCTGGCCTTAGTCTTCTCCATGCCAGCCTTAGTGGAGGCGGCAATGTTAGCTGCGTTTTCCTTCATGCCCTGCATTTTCACTTTCCTTGTTTATTTCTTATCAACTCAATGTATTCTCTGTCTCTCCCTCATTTTTATTGGAGAACGATGGTGGTGTGGAAGATAATGAAGGTCCATTAAGGAAGAAGATGAGGAATTGAATTTTGCCGAGATTGATCATGTGAGATAGTGCTTGGAGAGAAGCATAGAAAAAGCAAGAACAAGAAAAGAATGCTTTCTCTGAGAGTAGAAAGAAGAAATGAGTCTCTGAGAGTAATGGACTGGAAAGTGAGAAAAAGAGTGAAAATTGTGATGTGAATAACGGGACGATGGGTGGAAAGGGTGGGAAGAAGGGTATTGAATCGAGGATTGAGGGATGGAGAGTGAGGAAGGGAAGGAGAATGGTGAAGAAGAAAAGTGGTTTCAAAGGAAGAGGAAGGTAAAGCAGAGTGAGAGGGAAAAAACTTGAGAGAAGAGAGATAAAGAAAACCCTCCCCTTGTTTCTTGCTGATTCTTGCAGACGCATATTGTGTTGATTTTAGTGTGTTTTTTTTTTATGTTTTTAATGATTTGATAGTGATCTAACAAATACATGTTGTGTTTCTCTGTAATACTTGCAAATTTGTTGTTGTTTTGTACACAAAGACACAAGCTGGTTATTGAGCCAACAGTAGTGGTACGAGAGCTGACAGAAACGTTATAATCATGTGGAACCTTCCTTCTGCATTTTAGTGGCTAAAGCTTTGGTGGGAACCCTTGGTAAGGATGCTTCGAGAGGCTGATGTTGGAGTCTGTAAGCTTCATTACATGCACTCTTAACACATGGCATTAGTTGATGTAACACAAAGGGGAAGCAGTAGAAGTGGCATGAATCCATCATTTATACTTGTGTCAAAATTCTTCAGAAATAATCCTTACACCATTGTTGAATCTTAAACATTTTATTCTATAAATTATAATATTCAGAAGAGTTGATCAAACAGTAAAATACTCAGAGTTGGAAAAGCCAACATCGTTTGCAAAAATGAAATAATATTTTTGCAGCAAATCCTGTCATCAGAATAGAAATAGACGTTGTGTTGGTGGGTCATTCAGCAGCAAATGGTGAAGATGAATTAATCCTTTTGATATTTACTGATTTATTTGTTTTTGTTTGAAGAAATTGTTCTAGCAAACTAGCCAATTCTCTTTGGGCTTTGACTTCTATTCTATCATGTTTCTTTCCTCGATCTTCAACTTCTTCCTTAATTTGGATTGCCTCTTGTAGTTGCATGAAGTTATTATATACACCATATTATACACAAATAAAACTCTATATGTATTTATTTGTGTCGTTATTTGGTTTGCAAGCGTGTTTTGAACAATATGTAAGTTATTACAAACCTTTCTCTCTTTCTTTCTCTCTCTTTTTTCGGTTTCTCTCTTTTGTTTTTTCTTTCTTTTTCTTTCCTCTCCTTCTTCCTCCCTCCTGGCCGATTGCTCCTCTCCATGGACGAACCAGTCATGGTCCTTCCTCTTGCCGAAACTGCCATGGACGAACCAGTCCATGGCCACCTAATTCTTTCCCTTTTTCTTCTTTCCTTCCTTTCCTCCTTTCTAGAATTCTTAATTTCCCTCTAGATCGAAAACCCCAAATCAATTTTTTCAAAAAAAATCCCCAATTTGGCCGAACCCTAAGTTTTGATTTTTCTTCAATTTTTTTGTCCAAATGGGTCTAATTGACTTGATTTCTCTTGAAATTAAGTCAATTCAAGCCTTTTAGGATTCGAATTTTTGAAAACCCCCAAATCAATTTTTGCCCAAAAATTCTCAGGAACCCTAGGTTTCAATTGGTGTCAATTGCGCTTCAATTTCGGGTTTAAACCCCAAATTGAAACCTAATTGAATTCATGTAGCCCTAATTTTAAACCCCAAACATCAATTTCTAATCAAACAACAAAACCCCCAAATTTGAACATTGACAGTGCAATTAAAAAATTAAGCGAAATTGGTTTACCTAGAAGAAATTGACTTGAGAAAAATGATGAGATGTAGCTGCTCCAACACGTAATTTCGGATTTTTGCTACTGCCCAGTTTTTCCTTTTTTGTTTGCTGATTTTTTCATTTTTTTTTTTTGGGGGGCCTAATTCCCTCTAAATTTCGGACTGAACCCTCCTCTCTAATTTTCGGACCAACCCCCTCCCTTTTTTTTTATTTTTTGGTTATTTTCTTTCAATTTCATGCTCCTCCCCCACCCTGTGTTGTGACTTATGCATATATATATATATATATGTCTGTGAATGCTTGGTTGGTTCCCCCACTATGATGGTGGGGGATTTTGTGTGCAGGTTTGTCAAGTGGAGGGTTGGATTGGACAGTGAAGTGGTCTGTGGCAGTGGTGAGACTGCTGGAGTTGTTATGGGCAACTGGAGGCTGGCAGTGAGGGTGGTGTAGGTGGATGCTGGAAGTTGAAGGTTGTGAGCTGTAAAGGAGGATGAATTTGGTTGGGATTGTGGGTTTGGGGAGAGGCTGCTGGATGGATTTCTGTTGCAGTAGGTTGTGGGCTACTGGAGTTGTAACGGCAGGGGTGGCTGCAATAGAGGGGTGCTGGAATTGTTGACCTGAGGGGTAGGGGCTGTGCAGGAGGAATTGCAGGGATAAGGGACTGCAAGTTGCAATTCAGCTTGGGAAGATGGCAAGAAACTGCACGAAAATGCAAAAGAAAATTGCACAAGAGATGCTGGGGGGAACTGTTGCTCCATCTCTTCTTTTTTTGTATTTTCTATTTCTTTTGTAATTTTGTTCTGAATTCTAAATAAATGAAAGAAAATATTTTTGATTATTTTTGTTTGTTTTGATTTTACATAAAGCAATCATGAATTTACATAATAAAAAAAATAAAATAAAAATAAAATAAAAGAAAAATGAGTAAAATTTTGGGGTAAGACAACTATAACCATTCAGCAAGACACTCAATCGCAATCAGAAAGGAAAAGTAAAAGGAAAAAAAAAAAAACAACTAGTTCAATGATCGTCACCAAAAGAAAATATCAACAAAATCCTACAATAAAGAAAACCTTCCATCTCATCTCTAATCATTGTCACCAAAAGCAACAACAATAGGACTCCTAACATAATGCCTACCATCCGTCCATAATAGCGATCCAAATTCATATTCTTTAGTTGCACCATCCCGCTTAGCTTCAAAAGTAACCTTAAAGCTCTTCTCGTCGCCTGTATTCTCAAATGTCAAGATATTGGGCTCAACGGAGACCGAAATCCCATATGGTTCTCGAACATGTGCTGCATATGTTCCTGGTAAACCTACATTCTTCACTTTTCTGCTCACACTCATCGAGTTACGTAGCAGGTTTACAGTTATTGAAGGGTTGTTGAAATCGAAAATACTAGCCGACTCAGGACATTTATAGGGACCGTCAGCGAAAGGTTCTATCATGGTAGAGTTGTATCCGCTAGCGCAAAGGAAGTCCAAGTAATCACTGATGCTCAAGTCATAGACCAAGCCTGGATCCTGAGCACGGTTTGGTCTGATATGTCCAGAACCATAACTAAATGGTGTTGCCTTCATACCATCTCTCCCATCAATCATCGGTGTCATGGTGTTGGCTCTCGTTCTTGCTGCAGCATAGAACACAAAAGAATGTTGGCATTCAAAAATCTGCTAAAACATCCTACAATATTGAAAATTTCGAAGGCCTTACCGGTTGTCATGATTGCCGATCTAATTACAGCTGGACTCCAATCAGGATGGAGAGTTCTAAGAAGCCCAACCACTCCTGCAACATGTGGACAAGACATAGATGTGCCAGATTCGGTGATGAAAGGAGACTTCCGCTTATCAAAGTCCAAGTTAGTAGGGCTGACTGCTTCACTAATGGCTGCTATAATGTTCACTCCAGGTGCAGTTATATCAGGCTGTACATTTTGAAACAAAGGGGATTTTTAGTCTGTGTGTGTTTTACAAGGCCATTGCGACAAGCATGTGAACATGGAAGACAACATATAAGATTAACAACAAAACCTTCAATATCTCTGGTGTGACAGCATTTGGCCCCCTGGAGGAGAACGCAGCCATGAATGGAGCAGGTTTTGTTCCCAACTTTGCTGTTGGAGCGGAAATATATCCCAGAGGATGGCTGTTAAATTTTGAAACACATAAGAATTGACAAAACTAATTTGTGAACTGTGAAGTGAGTGGACAAAAAAGGGAGGTGGTAGAGCATACTCAGTGGAATTAATGTAGGCAAATACAGCAAGACCATCTGTATAAGTGATTTCTGATGCTGGGAGAACATGAGGATCTGCTATGATTTCGTTACCATTTGCCTTGTCATTGCAAAGGATCATCCCTGCTGCACCAACCACAGCAGCTTGGTAGCCCTTATCCATTCTTCCAGTTTCTCCCCTGAGACACACCAATATTTTACCTTTGGCTTTCTCGTGATCCAATGATCCAGGCTTACACAACAAGCTGCATATCAAATAAACGACATCATCGCCTGTTACTCTGTACAAATTTCAATTTGATTCCCTAGAGATTTGGAATAATCTTATCTTACGCGTCTGCGGCAGATGCATTGGCAGCCTTGGCTTGTTCCCCAGTAATGAGGGGATAGAACTTATTTTCAGGCAAAGGTGCAGAAAGGCTTGTGCCCTGCCATGTCGCGAGAATGAAAAGCACTTAAGAGGCTAGCTACAAGGAAAAGAAATGAAACAAGGGTCTGGTTTGTGAAGGAATGTGAACCTGGAGGCGCTTCCCGCTATGTAACTGCACAAAAGTTTGGAACTCTCTATCCAAGGTACTTGCTCCAACAGTTATAATCCAAGGTGCAGTATTAGTGACTGTTCCGTCCATTGGTCCAGAATTTCCTGCAGAGCACACGACAGTAATACCATTTTTTACGGCATGGAATGCTCCAATTGCAAGGCCATCATTTAGGTAATCAGTAGGTTCGCCACCAAGTGACACTGAAATCACATCAACCCCATCATGTATGGCCATGTCAATGGCCTTCATGATATCTGCATCGAAGCAGTCACTGCCATTTATCGACGGCCAGCACACCTTGTAGGAAGCAACTTTAGCTTTAGGAGAACCACCTTTAGCAGTTCCGTTTCCTAAGCCAAAAACATTTGCTCCTGGAACAAAGTTACCGCCTGCGGTTGACAAGGTATGAGTCCCGTGACCATCTTTGTCACGAGCAGAATTATCAGAAGAGTTGAGGCCTCCTCCATATGCAATATAACCTTTGTTGAAGCATTTTGCTCCTATTAGCTTCCTGCACAAATTTCCAAAACGTTTTATTCGTCTTGGAAACCCTAAATCATTTGGTTTCCATTTTGATAAACGTGGGAGTGCTGAGCTAACCGATTGCAAGGGATTCCAATGGCAGTGTCATTCTCGCATGTTCCTTTCCATTTTGATGGTACGGCCCCAATTCCTTCCTCACTAAAGCTAAGTGACTCAGGCCAGACACCTACACCATGATAAAAACATCTAAATTTGGATAATTTTTCACATTATAACAACAGTTCGGAAACAAAAAACACAAGATAAATCTCTTCTGATGCTTTCAAACGAGCATATGTTTGTGTGTGTGTGTGTGTGTATCATCACAGATTCTTGTTCGTTTGGCCTATACTTCGGTTTTAGAAAATACTGTTCATAGTCCAACAAGCTAATTACCGGTGTCGAGGTTGGCTATGATTGAATCTTCACCAAATCTAGCTCTCTTCCACAAAGAAGAGGGGTAGACAACACCATTTTTTTCCAATAACATGAAATCCCATGAATGTGTTGTGTGTAGTTTTCTTCCCCGGTTCAAGAAAACCGACACAACCTTTGGATGCCCTGCATTGACAATAAAAAATTAATCATATCATATACATGGGCAAATTCTATATTCAAATGTAAGTACATAACTTGAATGTTCAAGATGATGATAATAATAATAAATAGCTGTAGCTAAGCTTCTATTACTGTCTCTTCTTTTATCAGAAAAATCTCTGAGTTTGTCTCTCCTTTTCTCTTTAATATATATCTTCAGGTCCAAAAACTTAACCAGACTAATCTCTTACTCTTTGGATGCACAAGACGGGTCTCGAAACCAAAGTCATTTACTTAAATGATGAGAATTTTTTTCTTTTCAAGCCAACCCTTGAGTTCACTTAGTCTCTTTTATAGTACGCACATAACAAAGCCATTGATGATGTTCTTATAATTACTTGCAATTTCAGCTGCCTCTTCCTCTTCAAGCATGGCAGCAAAGCCATTGATATGCCTGTCATACGAGTAAATAATTGCATCTCTTGCCTTCTCACTACTACATACATGAAAAACATCAAAATTAATTCTGATAACAAATTAAAAAAAAAAATGTAACAAGACAATAAATAAAGAAGCTAGCAAAGTTAGTTTCTTGATATATACCTTCCCAAATACGATCCAAGAAATCCTTGATGAGAATCAGCTACTGCATCAATATCAGCTTTAGCAACTCCAGGACCATGCCCATGCGATCCCAAGTAAACTATATAAGACTTTTTAACAAATCACCAAAAATAAATAAAAAAGAAACAAGTAAGGTAAGGGAAAAAAAATACACATAATGTTGAGATATTACTAGTATATAGTTTACCTTTTTGATTCCAAGAGCAGGTGATTGGAACAAAGAGACAGAAATCATAAGCAGAAGCAGCAATATTGAAACTCCTGGGAACCACATTCTTCTTCTTCTTCTTCTTTCCTTCAATAATAATTAAAAGTCTATCAAAGAAAACTAGAAAACTGTTTGTTTTCTATAAGATGATTGAACAGAAAAGAATTGAGGACAACAGAAGGGAAAGAGAAATCAGGAAGAGTTACAAGTGGATTAGGCCAAAGTCGTAGTCAAGAAAAAGCTTTGCTAACTCTTGAATATATAGTAGTAGTAGTAGTTGTTGTTCTCAACCTTCTGGAATACAGAGAGTTTTCTTCCTGACAAGAGTAACTTCTGAATGCGTTAATCAGCATCTTCCTGCTTTTGAAAATGTACGGTGCCAGTAGGTTCTTAAGTGTTCATATTGTGACAATTTTGACTGGTTTGGTGGATAATGTATAGTAGGTGGATATATAGCATATGCTGATCATGTGACAAAGAATTTAAGCTTCGAATTTCAGGAGGAAGATAAATTTTGTACTTTGAGGCTGACGGTCAAACATTTATTTTCTAGAGCATGTCACCAAATCATACCGATGGAGGGAGCAGTAGTGTTTGACAATTGCTAAAATAGTCTTCTAAAGCCATTACGTGTTTTGACAACTTGTCACGCTTCACATCATAAATGGATAATGACGATCACTTGAAGAAAAAAAAATCACCATTTTTATGAAATTCTAAAATTGAAGTAATTGTTTCGACAAAATTAAGGAGCAAACAAACGAAGTTCCTCTAATTTCTTGAACATGAATTTTAGTTATCTTATTTTTACTTGTATTGGTAGTAATTTATAACATTATTACTTTTTTTTTTTTTTTTAAGGATAATATATATAACCCGTGAATTGCTATTTTGGGCAACTAATCTACCAAAGAAAGAAAAACTCTATATGCCATAAACAAGAAAACTTATTTTCCACTTCAAACAGAAGCTTCTATAGCCATGAACTGGAAACAGAGCAGCACATAGTGGCCAGTCAAACAAAAACTAGATGGAATAGTAAAGTCTTATGTGTTAGGTGACCTGCCGAGCCTAATAACCTGGAGAAGGCTCTCTAATTCAGTATATTGATAAAGTTGGGCTTCATCGGTGGTTGGACTTTGGGTGATAAAGTGGTGATCGCACCATAGATATAACGATGGCATTGTCAATCATGGAGAGCGGAAAATACAGATGTGAAGGGACGGAAACTGGTGTGGTTTTGACAAGGCCAGACATGGAATCTTTCGTTTCCCTCTTTGTTAATGGAGTTCTACTAAGTTCAAAGTGAATTTTAACAAATAAACACTTGCATAGGGTAATTTAAAGATTGTGTTGGTAATTACATGCTTATTGTCAATGCAAAGCTCAAAAAATAAAAAATATAAAAACCCTCGTTAGTCATGGTGTATAACTTTTCAAAAAATTGGATAATCTTCAGCACCATGCACATCAAACTTGAAAGCATGACATTGTTCGTGCATGCAATGTTATCTAAAAAGTTAGGTAAAAGCATACTTTATTTATGATCAATAAACATAAATGTTATATATTGTATATACAGAGTTTTTCAAAACTTTCTATTCCTATAATATAAAATTATGATCTCCACTTGTTACGTTAAGATGTTGGAAGAAACTATAATATAATATTTACAAGTTTAGTGATCTCCACTTATTCTTAAAGATTTTTTATTCAAGCTTTTATTTAGAATAAAAAATTGTATAATATTTTATAGGTTAAATTTTATGATATCCATAAAACAGCTATTGAATCCACTCTTTTGCAAGTACTTCTTCTTTTTTTTTTTTTTTTTGTTCTATTGTGATAAATCACTAATAATATTATTCAGTTTTCATGAGTAATACCCTAAGGATGGTTTGATAACAACTATGGAATGGCTATTAATGGATAAATCACTAATAATATTTTCCATGCAGATTAAAAAAATTATTAACTCTTATTTTGTATCAGTATATATATTTTGACAATTTTTTTGCAAATAGACTTTAGTTTGGAATATTTTAGAAAAATATACCACTTAAAATTTTGACCATACAAATATTTTAAAACAAGATAGACAATGTTTTTGAAAAAAAGAGAAAATAACAATCTTTACTTTAAAGGGCTTTGTATTGGCATGATCCAACTCCGTGCTGTGTTTGATGGAAGATGTGCCTCTATGTTCATCAATGCAAAAGCTTATTTACCCAAAAAAGCCAAGAAGCAAAAACTCCCTGTTTGCTGCCGGAACCGACCCCTCTCTCGACCCGGTCGATGATCAACGATTCAGCTGGGATAGAGGCCGCGTACTTAAAAAATATTGGCTAGCCACGATTGTACCAGGTGAAGACCAGAACTCTCGAAATGTGAAGTTGATGCCATATCTTGGAGTGGAACCCAACTTGCTTCGACCCAAATTCATCTGCTTCGTGGTGCCATCAACAAACTGAGAGAATTGTTTCGCAATATTACCAGGCAATATTACTTCGGTAATAGCGTTCTTTTCAATTACACGGTTGTAGAAGCAGGAGCTTTCATGGAGGAAAAATGGAGAGGCTGTTATTTCGGACATGGAACCTTTTCAAGGAGCTAAAGATAAGTTTGCAACATTGAAAAGTATGGGAGTATAAGTGATGAAGTTAAGGGTTGCTAGATGGCCTAGAGTTGGGTTTTGTGGGAGGTTGGCCTTCGGGCGAGGAAGTGTGGAAAAAGTGGTGATCGCACCATAGATATAACGATGGCATTGTCAATCATGGAGAGTGGAAAATACAGATGTGAAGGGACTGAAATTGGTGTAGTTTTGACAAGGTCAGACATGGAATCTTTCGTTTCCTTCTTTGTTAATGGAGTTCCACTAAGTTCAAAGTGAATTTAAACAAATAACCACTTGCATAGAGTAATTTAAAGATTGTGTTGGTAATTACATGCTTCCTGTCAATGCAAACCTCAAATAAAGCTTTTCAAAGGTGTATAGCTTTTCAAAAATTGGATAATCTTCAATACCGTGCACATCGAACTTGGATAACATCCTAGACTATGATCGAGTACATCGTAGGACATATTTAGAAGTTTCAAAACTTCGATAAAAAAAAAGTAAACATTAACACCAAACATCCTTGTATTACTTGAAAACAAATTCATGGTCAATCAATCAGAATCCCTCAAATCATTAACCAAAATTTCAGCAAATTACAATTTAGAAGCCGATCCTAATTTCATAAAGCAACAAAAAGTATGAAAATTGATAACAATGGAAAGAAGCACCTAATCAAACAAGCTAAATCCCATATCGTCGTCACTCTGTTCTTCTTCCTCCTGCACATAAACAACAAACCAAAACTCTTAAAAACCCACAAAACCAAAACTAAAATCTCCCTTATAACTACAAGAGAAAAAAAAAAGAAAAAAAGAAAAAACTTTCAAGAACAAAACGTATAAACTTCAAAACTGAATAAAAACCCAAATCCCCTAAAAATCAAACCTATATAAGCAAAACCAAATTCGAAAACAAAACAAATCACAACCAAAACAACAACTCTCCATTTCCTCCGAAAGACCAAACCTTTATAACTAAAGCATTCGAAAAAAAAAAAACAAAAACAAAAGAGAGAGAACAAAGCGGTATTATTTTTACCTTCTTCTCCTCAACAGCAGGAGCGGCGGCGGCAGCGCCACCACCACCACCAGCGGCAGGAGCAGAAGCAACAATAGCAGGAGCAGCACCACCACCAGCACCAATATTCCTGATAAGATCACCAACATTTCTCTTCTCAGCAAGCTTCGCAAAAAGACTTGGCCAGTAAGACTCCACAGTCAAATTAGCTGACTTCAAGAGTGCAGCAATCTTATCCGACTGCATAAACAATTTGGGGAACAGAAAACAAATTAGATTTCATTTCCAAACCAAAAAAAAAAAAAAAAATGAAAAGAGCTGGTCTTTCTGGTTTCTTACAGTGATGGCGATGTCTTCATCGTGGAGGATGAGAGATGCGTAACTGCAAGCTAGCTCACTTACAGACATGGCTGCTGTTTTTCTTCGTGAGAGCTGCGTTACGAATTTGAGACAGTTGACGAAGGAGGAGAGTGTTTGTTTATCTTTATATGACTAGGGTTTTACGCATAGGAGAAAGAGGGTGATGGGCTGGGTTGTTGACATTCCCTGTATCATTAGTAGGATTATAATTTTGAGCCCAATAGCAATGAGCCCATATTACTGAAAACACAAATTAATTCCCTGGATTGGTTGGTAGGGCCCATATTTTGGTCCATTAATTACTGGTGGGTGGGTACGACTTTGAAACTTTCAACTTTGGAGCCCATATTTTTTAGAGGCTAATGGTTGCATAAATCTCTTTATTCTTTCTTTTGTATTACTTGACTCCTTTTTTTTTAATCTTAAATTCATCTTTCTATATTTTGATTTCTATCTATCTTAATATCATCTCTCTATTAATTTTTAAGGAAAAAAATAGAGCAAAAGAAGGAGATTAAGACATGGGAAAAAAATTAAATTAACAACGGTAGTCCAAAAAATAACAAAATTAAAACAAAAAATCAAACATAAAAAGTATGAATTTAAGATTAATAAAATAAAATATGCAGCCATTAACCCTATTTTTGAGTTTTATATTTATAAGGTGAATTTTTCCATGTTATTTTACATTATTACGAGATTGTAAATAAATAAATAAAGACCTTGTTTGGTATTTTGTCATTATTTTTTATTATTATTAAGATAAGCCAAACAATCCTTATTTTATAGTTATCATCTTGAAGCTCTTCGGGATCATAATAATAATCCATGTGTAGAAACCCTAGAAACTGTTTAAAAGCTAAGGAATCATTCGCAAAGTGACCTGCTGTCCGACCTGGCGTAGAATTAATTAATCTCTTCGAAGCTAAAGGTGACCCATTGAGAATGAATGAATCATTCACAATCTGCTCATTACTCGTCACCACCTATGGACTTTGTCCCTTTTCATCATTCAAGCAGAAAGTCGCTGGCATTTCATCAACAGTGCTCCGATTACAACAATGTTCAGATGGCGACAAAATGGCACCATGGCACCACCACTTCACATTAGCACATAGAAGCATGCTTATTTCGACAAGGCAAATCGGCATTAACCAGTAACAGGTAAAAACTAGAGCACAAACCAATATGTTCACTCATCTAAATGATGGAAGGGTCACAAAACATTGGAAAATAGCCCAAGTTCAACCAAAAAGTACTAATTAACATAAATCCAGGATTCACAAAATGACGTGCAACCGCCAGGCCAAGCACTACTACGAGTTCATGTTTTCAAGTAACAGTCTAACTGGATACCTAGTACAACTAGCCCTCGAAATACATCTGAGTAGGTCTCGGGAGTTTTCTTTCTTCATCGGCGTCGTTTAAAGGAACAGTCCATCTGAGAAGGACTCAGCAGTTTTCACTTGAGAGTTTAAATCAGTCATGCACTTCCAGGCCGTGCCTGCAAAAAGATGGAGCTTAAACTGAGTACTTTTTTAGATATTGTATTGAAGTCCCACGCACACAACTTTGAAACAATTGCTAAAAATTCTTTGCCCTTTCTTTTCATCAACAAACCAAGGGGGGACTCGCCTTGTTGGGAGATTCTGACCTTGACCTGGACCTGGACCTCGATTTTGGTCTGCGCGTATTTCAATACAACAGAATGACAAAAATTACCTTACACTAAAGAAAAAAACAGCAAATAGAATGGGAAGCAAAGAAGCTGAAAAGGTAAGCAACCTCCAATTACCTTGATGATTTAAGAGGCGAAGCAGATCTAGATTTTGACTTTGACCTTGACCTTGACCGAGACCTTGATCTTGAAACAGATCGTTCCAATGATTTGCTGAATAAAAGAGAAAGCTATCACTTTATAGGGAAAACACCTTTGAAAGTAGAATGCCAAAAGAAAAAAAAATTAACAAGCACGCTCACCTCCGGTTCCTCCTTGGACTTCTGCTTCTGCTTCGGCTTCGGCTCCTGCTCCTGCTCCTACTCCTTGATGGAGAACCCTCATACTGCTTCACCTTTATGAATCAGAACAAACAGCAAAACCAAGAGCAATTATTAAGTGAACCTTCATTTGCAGCTGTTCAACAATTTTTTTCTTCATATGCAAAGAATCTTCATGTGGAAGATGGTAAGCTTTTCTTATTCGACAGAAAAGCATGACAAGTTAAAAGACTCATGTCTTGACGTTTTTTCAACAACTTATGATACTACAAAATGAAAGATGGGGGAGGCGAGGTAAGTATCCACTGGGTATAATTAGAACGACAGCAGGGCAAATTTGCACCCTTCAGACAATTTTGCATTATAAACCATATTCAAATATTTGAATGAACTTACTACCACCTCAACAAATAAAATGTTACCCGAATATAAGCTCTGGCCCAAGGATTTCTAAACTCAGTATCATCCAGCTTCCGAATCTGGATAACATAAGAACATGCCAGCTGTTAGATAAGAGTAAAGAACAACAGTCCCCATCAATTTTTATTTTTTTTATTTTTTATTTTTTTATTTTTTTTGTGTAGAGGTGTGGACCAAGAAACAACTCACAGCATATTTCATGTCTTCATGATTTGTATAATCAACAACACCGAAAGTCCCTGCATGTTAAGTCCAAAACATCAATTCAATATCAGCATGAAGACATGCAGCTCATGGGGATATTTAACACTATATGTTCCAATATCAGTATCCATGCATACTTGCACCTCACTCCACATTAGGCTGTGAAATTGAATACCAGCAAGATTAATTTAAAAAAAAAAAAAATGAGAAGTTAAAGCATTCTAAGAGGCATACCATCACTATCACGAGAAACTTCAGCAAAACACACATCTCCTGCTTTTCGCATATGATCCTGAAATCAATTTCTCACTCAGTAGCAGGTACAGAAACAAATAAAACTCTGGTGGGTCAAGTACTAGAAGTTCTTATACCTTCAAATCTTGCCAGGAAGCAGAAGAAGGAAGACCACGAACAATAACTGCAAATCAAATATGAGCTTTACAACTCTATCCAGGTAGCTTGAAGGAAACTAGGGCAATGAAAGATGGGTAGTTTTTGGAACAGCATTATACAATTATTGATCTGAATCTTTTAGTAAGAAATAAACATTCCCCATACAAACCTCGAAATTCAGAATGGCGTGAGATGCCAAACCTACCCCCACCACCACCGCCGCTGCCGCCACCATACCCACCACGACGATCGTTCGACGATGGTCCTCTACCACCATGGGCAAGCTCAACCTTCATGAATAACAATGAGAAATAAACAAGACAAGCAATAAAAGACTCACATAGAAACAACTGGAACAGGTGAATACCCTTAAACGACAACCATCAAAGTTATAGCCATCACGACCCCTTATTGCATCTTCGGCATCACGAGAATTCTCAAACTGCAAACAAAAAAACACAAGTCCAGTGATGAAGACTCCAGTTACGAGAGGGGGTACTAGGTGAGATGATTAGGAGAGTTTCAGCATTTTCTCAGGAAGTTGCTGCTCCCCATACTCAAACAAATCTACACTCTTGTTGCAACCCAAGACAAGGACCATTGCACCAGCTATGGCCCAAAAGATAATTCAAAGTAAGTGCTCTCCCTTTTCCCATCTATAAAAAACAAGAATGCTACCTAGCTCCATAAATTGCAGAGATCAAGTGTAGTTAGACCTTTACCTCGACAAAACAATAGCAAGGGGGGCGAGGTGGAATCTTCAACTCAACATCAAGGATACGGCCATACTATAAAAATAAATAACAAATCTGTAAGCTTAGCCATGCAAGTAAACTATTAGACAGCTAAATTGCAGCTGCATAGCAAATACAAACAATGCCAAATATAATCTACAGCTAGTCTAGTAATAACTATTTCACTATGTTATTATGTAAACAGCACAAGCATTGCATAAGTGATATATACATATACACACACACAACACATTATGCAGCCTCTTGGCAGCATATGAACAACTAATGCAGTGCTTAAAATTTTCAATATTTAAATCCCTTGACTGGAAGCACAAATGAGACTGCGTGGACTTTTGATATGTTTTGAAGTGAGCATGGAATGCCCAAAACAGATAAGATTGCTCAAGGCAATAATTACAAGGGTGCACAGACAATTCGCTGAAAATGAACAAATCTCAATGTTCTGCTAAAAACAATCATAAGCTTCACAAGAAAACATTTAAAACAAACCTTGTAAAACAGATCTTCAATTTCTGATTCTCTTATATCCGCAGGCAAGTTGCCAACATAGATTGTATGAGAAAAACGACCGCTCATTTTTTGTACCGGAAGAATATAGCAAAGCTTTCACTGCACAATGCAAATGAATTGCATTAATAAAGAAACATTTTCAGAAACAAAAAACAACTCTATCTGCTTATGTTCCACTTATCATCAGCATGTACACTGACAATAACAAAAGCATGTCAAAACCAAAAACTATGAAGCAAACCAAGTGAGCAATCCTCCATGTGAGCGGTGCTCCACAAGCTCCATTGCTCATTTGCTCCAAGATGCTCCAAAGCTATAATAAATTTGAAATATATATTTGGTCTCCTCATCATTCCACAATTTTTTGCAGATGTATAGCTCTTCCGAAGGTGAGCAACAATCTCCAGTTATAAAAAAATAATACTCATAAGTCCACTCCACCCTGATTTTCCCACTCCCTCTCTATATCCCTATGCATGATTGCAAAGCTCAAATGTGTCCAAGCGCTTGTCATCTATCATAAAGAAAGCATTTGTGTCATGAGATCAAGTAACATATATTTATTTATATACCTTACTCAGCTCGTTTTTCTAACAATTGAACAAAACAACCCTGAAAAATACAAATTCACCCCCAAGTTCCCCCTTCTTTTGTTAAAAAATGGAAACTTTGCAAGTCAACCTCAGGTCGAGGCTAGGGTCATCTGTCTTTCACATCACTTTTAAAATAAAATAAAAAATCAGTTCCTAGGTGACTAAATAAAAAAACCAGCCTATCTAACAGCCAAATACACAATAACTAATCTAAATAGTCATACAGGACTGTTGATTGACACTCCATTTCTCGGCTTCAGCCTACACTCTTCATTACATCAAGAGAAGACTGTCCCAACCCACATCTCTATACACATTTTGCAACCCCAACAATAAAAGGAACAAAAACGAGAGTTATAACGATTAGTTGCCTCGAAAAGAGTACCGACGTGTGTTAGTGTTTGAATAGATTAAAAAGTTAGTTAATGCCTGTCCTCAATTTCAACCAAAACTAAATATGTTTCCCTTGTTACAATAGCGTGGAAGAAAAATAATTAAAATGATACAAATAAATTCTATAGGAGAGCACCGAGTAGCATTCAAGGCCAATAGAAACAGTAATTACAGTCTCTTAATCGTACTTGTTAACCAAGAACTCAATTAATTTCTATAATCTTCAAGTCCTGGAAGTTGTTAGGGTTTAAAAACAAAATCTCGAAACCTTAACATGAACTAGAAGATATTAGAGAGAGAATGGAGTTGTTGATAACTGTACCAAGAGAGAAAGGAATGTCGACGCCGGAGCGAGCAATTGAGATGAGTAGGGTGATTCGATACCAGAGATCGTAGATCGGAGGTTCTAGAGAGTGCGAGGAAGAGGACGAGGACGATGACGGGGACGATGCTAGCTAGGGTTTCTTGCTGTTCCTTCTCTCGAAGCTTGAAACATTGGCCGATGCCGCGTTTTGGGTTAAAAACTCACACGCTTCGTAGTAATAGCTTCGCAAGTTCAAAACCGACCCGGTTACCCGACCCGTTGGAATGGATAATATTGTTTGGGTTCAATGAAAGGCCAAACGGACTTTAGTTTATACAATCGATCTTTTAAATTTAACAAATGTAACGAATAAGGAAAATAAAATTATCCAAAACTCATATAATAATATGCAGTCATTATTCACTAGAACTCTAATTTTATTTCATTAAAATAAGCTATTAAATATTTAACGATCGATACTTTCAATTTAATAAATATGACGAACAAAAAAAATAAATCAAAATTCATATAATAATGTTCAGTCACTACTCACTAAAATTCTAATCTTATTTTATTAAAAAATATACCCGATATATAACCTTAAGACGATTTGTATATGAACGTATATATTAAACAAAAACAATAAAAAAATTACTAAATATATAATTTTTAAGTCTACTTAAACTATTCTTGTTTTTCAAATAGCTTATAAAGATGTAGTGAATCCTTTAAACTAACAACAAACTTTGTATTTGAAATGTTTTAGAATTCTTGCATTTTAGACAACAACAAAAAAAAGACATAAATTATTATTGTCACCGCTTATTGGTGGAGACTTATATGCATACTATAATATTTTAATTAACATTTTAGTTTCATAAGCGATCATTCTTTTTATATTCATGATGCAAAACTATGCTCGATCCTCTTTTATTTTCTTAAACTTAAACTAAAATAGCTAACGGGACAAATAAGAATATAGTTTATTGATTAATGATCAAATTATTGACATTTTCATCAAATCAATGTTTCCTTGGAAGTTCATTGATAATTAATGATCAAATTATTGATATTTTCATGAAATCAATGCTTCGTTAAAAGTTCATTGAGTTAGAGTATAAACTTAAACTCACTATTGGTATTTTAAAACTTTTTTTTAAAAATGGTCAATTCAATAGTTTTCCATTTAAGAAACATTTTAAGATTCTATGAGAATTTTCAAAATCAAGTCATAGATGGCATCATATTAAATTTTATTTTACATGATATAACTCAGCTGATAAAATAGATAATTACGAGTAATTAAAAATAAAAACTCAAAGCACTAACTACTTGTATTTAATGTACTCATTGACATATTAATAAAAACTAAACAATCATTTTAAAAAATTATATTGGTTAACTATTACTTTTATAGCAACATAAGAAAAGTGAAATTAAAATCTAAACTCATATGCATTATTTACAATCCAAACAAGAATAAAAAGCAAAGGCTTACTTTTCTTTTTCTTTTTTATTAAAAAAAATAGCATCATTTCGTAGGAAATTTAATTTTTTTTTTATGTGATTCTAACAAAAGTACTAATTGAAAAATCAAAATAATTTGCGAGTAAAATTAACAAAAAAAAAAAAAAACAGTTGACGTTTGCCCCAAAAAAAAAAAGGACAACTAAACTAACCCGACCCGAATCACCCAATCCATATACATGAAAGGAAAAGAAACGACGTCGGTTGAATTGAAAAAATAAACATTAACAGGCAATAATTTGAGAGAAAATAAGAGGAGAGAGCCTGTCCAAAATATAACTAATCAGGATTCGAACTAGGGTTTTGTAACTTCCATCTCCTTCTTTTTTCCGCCCAAATAATCAAATTCTCTCCAGTTTCCCTCCAAATTCCCAAAAAATATCTTCCTTCTTCACTCTACTGTCACTCTGAAGAATCAAATCAAAGCCAATGGCGTCGCGATTCCAAGCGGTGGTGTTAGCGGCGTCGCCGTCGTATCCAAACGCCATTGCTTGGTCCGACGATAACTTCATCGCCGTTGCTTCCGCTCACCTCGTTACCATTCTGGTAATCATCATTCCCCGATCACTCACTCTTGCTACTAGTAGTTACAGTCACAAGTGCAGCCTTTTTTTTAATTTTAGCTTTGATTTTATTGCTTAATTAGTTACTGCTACCGCTAATTACTACTGCAATTAGAGTTTATTGTGTGGTTATTTAGTGAATGCAACTAAAAAGTTTAATTTTTTAAGATTTTAGCTTAGAAAGTTTAGTGATGGGAGTTTTTGTGTATGTTTTTGTTGTTGCTTAATTACTTACTATTATTAATAGTAATTGCAAGGTAAATGCTTGAAGCTTTTATTTTTGCTAAGGAAATTCTGCCTTTTATTCTGTGAATGCAAAGTTTGATGTTATATTCTTTTACCATTTTTAATGTTTTAGCAAAAGGAATACTTGGGTTTATTGTTTTGATGTTTTACTCAGTTGTTAGCGTTGCTTTGTAAATGTTACTGATAGTTACTTTCGTAGCTTGGAGTTTATTGTGGTTTCCTTTAGAGCGTGCAATAGAAAAGGTTTGAAGCTTTTCAATTTTAGTTATGGAAATTCAGCTTTTTATTATTCTTGTGTTTCAAGATTTTGAATAATTTTATTGATCAGTGCTATTTTATGAGCTTTAGAATCCAGCCGTGCCTTATGGACCACGCGGTTTGATCAGGGTTCCAACCTGTGAACCGTACCCGATTGGGCGTGTTAATAGAGAAGGTATGTCTTTAAAACTAGTTCTTTTGAGAAATAGGTTTTGGCCTTTTGATCTAGACAGTTAAACATGTATTTTGTTATTTGGGATGCTTGCAGATTTATTCACTAACTGCATGCTGCCCATTGCATTATCTCGAGACCGTCGTCCGTGGGTTCGGTCAATTTCATGGTCCCCAATTGGAATGGCTCCAAATTATGGGTATGAATTTAAGGATTTCAGTTTTATGATGATTTTTCACGATAATGTTCACAAATGTTGCTCCTTGAACTAAGTTCATTTAAAGGTTGAGCAGATCAATTGATGGTATTCCATTTGTAATGTAATTCTATGCAGGTGCTTGCTTGCAGTTTGCACTGTGGAAGGACGTGTGAAGATTTACCGTCCGCCTTTTTGTGATTTTACTGCTGAGTGGGTTGAGGTATGTATCAATGAAGGACTTATGCATGCAAGTTATGAAATTGTAGTGAGGATTGAAAAGTCAATGACAATTGTTTCCTCCTATAGCCATTGTTTACGGAATGACTATCTAACAGATATGATGTTTGTATGTATTAGTGATATATAACTTTTGGTTTGGAATGCTCATCTTGTTTATATGTCTTGATCACAGTTACAACTTTCTTCTTGCAATTTTCTGTAGGTTGTGGATGTATCAGATAGGCTATATGATCATCTTGCCAAAATCAATTTTGGGGAGTTAGACAACATTTCCTCTGAATTTTCCCATGTGAGTTCTTTTATTTATTGAATTACCTGGTTTGAGTTGTCTGGTTACCATGTGATCATATTCCTAGTTACCATATTATCCAGGAATTTTTTTTGTTGTGCATTATTGTTAATACCTTTAATATTTTTTTCTTCTCTTTCTAGGAGCAAACAGCAATCCGAGGATGCGACGATGAGCAACCAAAATCCTGTGCTAAGAACTTGCCAAACTCTCTCATAGTAAAGCAATACAAGAGAAGGAAAGTGGATGTAACTACTTACAAGTAAATAGCCCATTCCCTTTTCCTTCTCCCCTCATTTATGGTTAGAATACGTTTTTACGGCCTCGTCTCCTTATTCTGTCTTAAAGTACATGGAAAAACTACATAAATGTGTCTCTTTCACTCTCTGTTGGGTTCAACAGGAAAATTTTAAAGCTCCCAAATATTGTACTCTTTTGTTTATGAAGTGAAAAATAAGTAAGGAATGGGTGGAAAAAAGTTTTCAACATCTTTCATGTGGACCCTCAAATTTCTGTCCAAAATGGGTTTGGAAATGAAAGTTGGTGCCAGGAAGAAAGGGCGCCAAATGTTCTTTTTCTTAATTCTTTCTCCTTAGTGTTTTATCTCCACTTTCTCTATGGAGCTGAGCAGAGCAAGAATAGAACTTTCTTTTCTTTTGGTATTATCCTAACCGGATTTGTATTTAGAAAATGAGAACTCAGATTGAAGAAACCTTTGATTTTGCTGTTTCATTGGATATTTCTATCATTTGAACTTCAGCTCATAGGTCGTTTTTTCATTGATTGTACAGCATTAAGGACTCACAAAATATACAGGACCAGTTATCAGATCATATAAGCGGGGGGAGCACCACTGCTGGATCTGGCCATGACAATAAAATAGACAGGAGGAGGACAACTAAGGTAAGCTGTTCTCCCAAAAAAGAAAAAAAAAAAGAAGAAAGAAAGAAACAATCCCATGCCTTTTCCCTCTACACTCCCTTTTTCTAGTGATGGGAACTTAACTATGTACCTATATAGTTTGCTTTTTTTATATTGTCCAATTTTACATGTCAAGTTCCTCCTGAAACCTTGTTTCTGCCTGTTATTTGGTATTTAGGTCTCTGGGAACTGCACACTCCCGCTTATAACTGCAGAACAATATGCTTCTCGCTGTGCGATGTTATCGTCACTTGTTATTGCCTGGTCACCAGTGTTGTGGTTGTCATCAAAAATCTGTTCAGCTCATAAAAATGATTCATCCAATGGGTTCTCTATACTTGCAGTTGGAGGGAAGTCTGGTAAAATTTATGCCTGGAGAATTCATGTACCACAGTACTACTCTATCGAGCATAATAGGGTTCCTACTACTGTAACATTTGTTGGACTTATTCAAGCACATAATTCATGGGTCACGACTATCAGTTTGGCATTACTTGGTTCTAAGTCCAATCCTCAGGTGTTATTGGCTAGTGGGAGTACTGATGGGAGGTGAGTTAGGTATGCAAGAACTTCAATCAGTTGTTCCATTTCTTTATAGTACCGTGGCAATTATGTTTCTGACTACACGTAAGCTTTGGACCTCGTGTAATGTACATTGTTATGCTGGAAATGGTTTTAAACGGAATACCTTTGTCCTTGATGTGAGTTTCTAGGTCATGTGTCTCTTAGAATCTACAGTGTCTCTTACTTCAATGGTGTTACCTCATCAATTTGGTCTTCGTATCTATTTTCAGAGAATGTAGCATATCTCTGGAAGTATGCTAACTGCAACTTTACACGTACTTGACCATATCCTCTCCAATTTATTGAACTCCTTGTACACTTACGAATAATTACTGCCTTTTAGGATGAAGGAAAGCTATTGATATAATATCAATTATAACTGGTACCCAGTTGAATGGACAAATGCTGATGCTGAAAGGCACTTTCCATCCTTCGAAGCATCTCAATTAGCAAATCACACTTCGCGTTACCCTTTTACTAAGGATGACAGAACCTTTACCCCTTTTGTTTCTCGTCATGTTTTTCAGTGTGAGGATCTGGATAGGGAAGGGTGAGGAGTTGCTGCAGTCATCAGGGGTCAATAATGCTCCTTTTTCTCTGCTGAAGGAGGTTATTCTTATCATCTCCTTAAACCATTCTGTTTGCATATTTACTCATAGCAGTTCTGTTCTGACATTTAAATTTCCAAACAGATTATATCTGTAAACATTGTCCCAATTTCAGTACTATCATTGGCAGTGCCTGTTCAAACCATGCACAAAATGCTCTTAGCAGTTGGCAAAGGATCTGGTTCTTTTGAAGTATGGACAGCTGACATTTCCAGCTCCAAATTTGATAAAGCTGGTTTATATGATGCTCATGACTGTGTTGTAAGTATCTTAATACATGGTTGATTAGTCTTCTACTGCTTCTTGATGACCCATTATAAATTTAAGAATTTGTCAGGTCACAGGTTTAGCTTGGGCTTTTGATGGATGTTGTTTGTACAGCTGTGGCCAGGTACTAACATTTATTGTATGCAATGCGATGACACTTTTTACTTGTAAGTTATATGATTATATGAAGTCCACAAGTTGCATAATATTGAACTATTAATGATGCAAGGGAAATTATGTCCGTGCTTGGGTTTTACGAGGGAGTTCTCTTTGTGAAGTATCGATTCCTTCAAATATTCCTGGTTTGAGGAGCTCAAATGATGTATGATGTTAACCTTGTTTTCCTACTTCCTTTTATTATTATAGCATATTTACTCTAGATCAAGTAAAATTTACAATTATTTGCAGCTTCCAAATGTTTTTGTTTCATGCCTTGGTGTGGCAGCATCCCCCGGAAATATTGCACTTGCAATGGTAAGTTACCTTACCTAAATTTATCATCGTCGTCTACATGTTTTTAGTTGTGTGCAACACATCTATTGAAGTGCTTTTTTTAGCTCAGAATTATCTGATTGTGGTCTTAGATCTCTTAGTCATTATACCAAGTGTACTGCATTATGGTTGCAACACATTTTACTCAGAGCTTCATAGCATGGCTCCTTAGAGAGCTGAATTTGAAAAATGTCATCATTAATTTTTCATAAACATGGAAAGAGAAGGTTCCTTCTGCACTTGACGCATAGCTTATACCTGTTGTTTGAAACCACAAAATAGCAGGAAGCTGGATTGTCAACTCATTACTAGGTCATGTACTGTCATCAGAATTCAGAACTACTCATGTATTAAAATATTGAACATTTCTATTGCCTTTGGATGCACATAGTACGAGTATAGATGTTCTCAACTTTCCTGTCATGTTCAAAAATAAGAAACTCTGCTGTCTTCTCTCAACAGAACAAACAGTATTTGTTTATTATCGTGATGGTGGCGACACAACATTATATGTATGCTTACTATAGATTAATTACTGAAAGAACTGTGCTTGATATTTGCAGGTTCGTAATGTTGACGGTGACTCATTGGATCCCATGTATGAGGGAAGGTGAGTTGAATAGCTCTGCCAAAATGCTTTCTCACATCCAAGAATCATATGTTTTTGCATCTTATCTACTCTTGTGTGGGTGGGTGGGGGTGGGTTTGAGGGTAAACAGAAAAGGTTCATAGAATCTAGTGCAACTGAACTCAATTGAAAGGGCATTGTTCCCGACTGCAAGTACCAAAAGAATACCAAAGAGAAATAACTCAACAAGGAGAAGCCAACATTTAAACATATCGTGTTGGTGCTTGTTTGCTTTGATGAACCACGTGTAATCATTGACTCTTCTGTGGAATGTGCAGGCTTCAGAAGGCTGTTGTTGAGTTCTTCTGGATAGGTGGACAACAAAAGGACATACTGTCCTCTTCTTCCACAGATTTCGCTAGTGAAGCCTTTCTTGGATTTTCTGCTATTGAATTGATTTATTGGGAATCTGATTTTCTATGGTATTTAACAACATACGAAAATCTGGATAAGCCTCTTGTTGTTTGGGATATAGTAGCAGCATTGTCGGCTTTCAAGCAGTCTGTGCCGAAGTACGTGGACCATATACTGGTTAAGTGGCTTTCCGTGACATTTTTGGGTGCCCACACAGGGCTTTCCATAGGTGAGGTTCTGACATGCATCCCGGAGAACTTCTCCAAGATAGCATCTCGGCAATTACACCTCCTTAACATCATCTGTAGACGCGTAATACTATCTGACCTGAAGGCTGATGAAATTAATTGTAAAGTGAAGTTAGGAGGTTCAGCAGGTGCCAAAGGGGAGCATGTCACTTTATGGATGGAGCTTCTATTTAGCAGCGAAAAAGAACTCAGAGAAAGGCTCGTGGGTTTCAGTTTGGCTGCTTTTATAAGTCATGTGTCTGATACAGCCACAACATTTTCCCAACCTGGATATTGGGATCCTGTTGGAGTAGCACAAATGGAGCAGTGGGTTGCACTTAATCACGATCATGTCAAGGACCAACTAAAAATCCTCACGTCAGAAATTAAAAAGCATGAAAGAAGGTACCTTTTATCATTTTGTTCTCAATGATGAAAGATATGTTTATTTATTTATTTATGAAAGTCGATCAATATATTTGATAGAGAAGAGCCAGCAAGAAAGTGGCTAAAAGTTGAGTTCAGGATACAAAGTAAATAGGCAATCTATGTGACAGCCTGTCAAAAATAGAACTAGCTAAACTAAACCATCCTTGGAAACTGAAACTATCAGTTCTAAGAGCCCAACTGATGAGTTCTTAATGAATTTTTCTACCTTTTAATTCTGCCAGAGCTACACAGCAAACCATTTCTGGAATAGATATGTTAATTATTGTATTATAATTACTCCCATCAGTTGTATCTTGAAGAGATAGGACTACTTGGAGGAACATGTTACATACATTTTCTGGAAAATGGAGGAAACATAAGACTAAATGTGAAATAAGGAAAGGAAATATATGTTGCTTAATGCATTTTCTTTTTCTAACTAGTATACATGCAAATAGGGCCATCAACTCACATAAAACTAAAAAACTAAAATGACATCATTTCCTTTGATTTTATCTTCTCTGTAAATGACTCCATTTTGTGGAAGTATAAAAAGTGGGATCATAACCCAACTAAATAAGTCTTACTATTTAATTGCATAGAGTTGTCTACGAGAGTTTTTTTCTCATGGGAGGAAATATCTGTAGACCTTTGAGCACTGTCAATCTGCTTACAGTAATTGGTGTTTCAGTTTAAAAATATCAAGCAGGAAAATGGAGAGCAAATAAAAAATTGTTCGTTACATAGATCAAAGTGCACTTTGTTTCAGTTGCCAAGATCAATAAAAGATAGGAATCAGTGGATGATTTATTCTGTGGGAGCAAATGCCTTTTAGAAAATTAGGTTAAACTAGAAGGCTAGTGTTGGAAAATAAGACAGGTATGGTCTCTTCCAATTTCCAACCAGATGCTTGCATGCAGTGGATAGCCTAGCTGAAGTGCTGAGCTTTGTTGTTATGATTCAAGTGTCTGTCTGCAAAACGTGTGCTTTTTTTTATTATTATATTAGAGTCATGCTTATTCTCTTAATTATCATGCAATTTTATGCTCGATACAGGCTTCAGTCAAGTGAATATGGAGTTGAAGAGCAATGTATCTATTGCTCAGAGTCAGTTCCTTTCGATTCTCCAGAAGTTGCACATTGCCAATGCTCTAACACTATTGACAAAACCGTCCAGGACCACAAAATGGCAAGGTGTGCTGTTTCTATGCAGGTTTGCCCAGCTACCCCTCTATGGTTTTGCAAGTGCTGTTGTAGACAGGCTTCCAAATTGCCACCTGAGACTCTTTTTACAATGCCTGGTTATCCTTTAGATTTCAAATCTTCGTTCAAAGAAATCCCTTCAAAACCCTTTTGTCCCTTTTGTGGGATACTGCTCCAGAGGTTACAGCCAGATTTTCTACTCTCAACATCTCCAGTATAAGCTTTCCATTCATCTCTATATTTATGTTGTCATACATGGTAAGTATTTTATTTACAAGCTAGAATATCAAGAAGCTAATGGAACTGAAGAGTTTATTGTACAATATAGAAGAAGAATAGGAAGTTAACACGGGTGACTGGGAAGAAATTTTAGGGCTAACAATTTGGTTTAGTATATAATATTATGGTGTATGTTTTGGAAATGGTCAAGTATACAGTATTATATTATTGACAGAATATGCCAAAAAAAAAAAAATATATACACAGCTTAATTTGTTTTTCTTCCACCTCCTTATCAGAATTTTTTGTTTGCCCTGGCTGACTAGAGAAGTTTTCCAGCCATTTGACTGCTTGAATTCAGGAGCTGGAAAATTTTATGTGACCAAGAGGTTTTTCGAGTTTTGACCCATGTTTTAGAAATGCTTAACAATTTTATCCACAGTGGGGCTAAAAATTCTGCAAGGACCCACAAAAAATGAAATTGTTTCCTCCAAAGTTCCAATTTACAAGACAAACAAATCATGCACCAATTTGCACGCAGCCATGTGGATTATGGCTGAACAACTATGTCTTGGCCTTTTTTCGAATTCTTGAGTCCCAAGGACAATCATAAAAGAATTAGTTATCTCATGCAGCCCTTGGGACCTCTTCTGGTCTACTTTTTAAGATGTCAGTCAATATCAATTTCCAGCAATAAATAACAAAAGCTATAACTGTTTATGAAAAAATCTTGTTTGAATATAGAAATGCTATCCTCACAAGTGATCCGAATGTTGCCAAAGTCTTGTTTGGACTCCTGTATACGGTCAAAAAAAAAAAAAAAAAATCATTCAACATTTCATCAGCAAATGGATAGAATTTTAGGTGTTTGAAAAAAAATTCCATGTTGAAAGTAAAGTTGTTCAAACCATCTTCTAAGTTTGTGCTTCTTCCCTCTTCATCATTTCTTATTTTTCGATATGGAAAATTTCAATATGTCAAATCTTCCATATTTTCTCATCTTATTATGATAAGAACAAAATTCGGATACAAATTGAACTCGAACTCGAACCCTGCCTTCTCTTTCTTGTTTTTTTGTGAGTTTTGGATAAAAACGTGCACGAAATCAATTAGAACAAATCAATCAACAAGGCGTGGAGTTGGAGATTTGCCAGTTTTAAGTACTCTTATAGCCAAATCATGCGTTAATCATTGATTCTTAAAATTTGGAAAGCATGTTTTCTGTGGGCTAGATATAGTTTTTAAGAGAAAAGGACCTTTGAGCACTAATTTAATACGAGAGTGATGTTCATCTAATTTTTTTTTTTTTTTTGTAATTTTTTAGTAGAATTGATGTGTACTAATTGCACGGGCAGCATATTGTTAGATTTAAATAATATTGGTTTATTTTGCCCTTTCTAAAGCAATAATAATTAATAAATTCCTATCACCAACCCCTCTCCTATGTGACAAGGGAGCATTCATAGGGTTGGAGGCAAGATTTGTTGACTTTCTTTCTATCTTTTTTTTACCTGCCAAAAGATTATGTTTTGCCTAAAAGCAAGAGACCTGAAATTCATTTACTAGCATGACTATGAGATTTATTTTTCCTTCTATAGCTATTCTTGCTGATGGGACATGAAAACAACAGAACAAGCCAAGTTTCCAGAGCAGCATTGGTATTTGTTGCAAAACGAGGGTGGAGATCTCGTTGTGGGATGATCAGGATCGTCTCTTTTCTTTTCTTTTTTGTTTGTTTGTTTATTTTCCTGACATTTCTGGAGACAAAAGGTTTCACAGCTCTCTCTCTTACTGTTTTCCATTTTTTGACAAGATGAGTTTGCCGATCACCCTTTTAAAGTGCATTAACTATATATGGCAAGCTATGTCTGTTCAGGCAAGGCATTGAGGCTCCCTAGTGATTGTGATCTTGTGTCACATGGGGCTGTACAGGCCACCATCGCCCAATTTTATGCTCTTCTCTCTATCATCAACTTGATGGATAGAGGAGTCATAGCATCATTTTCAACTCTTACTGTTTTTAAGATTCTCAGGCCAAAAGAAAAGAATATGTAGGATAAATTGTACATTATAGTAATTGATGTGGACTTTCTTTTTAGTTAACACCCTCACTTTCTTTCTTTATTTTTCTTTTTCTTTTTTTAATTAAAGTGAGGATCAAAAGCATCTATAAACTTTATACATTAATTGAGATTAAATTTTCTTTCGAAATGACTTTGAAATCTCATATCACATCATCTAATGTTTTGGAGTTTTTTTGTAATAAGGTGTTAAAAAAAATATAAATTAATGTTTTTAAACAATGATGTGTACTGTTTCAACAATAACTTATAACATTGAATGATATTTTTAAAAAAAGGCTATAACAGGTTTTTTTATTCAATGAACAAATGGCTTTTTGCATTCATTCTCAATGATGTTTTTTTCTTTTTACCGTTTAAATCATTTAATTTATTCTATTAATTCAATTGTCCAACGGATAATTTTTTTTTTTTTACTATATAAATGGCTCTTGCCATTTGATGAAAAACAACTATAACAATAACAATTTCTTACCTTGTGGAGAGTGAAAAAATAGCAAGCATTTTTTTTATTTTTCTTGGAGAGAAAAATAGCAAACATGAGAGAAAAGAATGGGCATGTTATTTACCAAAGGTAATATGCAAAGACAGTCAATGTTTATGTAAACGGTGAAAAAAAAATTTAAAATAGTAAAATCAACATTGAAAACTACTTCTTGGCTTTATTAGTTGTGGTCTTGTTGGTTCATAATACAATAATTTTTTCAGTCCATTTCTGTTGTCCCATAAAAGAAAATTTTCTGCCCGCGATTTTACGTGGCAAGAAAGTAACCATTAGTCAGAGTTTAGGGCAATTAAATCTTGAAAGCAGCCCATCACAGATGTTGGGCATCACAAATCAATGGCTGAGACTTGGCATTCGAATCTATCACAATCAAGATTAGATGGGGTCCATTAGACAAAATTGCTCACTTTTTTCACATTTGCAATTCAGGCATCAATTTCAGTGCCCCACTACAGTTTTATTTCTTCAATTTTAATGAAGGCCACACCAAGTTTTCGTACTACCAAAAGTTTGAAAATTTTGCAAAATCAACCCTCAAATTTTCCTATAATTACATTAATATCCTCTGCTATTAATTTATGTTCATGATAATATTATTAGCAGTCCTTGTCTGGTAGAGGATTCTCCTATCCCACTCAATCTTAGTTCTGGATTTTATGTTTTCCTTATATCATGAAAAATTGTACTATTGTTTTTTTTATATGGTAGTTAATAATTTTAAATCATTGGACTTGATTAATGATAAATCGTCTCATTCATTTGTACCACAAAGTTTACTATCCTTTGTTTGGTTTGTCATCTTTAGTAAAAAGGAGGGCAATAGCAACATTTGACCTTTTCTAGTAAAATACTAGTCCAAATGGAAAACATGTTCAAAACCTCAAGCCTTGTCCAAATTGCCCACGTTCATCTGAGAATAGAATCTTTATATTTATCCAGTTTTTTTTTTTTTTTATCCCATAAATAAAAGGATAGAACTGCCAACACGTTGAATTTTGAGCTGTCGAATTCCAATACCAAACACACCCTTTGTATTTGGTGGCTTTGAAAAGCGAAGGGCGTGTATGGAGCTCAATTTGGACAAGTTAGCGCCCTCAATTTGACTCCCATGCTAAGCAACTTATTTTCTATCTTATCATTTGCAGATTCGAATTCAAAGATAAAGTCGATTAAAAAGGAATTTGAGTATCAAATCATTGATTCAGTAACAGATAAACTGATTTTAAATAAATTTTTTATCAATATATAAAATTTAAATTTATTTCAAATAAAATTGATTATATTTTCAATGCGGATAAAGATATGTTTGATAATATAATTTAGATGTTTTTCAAAATATTTTTAAATAAAAAAGGCATTAGAATGATTTTTTTAATTGTTTTTCAATATTTTTTAATCGTGAACATTGAAATCGTCAAAAAAATCATTTGAAAACACATTAGTTTAATAAGTTTTTAATGAAAAACAAATTCAATCGCATTACCAAAAACACAATTAGTGGCAATGCATCCTTCTAAAAAGGTATTAGATTTATTATAGGATTTGATACTGTAATTTAGATATTTTTAAAATAGAAAAAGGCATTAAAATGATGTTTTTTAAGTGTTTTTCAATAGTTTTTACTTGAGAATATTGAAATCATCAAAAAAAATAAAATATTTAAAAATACATTAGTTTAGTAAGTATTCAGGTGAAAAAAAATTCAATGGTATTACCAAAAAAACAATTAGTCGCAATGTATCCTTCTAAAATTCAATTTGGAAAACATTAAAATTACAATTTATCAATTTAAAATCGGTAAAATAAATACGTATCCGAAATTACCCTCGCTCGGTGAATAAAATAACAAGAAGAGATTAGGCAAGTAAGTAAGAGTTGATTTTGCTTACACAAACACAAAGTGTGGGCCCCTTACAAGGTTGTATGGTTATTGCCCTTCTCGAGGAGGAAATAAAAACTGACGCTATCTGCCTGTCACGGCAGTGGATAGTGACAGCTTTTGTGATTCTATCAACTAACAACCAGACGCTGCATACACGTGGCAATTATACATGACGTTTGCTATGGTTCTTGAGATTAGGCTCCTCCGCATGCTAACATTTCTTCTGATCTCATCATTGCTTACGTGGCATGCATGCATGCATGCGTGCGCGGATGTACATGACATGACACATGTGGAATTTTCTGTTCTGGGGTTTTGACAGAAGCGGGTTGTTGGATTCAATTGAAAATAATTTCGAACTTTGGGAACCATGATGGGCTAATGATGAAGGTAGATATTTAATAAATAAAATATAATATTTAGATGGAAATTAGCTGACCAAACTTTAAAAATTACTGTAATTTTGAGAAACTATTTTCTTTTTTTAATAATGTTGTGTTTGGTTAGGTGCAAAATTGTCAAGGGAGACAAGAATTTTGGAACTCGAGAATTAATTGGAAAAATTTGAGATTGGAAGCATCGAAATTGTGGCCATTTTGATTTTGGTAATTTAAATCCATTTTCTTGGCTAGTTATGTGACTTTTTCTTTTTTGTTATGAAAAAAAAAAAAAGAAGAAGATGAAGATTGTTTAGATATAAAATAGAAAAAAAAACTTGAAAGATGTTGTAGATACATTTGAATTTGAAATCACTAGATTATCAGCTTGATCATAAGCGTTTTCTTTTTTTTTTTTTTTTTGGAAAATTGAACGAAAAAAATTATAATTAAATTACTTGTATAGCGAAATGTGTTGTACCATCCAAGGAGCTAGAACTTCATAAAAAATATTATTAATAATTTGTAAAAATTAATGTAGTCATGGTGCATGTGGTTTAAAATCTCATGCTGCTAAATAATGCATCTCAATTTTAATGTCTACAATAAATAATTTAGTATTGTTATGATAAAATTGAGATACATTTTCAGAATATAAAGTTAATTTTATTCGTGTATCCTAAATCTTTAATAGTAAAAAATGTACGAGATCAATCATAACAAGTGACAATGATACATGCGAATAAGAATTTAAAACGTATAACCATAGCCATAGAAGAGTATTTCGGAGTAGTCATTGCCGAATTGTTATTAATTATGAGTAGATATTTATTTTGTCGATAGATAGATAAGTGAATTTAGATCATATTTAATGAGTATAAATAAAATTTCTCTACGGTATCAATTTGTAGTTAAGATTACAATTAATATTAGAATCCAATAAACATAGCAAATTAGTTTAGAAATAAATAGACAGGAGAATTTGGATTGTAATTATAATGGTTATTATTGCACGATCATTAATTATGAATAAACATTTGTTTTATCAATGAATAGATAAGTGAATTTAGATCGTAATTGAGCGAGTATGAATAAAAATTCTCTACTATATCAATTTACCATTGAGATTATAATTAATATTAGAATCGATCACCCGATAAAGACAATAGCAAATGTAAAAAATTAGTTTTAAAAAACTATGAAATCAAGAGCTATCATTATCTTAAACAAGCAAGCTTGTCCAATCATTCTACAATTGAGATTTTAAATAATATCGAATCGATTATCCAATAAAGGCAATAACGAAAACAATAGTTTAAATTTAAAAAACCATGAAATCATCGATTGATGTTATTTTAATAATAATCGAGTTTGTCGATTAAGCATTGCAATGATTATGTTTAATTACATCAAAGTTTTCGTTTTATTTAAAATTTCATTATGTGAATTTAATTTTTATCGATTGATATGTCAAATTAATTAGAATAGTTTTTCGATCATGATCAGATAATTGCATTACAACTTTTATCAATATCTAACTAATTAGTTAAAAAATTGATCGAGCTCATTAACACATATCGATATTTTAGAGAAATAGAAAATTAATTAGAGACAAGAAATCGATCAATTAATGCACAATGATCTACTGAGAATAATAAATTAGATTTTTAAAAATAAATAAAAAATAATTAACGGTCACAAATTCATGATGCCCTTAACATTCCTTTATTTTAATTTCTATCTTCACAAATTCATGAAAGCAAATAATCATAAGAGATTAGGAATTCAAATTCTATTTAATGTTAACTACAAATAGGAAGATTCAATTGATACACATATGGCATGAACATAAATTCACCAACTCCTCCAACCTTCCAACTCTGACAAAAAAAAGTTATGAGGTTTGATATTGGGATAAGTAAGCAACCATGCAAAATCAAAAGCATCTTTTTGGACGCCATCCATGGCACATCCATCCCATACATACATGGGCATTGTTGGACCCTAAAAAAGAACAAAGCATGGGTTTGGTCATCATTGTAATGGGACACCATGGTAATCTTCTTATGTTGCAGTAATATTTGGAAAATGATAACTATGTCTTAATTATCTTAACAAAAATTGGGTGCATTTTGTGAACATTGTGAAGGAAAAATAAAGAAGGTCCAAAAAGGCATAAACGGACGATACAAAGAACAACTCTTTTCTTTCTCTCTCTGCTTGTTTCTTTCTCTCTCTCTACAGCTATATCTACAGAGAGAATCATCAACACTAAAATCAATACATAAAAATAAGACTAGCAATCTAATAAAGTAAAAGCTGCTCTTTGGTTTACATCTCTCTAGTGGGTTTTGTCTTGTTTTCTCATTCCTGTACAAATAATCCTCAACTGGGTTCTCTCTTTAACATCAAATGGAAATTGTTTAGATAAGGGAAACCAAGCAGGTATGTATTTTTTGATTTCTTCTTTTCTTTTTGGTGTTTTTCTTATCTGGGTTTCTTTTAAAATTTTAATTTTTGCGATAAAAGCTGGGACTTGATTGGTTTCTGATAAAAGTTGTGAACTTTACAGAGAAATCTGAAGAAAAGGAGGGATCTTTTTTTGTTTTGGATACAGAGAGAGAGGGTGTCTAGTGTTTGTTTGTTTGATTGATTGATCATGGCTGTTGCTGAGAATGCTGGGGTCAGGAATGGAACTACCGGTCAAAACTTTGACAACACTGTAGTGTCATCAGAGACAAAAGATCTTGAGAGATCATCATCAAAACCCAGAAATGAATCAGTGGTGGTCAACAATACTAAAGACTCAAACTTTCAAGGCCAAAACAATGATCATCAGACTGTCAATGGTAAGTCTGGAGAGACTGGGGGTTTAAGCAATGGAAAGACTAACGGGACCCAGATGCAAAATGGGTTTGATATGAATCAGTCTGGTGGGTACGGGGATGATCAGATTCATCAGCAAAGGGCTAAATCTAATGAGGTTAATGACATGAATGATTTGGTGGAGATGTTGTCAAAGCTGAATCCTATGGCTGAAGAGTTTGTGCCTCCTTCACTTGCTAGCCCTCATGGATATTTTGGTAACGGGTTTGGCTTTAATGCTAACAATTTTGTAGTGCAAACTAGTCCTGGGAATGGCAATGGACCTACTAATAGAAGGGTATGTTTAATTTTCCTCTTGTCACTTGTTTTTTGGGTGTTGTTATCGTGTAGTTGCTGATAAAATGGTTACTTTTTTTTGTTCGGTCTTGTGGTTTCTGCTGAAATGGAATGGACTGATTAATAATATAGTTTGTTATTATCATGTGGTTATGGAGTTGTGTTTTAGTTTATTTATTTCTGGTAATTGTGTTGCAGAAGAAGAACAGCTATAATCAAGGAAGGCGAAGGATGAACAGCAGGACAAGTATGGCTCAGCGAGACGAGATAATCCGGAGGACTGTATATGTTTCTGACATTGATCAACAGGTTAACTACTGCATTTGGCTCTTGTGTTATCTCCTTTTTTCTAGGGTTTCTTTATGTCTTCATGGTTGTTTGTACACTGATTTTGGGTCATTTCCATGTGATTGTATATAGGTTACTGAAGAGCAACTTGCAGGGCTCTTTATTCACTGTGGACAGGTAGCTGGCCTTGCCTTCACTTACGTGTGACACATTTTGTTAATTGCTGATGGTGGATTATGTTTCTTACTGATCTCCTCTTGTCTTTTCGGAACAAAGGTTGTTGACTGTCGTATATGTGGTGACCCTAACTCTGTTCTCCGTTTTGCCTTCGTTGAGTTTACTGATGAAGGTAATTTCGTGAGCTCTTATCTTTCTCAATGGATGAGCGTAGCTATGTTGATTGAACAATCAAATGTGCTTGCTTGCAGAAGGTGCAAGGACTGCATTAAGTTTGTCAGGGACTGTTCTTGGATATTACCCACTAAGAGTGCTGCCTTCAAAAACTGCTATTGCTCCTGTTAACCCAACGTTTTTGCCAAGGGTGAGGACTTACTTGTATGCAATGAATGATCTTCTTCAATATCTAATTATCAACTTTAGAAACCATATCAATAATATGGTGCTTGTCTTAAATTTCTGTTTTATTGCCTGACTTTCTGACATAATCATGATCCTCAGTCTGAAGATGAGCGCGAGATGTGTGCAAGGACCGTTTATTGTACAAATATTGACAAAAAGGTAATATTGGAAGCTACATGATATCTGCTAATGTTTTTAAGAACAATATCTGAAATATTTTTCCTGATTTCTTTGATTTTAATTAATGTAGATTACTCAGGCAGATGTCAGGCTCTTCTTTGAATCCTTTTGCGGAGAGGTCTGTAGTGGCTTATATAACAAACTTACAAAACGTTGCCTGTCTTGGAATAGCAGACCGTACCTTATTGGACATTTTGTTTTGCATAGGTTCATCGCTTGAGGCTCCTTGGAGACTATCATCACTCGACCCGCATTGCTTTTGTGGAGTTTGCAGTGGTAATTACCCATGTACTCTTGATCTTTACATACTGACTTTTTAGCATCCATATGTTACTGGTTCAAAATATATGCAATGTCTCATGTGTCTTGTGAACTTTTACTACTTTAAAACCAATCATAATGTAGAGTTGTTTCTGCAATCTCTTGTGGTCTGAATTTCTCTGTACCTTAGCCATTTGCTTTCCTTCAACTATTGGGGCCACCTGCTTTCTGGAACCTCATCTGGAAAAGCCTGTTGTTTCATTCCTTTTCTTGTCTAAACTATCTCCTTTCTGTTTGTTAGTATTTGTGCATATTTATAGCATTCAAAACTAGATCAAACTTTCTAATGTTTAATAAGGGCCTTCATTTTGGAAATGTTCAGAAGTTGCAATCTTGTATATTATGTTAGAATGTTAAGAAAATTCAACATATTTTTAGAGGATGCATATGAGCCACATATAAAGCTTTTAATTGAGAGGTGCAGATGCTATGTTGGAATTGGCATTGATAGGACTGCAAGAATCACTACCTTTGATGTCATAATTAAATTGCTTTTGGGGAACTTAAATTTTAACCTCAGCAACAGAAGGTCAGTAACTCTGCTCAAGTTTCCTTTTGTGGTTCACTGAGGATTCTGTACTTGCACAAAATCATATAATAATAGTTAAAGACATTGATCGTGGCATCAAATGAGTCCATTCATAAGTTGATGTAAAAAATGGAATTTGGTTGAATGGATTTGAATTTTTGTTTAGATTTTCATTGTAGTGGTTGTTGGTGTTCAGGTTGTTTATACTGGGCCTGGTGCAATTAAAGGTTTGGGGTTGCTAGGGTAGGAAATATATCGTCTTCCCTTCTGTTGAATCGCAAGGCACTGATTTGATTTACAAGTCCATTCAGTCTTAACCTCCCTCCCTATTTGGTTGTCCCTCTTCTTCCCTTTTCTTTTATGTCATTCTATGTGTAGGATGGCCTGATGGGCACCAAAGAAGTCACAGCGGGAATATAGTTTGTATATATGGCTGTGCGCCCTTCACACTGCTTTCTTTGGGTGTGAAACCTGGTCTTTGCATCATATCACCATTTTTGGATCTGCTTCTCCTCTCCAATGTCATGAATATTGCTTAATGTGGAACTACATCACATAGGAGAATAGAGAAGCTGGAGTTCTGGTGGTGGTGTTGATTTGAGGTTGAAGTTGAGGCTCCTCTAGAACGAGGCTCCTTATCAATATTGCTTTTAATTTATTAATAAGATGAAATACCGAAAAACATTGTGATTAAGAGGACTGATTGAAGGTTATCTTATCTCTTGATGGATTTATATAGAGGTGTCAATCCTACAGCACTGGGAAATGCCATCCATTTTGAGTTTAGGGGAACCCTCAGTCTGTGTGCACACATTCTTGTGATTGACTCGGATAGTAACCTTAGGAAAAGATTGCTTACCAGGCATTGCCAATCTTCTACTTTATTGGGAATGCTTAGTTTAGTTTGCACATATTCCTAAACTACTGCTCACTTTTCTTGGCTCCTTTAATCTAGTTTGTTTGCTTCTCACCTAGTCCTTCAATTCTTCATTTGTTTTCACAAACCTTTAGAATTATCCCATCACCCAATCCCCAAACCTAGCCTATTTTCAGTCAATAGTTTTTAAGCTTTGATAATTAGTTAGTTACTTTCAGTTTCTACACACATTTATATTCAAAGATGATATTGAAGCTTGGCATGCTTCAGCCATATGCATGATTCTGGCCTTTGGGTGCTCCAAGGATGAAGCCTATGTCTACCTGGGGGAAGCAGTCCCATTTCCACACTTTGACCAGCAAGTCAATTAGGAGTTCTTGTACTTGCCAACCGAAGACCTGGTTATGTACGCATTAATAAAATTGATCACGCTGCCAATTGTGAAGAGTATTGGATGGATCACAAACTAGTGATCCTCTGTACTCCATCCAGAATTGCTCTATAGAATCATGCCTTTAAAACATCTTAGAACATTTCGTAAGTATTTCAATGCCCCCTTTCTGGGATGACTAGGGTATCTTAAGTACTCAGGGCACGTCATGTCAGGCCCTGTGTGGTGCACCAAGACTGCCGATACCCTAAGATGCTCAATCTGGTTGGTTGCTTTGTCTTTATTGTGCTCACTTGAAGCAAGGATATGGAGGTGCTGATAACACCTCTCCCCCATAAAGCTTACAATGGCACTGTTGGTGGAGGGAGTGGCAACACCATTTCCTGGATATGAGGGTTGGAAACAGAAGTGGCAACATCACTGTCAGTACTCAGTAGTGGCCTAGGTCATTCTTTTTGCCACTGGCGCAAAGGTTTTGAAGTCGTCAAACTCCTTCTTTTGTTTAAACCCCTTTGCTACCTGTTGGGTTTGTTTTCCAAGGTACCATCTACATTAACTATCTGACAATTCAGTTACAGCCATTGGGTTTATAAACTTGTAGGGATATCTAACAGAATGCAAATATTGTTGGACATCATCATATATATTTTATCTTTGATGTTGCTTGCTGCCTGAGCAGACCATTATGGGTAGTTGTAGCCTCAGCTTAATATGCTCAATCCCTTCTTCACCATGACAGTATAGAAGTTAGGTCCAAACAGTTTAGGCTTGACTATTTGGAAATAGTTTAGGCATATGATTATTTGGAAATGCTTCAGACAGGACCATTCAGGATCTTAGTACTTACTTCTTTGAAGGTGAAATGGCCTTTATTTTCTTTCTTATTTTTAATTTTTATGTTGTATATGCAATTGCTGGTGGTTATTTAAGCCGTGACATGCTGGAATATTTCCATGTTTTGGCTTGATTTCGTGGACTTGAGGGTGTGTATGGGTGCTATGGGTAAGAATGTCTATAATGGTGTTCTTTCAACTCTTGCAGGCTGAGAGTGCAATTGCAGCTCTTAACTGCAGTGGTGCAGTTCTGGGATCATTGCCAATTAGGTAGTTCAACGGATAATCATTACTTTAGCTGGCTGTTCATTTTCCCTTTTTCCCCTCACATATTGTTGGTTGTACCTTTTGTGTTTCTAACGATTCTTTTGTTTTATATATGCAGGGTGAGCCCGTCAAAGACCCCTGTTCGCCCTCGCATCCCTCGCCCTCCATTCAACTAAATCACGCCTAATGCTTCCTGGACTGATCAACTGCTGATAGATATATTTCTATACATATATAGATACTGAGGTCTTTTGAGGGTACTTGTGGCGTTTATATCTATCCTTGCATGTTAGCCCGGTATCTTTGTTACCTATAGGAGGGTCGTTTATTTTGTCTGTCAGACTATAGAGTTGGATGGGATTTCAAGGTTATGAATGGCTTTATTTATGTTGCATGTCATGATGAATCTCTTGAGAGCTCATACCTTTGGGATATTTCTTGACAATCTAGATTGACTCCTTTACAAGTTTCGGAGTAGTTTTGGTTATGGCTCTCTGTTCCCGGGTGGTGGCCTAAAGTGTGGGATGTGTTTGGCATCACTCTAGGTTTTTGTTTCTGGTTGGTTAAGTTAGGGTTTTTGTTTCCTTTGAAAATGGTGCCATGATTTTTTTTTTTATCGAAAAAAATTAGCAAAAACTGAAAATAAATTCAGTCCACTACTTGTTGGTGGGCAACTGGTAGGAAATGGTTGACTTTGTCACCTGAGGACAGGGTCAAGTTGAACAAAATTTATAGTATTTCATTCATTACAGAGAGAACTAGAGATTGGCATCTCCAGTTAGTTTATAAAAATTCATTTTAGCTCATAGTGATGTATGCAATAATACTTGTTTATTCATTTACAAGAACTTTACAGCAACTAAAGTTTTGAAATTGTCAAACCAAAGCATGGTTTGAAAACAAAACACAGAAATTTTCAATTTCGGAGGCAGAAATCAAAGGTTTTGGCCAGCATTATAGGGAACAAGAGAATTTCTCTTAACGCACCACCTCAATATGGCATCTTGATTGACAATGACATATAAACTGATATTTTCTTCGGATTAAGAATGAATCCAAAATTGGAGTTTGCAATCTAGATTTTCTCTTGAATTGAGTTTCGTCACAAGTAAAAAACTGATTTCTCATGGATTTATACGTATATTTTCTCGTTTCTGCTTCAAGGGGATAATGCCGTACCTTGAGCTTAAATCTTTGTCATGATTTCAAGATCTGTTAGCTCTGCATGGCATGGTGGGAGTTTTATACAAGGCTTACAAAAGTTGAGTCTGGTGGCCTGGAGCCCAATTCATGTTTCCTAAGTTTGAGTTGGGGAAAGAATTGAAAGCCTAAGCTTTCAGGTCAAACAAAAGCCAACAACACTTGGCTGTGAAAGCTAAACTGCCAGCATTTAGCATCTGGTTAGTAGACAAACAGTGTCTCAATCAAAGAACTGAAAGCAATGTTTTTAGCATCTGTTTATGCCAACCATGGTTGAATCATAAAGTCATAAAGAGTTGATGGCCAAGCCAATAGCTATCCAATCTTTTCTCTTGATCTCAACCAATTGATGAAGCATTAATTTGCACTAGGGTTCATGGATGCAAACAGATGGAATATAAACTTTCATGGCATATTGCATATCAGAAAGAACAAATTTAAATCAGAAGTGGAAGACACTATATCAGAAAGAACAAATTTAAATCAGAAGTGGAAGACACTACTGTGCTAAATCATCATTGACAGACAAAATGTTCAGCATCATCCATGCTTGATCAAAATTCTGGCAATACTGTACGAGTGGTGTGTCTTGAAGAAGTAAACTATACAGAACCTGCAAAAGTTTCTTCTTTGTATGGAACCTATTCTGTTACATCCAGTTGAATCTGAAATGGTGTGAACTAATTTACTATAATTAATAATCTGTTCAGATACTGTTCTTGGCACTGTCATTGCTGCTGTTCGGCTGTCACGGCAGGTCTTTCTTCTGTTGCTTCTGCACACATAGCATGTTGCCATTCATCCGTTAAGTGTAATCATATATATTCATGAAACATCAACACAAATGGTACTAATAATACGAGATTGCTCGAGACACTAAACTGGCATTCGGTAGTGAGGAGGAAGCTGAGGAAGGATTTGATAAGGTCCCAAAAGCATTGGATTGCTGAGAGTTTTGAATCATTCTGGGGTAGTAACTTGGGCTGTTCTCTCCATGTTGAGCATAGAATGGGTAATAATTCATGTAGACTCCAGGGGACCCTGATGCCGCTGAGGGGTAATAGAATTGAAACTGTTTCCCTCCATATGCATTGTAAAAGTTATTCTGCAGACACAGAAAACAACTTGTTGGCCAATCAAAACCAGTGATGATTTAGTGTATATATGCCTCTGCCTATGTATGCAAGCATTTATCAGTGAGCAATTTCAGAAAAAAACTAACCACTGCATAAGTGTCCTGTGGGGGGATAGGATAGCTGAAAGATGAAGGGCAAGAAGATTAGAAAACAAGAAAGCACTAAATAGTTAGACAATTCTTTTCAAAAAAAGACAATTTCTTTACCCAAAAACTGAATAAGGATATGCATATTGAGGTATTTGTTGACTGAAGTATGCAGAAGGGCGATGAATGTTTAATGGTGCCATGGATCTTGATGCTGCAGGTCCAGGTTTATCAATTCCTGCAGCTTTAAAGAGAAAAAACAGGAATATAATAAGAATTATCAACATAGAATGAGGATATAAGCCAAAATTATAAACTTGCTACTATTGGCAAGCAATCATAGACCAGAGAAGCTGCAGTTAGACCTTTCTTTTGCGCACCAAAGGCTGCAAGATTACAGTTGGCTCTCCTTCCATCAATAACAGGATATGGGTTTTGACAAGCTCTTGTTGCTGAATCAGGATCCTTGAAATTTACCTAAGAAACACACACATGACAGAACTACAACGAATTAGATACATGATCACGCCAAATCTACAGAAGGCTTAGCTAAAAACGTTAGGGCTAGCTTACAAATCCATATCCTTTTGATCTTCCTGTGCTCCTATCAAGGATCACAGCTGCTTCTATGATCTCTCCAAACTGCTCAAAATAACCCTGCAAAGAATCTTTTCTGGTCCCCCAGGGCAATCCTCCAACAAAAATCTTGGTGTAAGTTGTGTCATGCGTGAATTCTGGAACACTATTAGTTTCATTCACAACCATCCTATCTTCCACGATCTCTTGAGACATCCCAGTACAGATATATATACTAAATCCAAACTTCCACAAGCTGCAAAAAGAACAAAACAAAGAACTAGCTAGACGATCCTAGTTCCTAACCCAGATGCCAAAATATAGTGAAAAAGAATAAGAAAGTGAGAAATAGCCGTTTTGATCAATCAAAATCAATACCAAAAGACTACTTTAATGAACACACTGCTTTTTCTGTCTCCAGTTTCTAGAAAGAAAAAAACCTACTAGATTTAGTCTGCCAAGTGCTCTTGGATTCCCCAACAAAGATACTCTTAACAAGAAAATTGTTAACTGTTAGATACCCAAAAAGTCTTGGGCTCGAAAGAAAAAGAAAAACATGAGAAAACCCACACATGTAGTTTTCTTTGCTTTTGCAAACGAATATGGAAATTAAGAAAGAAAGATATAGAAGAAGAATTAAGAAACTACAAAAAGAATCAGTGCAGATGTTTAGGAAATTTCCAAGGAAATAAAAAACATAAAAATTTTGTTTCCTTTCTTTGGAACATACTTTAATGAGTCCAAGGTTACGTGCCCTGGTGTACCTGACCCTCCTATCTCCTACTTCCTCAACTGTTCTTAGTTTTTCTTCTTTGTTAAGTCTTCAAGAGTGTAACATGAAGACAAAATCATTTCCGAAATTAATTAATGGATTTTTTTACATATCCAGATTTTGTAAAATTCTATTTTTTTCTTCTGAGACTTTAAATTATTTTTGTTCAATTTCAGAATTCTATTTTTATATTAAAGCTGTTTCATATTTTAATACATCACGTAAGTACACGTGACAAACTCTATCTAATAATAGTTTGTCACGTGTCATGTTCTAATCAATGACATCTTGCTACGTGTCGTGATGGCTCAAATTGAGTAATTGAATTGGTGATGTAGCAAGTCGTCATTGGCTAGACCACACACGTGATAAACTCGTTATTGGCTAGGGTCCGAAACAATAACAACATAAGAATAGAACTCTTAAATTGAAAAAAAAAAACAATTTAAGATTTCAATAAAAAAAAAATCTGGATTGTATAGGATCTCAATATGCGTAAAACTCATTAATTAATTAGGTTAATTATACACTAGTTCTAATTTATTTATTTATTTTGTTAGGAGTATTTTCGTAAGCATTTAAAAAAATATATATATTTTTTGAGAGGTATGATTATATAAAAACATGGTGAATGTTTTGTGTGGATCGAAGGATGTAGAGATTTACGATAAAATTATTATTTATTTATTTTAAAAAGACTAATTAATAACTTACTCATGGAGAGGTTAAGATGGATTAAGACAATTATTCTAACGGAAAGTTCCAGATTTGGCTTCATTTTCTAACGATAGAAAACGTGGCACTGATTTGTTTGTGAGGTATAAGACAAGCCTGCTTTTGTTGTTAATCTTCTGTAATTCCAAGTTTCCAAGTTTTTTGTTTTCAAATTGTCAGGATGTCCCTAACCAGGCTGTAAATAAGTTGTTTGCATCTAAATCATTACACATTCAACAAACGCGTTTTCACAACTCTGATGTTGTAATATTTTTAGGTCAAATTTTATATTAATAAAAATTAAGTCTATCATTTCACGTCTAATCTTTAATCGATATTAAGATTAAATTTTTAAAATTTATTGTCAACTTATGTTTAAAATTAAAAATCATACTCTTAGGTGTTATTTGATAATCGAAATAGAGTGATGGTAATGAAAATAAAATTTTTATTCTCACGTTGTAGAATTGTTTGGTTAAAAAAAATAAAGTGGAATGAGAATAAAGAGTGATAATAGGAATGAAAATTTACACATAACTTAGTTTCTAAATAATATTTAGAAATAAAAAATAAAAAATGGGAATGAATTAAAAACATTTTTCTTGTCAGTTGATTTATGATCTTCGAGATCATAAATTATAGACAATGCATTATGCAATCTAGACATTTGACCTATGTATATAGGACAATCCAAAAGGGTAGCACTTAAATAACGGTAGGATGGACTTTGCAAACAATATCGACAAGAATTTGATTACTTGTTAACCTACCAGTCATCCCTAGTGTCAATAGGGATCCAAACCACCGAATAATCTTCGCAATGATTAGATGAACAAAACTATATTTAGAGACATATTATATCAAATTTTCAAACTCAAGTGGCAGTTGTTGGAGAAATTTTATAAAATTTCTCCCAGTTGTTGTATCGATGCTCAACCAACCATTCAAAATTTGTGGAATCCACTCGTGGGGAGTTGGAAATGTAATATATAGGGAGGCAAATTTTTTAATGAAATTCTAAAAAGAAAAGATTCGATTAATAAAATAGTTTGTATGGAAAATAGTTAAAGTTTTCTCAGTAAAAAGAAAAGAACCGTTAAGCCTGAAAAGAACTCGTAGAAATATTTTCTTGTATATAGAATTTTTGAAAAGTTAAGTGGATTAGTAAAAAATACAAAAAGAAAATAACCATTAAGCTTGAAAAGAATTTATGAAAATATCGTACTGTATATAGGATTTTTGAAAAGTTAAGTGGATTAGTAAAAAATACAAAGAGTTAGTGTTGTGATTTTCGAAATAAAAACTAAACAACTAAACAAAATAGATGCAAGTAATGATAGAAATGAGAAAAAGAAAATGTACTGCTAACAAGACATATATTAGAATTGCAGATAGACAAGTTAGTTAAAATCTAAACAAATAAAGCTTTAAGTATTGTATAATGGACTTGAGAGAGAGTTTAGAGATATTTTTTAGGATTCAAAAGGTTAAAATGTTTGTAAAAGATACCAAAAGCTCTCTTACAATTGCATTGAGGTTGCTATTTATAATAGGAAGAGGACGTCCTTTGATCGTTAAGATCAAGTAATATTATATATGTTTGGATGATTGAATTTGAGTTAGGCATAAAAATTATTATTATTTTTTTGGTTAAATTGCTTCAATTTGTTAGAAAATACTAAATAAAGTAATAATTAGATCTTTCTTCAATAGAGATTTTATTTTGAATCCATCAAGTAAATTTTTAATGCATCTCAAAGACAGGATATGGATATTAGTTTTACTAAAATATTTTTATCTTTCTTTGTACGATTTAGAGTCTTGTGTTAATGAGGTGTATTCTTACTCGATTCATTTATAATGTAGATTAAATCCATATTAAAACCGAGAAAATACATACACTTATTTGCATCAAAAAACGATAAAAGTTACTATATAGAGAAACATTGAAATACTAAAAAAATTATAAAATTGGTATCGGATTCTTGTATCCATTATTTTCGGATATTCTAAATTACATTCAATATTTTTTAATCATAGAAAGCTCATTAATTGAGGAATCAATATCAAAATTTTCAACAATTTTAAAGAGTATAAATAGTTATTTTCTTGATTGTTCCAGCGTTTATTATAATTATAAAATAATTAACATTTTTAATCCGATTAGATCCACATTCTTAGGTAAAGCTAAAAAACCCATACCGCTTTCATAAGTCGGGTAAATGTCGGTTTTTAAATGAATCGGATAAAGATATGTCAGATCGGATCAAATTGGCATGGATTCAATCTGGACTTATTAGCCCAAGTGCATGTTGGATAGCTGGACTCTTGTACATGGACGAAGACAAGAGAACTAACGTTAATCCAGTCCTTTTAAGGAAAAACTTCTATACCCTTTCTCTCTGGTGATTGCGTTTACAAAGGTTTTAGAGAAGACAGAATGGAAGAGAAAGAAAAGGGCAGCAAAGGAGGTAGTGAGGAGAGATGGAAAGGAGCTATAGCTAATCTAACAGAGATGACATCAAATCTTGACTCTCTTCAAAAGTTACTCCTTAAAAAAGCTGTCTTTGTTGACGATGAAACCTTCTCAAAAGCCTCCCTCACTTCTGAACAAGCCCGCACTATCAAGGTATTGAATTCTTGATCTGGGGTTTCCTTTTTCACTCAATCTTGATGGGTTTGCTGTTGAATTATGATTCTCGACGTTGGTTTCTTCTGTTTGTCATGGTCATTGACCAATTTCACAATATGGGTTTTGTAAAGGTAGTTTGTTTTTTCTTAGCATTTTGTAGGATTTCTTAGGTAACGAATGCTTGGTTTATTTGACTATGAGTGTAAGAGCAGAATAAGTGGATTGGTTGATTCTTGAATAGTAGTTCAAGAAAGTATGATTTATTAGCCATGGATTGGATGAGCTATGGCAGAGTGATGAGAGAAAACTTGCACGCTGGAAATTTAAGCTTAATTTTTGAAATGCTCTTGCTAGTTCGTTCACTAGGACACTTCCTTTGACCATTTGGAGAAAACCAAAAAAAGATCATTAATTTTGAATCCAAATTTCTGTGGACACCGAAAATAGATAGCTATTTTAGATATTTAACACACGAAAAAGGAAAAATTGCTAATAAATTGGAGCTCTTGCATCATGGGGTTGTAGCCTGTTAGATTATGACTGAATAAAGCTATTAGTCTAGTGATTGAGATTTCAAGAAAGTGATGCTGGTTTGCTATTGCGTATACATACCTTCTATGCACAATCAACATGCATCCAGATTTTATCTTGAGTGAGTAAGTTTACAACTTGGGTTGATTACTACTATGTTTTCAATAAAGCTATTGTCTTATGTTTTCTCTTGTTTTCCTTAATGTCTGAATGTATTATCAAGGCAGCATCAAGAATCATATGCAGGCTGTCTGTTGTGTATAGGTTCTTGAACAACGGGTAGAGACTTTGGAAAGGGAACTTGATGCTGCCATCTCAGCTGCTGCTCGTGCTCGTGCAGAAAAGCGACAGGCGGAGGCAGCACAAAAGGCTGCTGAATTACGTGCACAAGAGATAACAAGAGAACTCGAGAACACCACAAGTATGTCCGCTAACACTTCTTTTCAACTATATATTGGTGAAAGAAAAAGTAGGAAAAGTTAGCTTCATTCCCAGTGCATTTTTAGTATCTGTGTGATGCAGCCAACAAGAGTAGCGTTTGTCTTCCTATTTGATTCTAAAGCTCAAAAATGTTTTTGTGATTTTCAGATTCATCTCTGTAATTTTTAGATTTCTGGAAATTTGTAGGTCTAGATTTCTAATTTAAAGTTCAGCAGTAAATTTTTTGGTTTGATTAGGTTTTTCCTATTCTAAATAGAAATGGTAGTGCTTTCTTGTTTATGAATTTAATCCTTTATTAGACGAGTAGTAGTAAAAACTCTCTGTGTAGCTATGACATCTTTGGATAAGGACGAAGGCAATATTTTCAGAGAATTACCAACAATTATGCTATTGTGAACATGTGATGCAATCAATTTCAGGTTGAACTCACAAGAATTGTAGTTGTGATGCTTAGGTTTCTTCGTATAGGTGTGATTCCTAGAAACTAAAATGCAATTCAATTCACAAACCCAAAATCTTTCTGTTCTTCAGTTTACCCTAAAATGCAAATTTTCCAAATCCTAGCTGCCATAAAACTCACGGGACAAAAATTCAATTGTGTTTTGCGTTTTCTAATTACAGCATTTATGATTTTCTTATGTACTTCGATGTGTATAGCCAAAGCACAAAAATGTTTTTTTTTCCCCCAAAAGATTGCAATTGCATGATTGTGTTCCAAATTTTAAGGTAAAAGTATAAGTGCAATGCTATTTGTTATCATGGTCAGTGAAATGCTAAGTAGTGTATGAGAAATGGATCCATGAGGGAGTGGATGTAATAACAGAGTGGTAATTGATTATGATGTAAAGTGGTTTGGTGGATAGTTTATTTGCTGTGTTGAAAGTTCTATCTGTGAGAGAAGGGGAGGGTCTCTGTCGTGGATTTTATGGTGAAAGCAAGGTGGTTTTTACTAATAAGGGAAGTGTAGGGGTTGGAAAATATGTGGAATTGGTTCAGGAAAAGATTTGAACCCACTAAGCCAAACCTCTCTAAGATATCATATCAATGCAAGACTAATTGGAGGATTCTTCCACTAATATCTCATTTAATCCTCTTCATCACCTGCAGTAAAAATCATGTCATGTTAGCAACAACAATATTTGAGAATAAACTAGTAATCTTTACGTGTATTGTGATTGAAGGTTAATTTGTGCAAAAACTCTGAACAATATTTCCTATGCTTACTGTGAGTTATAGCACCTGGGTGTCTTTTTATTAGTTGACACTCGAAATCATGGCAACTTCACTTGTTTTTCAATCTCGTCAATTTCTGGTCTTGATGATTAACCCTTACTTTTCAAATTTTGTTGGCAATTATTATTTTATATTTCCTCATCAAAATTTAAAGTATAATGTTGCTTTCTTTGCTGCAGAGGTATTTGAACTGCACATGGAAGAGTTGCGTGCAAAGCAAGAAGAGATTTCTAAGCGTGATAGTGACATCAAACTTTTGGAAGCGATAATTCAGACACTTGGTGGAAAAGAATCCCGTTCTACTAGTGGGTAACCTGGTTTTCTTTTTATTTCCTTTTTCCTTTTTTTTTCTTATGTAGATGAAAGAGGTCTGTAAAATGCTCTGTATTACATATTTCATGCTTGACAATAAAAGATTTAGGAACCTAAGATTGTGTCCTCTTTGACACACATTCAATTATTTTCCATGTAACTTGAGAAGCAAATATCAAAAGGTAATAGTGTTCGCTGGTTACACGATAAGGGATGATGTTTCAGTTTATCCCCCATTTAACCTCTTTTGTCGCAGACGTGAGTCTGGATCAGGTCTGATACTTTGATCTCAAGTTTTGTAATTACCGGTAGTAATTTTACCAGTTAAAGTATATGCTTGTTGCATAATGCACTAGTGCAGAAAATGCTCCTTGAATTGGTCTGACAATTCAAAGACAGCCTAGTTCAATATTCATGCATTATTTCCTACAGGAGTCCATTTTATTTAGTTGTAAAAAGGTTCGAAACCGAGACCTCGCAGGGGGAGGAGAATACAGATGCGAATTCAGTCACGGGCTCATATGGTGGAGCCATGATACGTTGAATTTGCAACAGGGCATTGTAAGCTCGAGTGATAGACAATTGAAGAAGATACATGCCTCTATACTGCACATGAATTGAATGAACTCAGGTTTTGACCTTTTCAAATTTGACTTGATAAGATTTGTGGAGCTTTGTTTTATATTATTACAAGCTAACTACTCAAACTCAAGTTTCTTGTCTTGCCTATCAACTCATCAAAGAATGACACTAATGCAGATTTATTATATAGCTTGGATGTATGATACTAAAGAAAAAGGAACAATAAACCTCGTATGACTAGAAAAATTTGTCCTTCATTTTAGTCAATGCATACATGTCTCCTACCTGTTCAATAGAAATCCAATTGTAAATTGTATTTTAATAAGAATGTGAAAAGAATTGATGCTGTTGGGCCCAGCACACCATGAGAAGAGAATCTTTATGTATTGTCTTCTTGCCTCCTTACTTACCTCCATTATCTCCAAAAGGGCTTCCATCTTCCTCCATGAATTTTTGAGTCTTAATAAAATATTATTACACGACAGAGAGGGGGTAAGTTTGCTTGCGACATATGCAACTTGATGACCTAAGTTATTACCATACGTAAGATTGGTAGGGTAAGCCAATGGTGTTTCGGACTGAGGGAGATTCGAGGACACCGTGTCTGTTAAGGAATTGGTCTCGTGATTAAGAGGGCATGACTCTTTCTCGATCCATCAGATTCGTATATCGTGTTAAAGCTATGAGAAGTAAAATTCTTATAAATTTTCTAATCCGCACATAGATGTCCTCCCCCTCAGCGGATTCTTCATGGTATCTCAGGCTTAAAAACCAAATTAATACCTCACTGTTTTTTCTGACGTGTAAAGTAAGGATAGTTATTTAGAGAGTTTTTTACATTCATAAAGATTCGAATTCAAAACTACTTATTTAAACGATTAGAATTCCTTCTATTCACTTCTATTTAAGCTATTAGAATCCCTTCTATTCATACCAACTCTTTTAGGTATAGATGGCTTCTTTTGATAAAACAAATCCGTACACAAAATAAGCTCGAAGATACCTAAATGTAAAACAAACCAAAAGGAGTGGGAAGACAAATTTCAGGGTCTCACCTTTGAGTTTGTACCGATATTTCTGACCTGGCTAGCTACTAGCTAGTGCCAAACTGTAGGTTAGGTAAGTTGGATGTGTACAGTTTCTATTGAAAAGTCAATCGGCTAATTAGTAAGTCAACCACTTAAGTGAACTTATTACAATTAATTAATCTTTTGTTCTTGAGTAAGATTCTAGGAAAATCTCTGTCTTTATGGCTTCATCCTTCATCTTCCACAATTTGATAATGACATTTTCTTGGTGGAAGCTCCAACAATACCTAGCAAGAGCACTTCAAGCAAGTAAAAACTATCAAGTTACATAATTATTAATTTCTTACCACTTGTAGATTACTTACGTATACTACTTACCTGCAAATGCTGCAATTCTATCATCATCTCTTGCGTCACGCTAAGCAATAAGTTCAGTGAATGGAGGATGAGTATGATTTTCCAAACTCAACGTAAGTGTTCTTTTTGGGGGGGTTTTAGTCTAATCTAGCAAGATTCATCCTTGCAAGGCATGTCAAATAGAGCAAACTCATTTACTTCAACCTTTCTGTTTCAACTTAGTTTCTGAATGATACAAACCACCGATAAGATAGACTCATAGATCCACATCACACGAAAAATACATTTGAGATCGATAGTTTAGAACAAATACATGAACAATTCTAGCAACTATCTTCCTAAAGAGCCAACTGTGTGGTACGTACATTGTTCATCAAATCCTGCCAGAAAATCTCCAGCTATCAGTTCTGGCAGTGAAGGTTCTTACTGAGCAATTTTTTAAATGCCCCTATGTGTTAAAATTATCAGCTAACTTTTTTGTTAGAACCACCATTTTAATGGAGATTCTGTTCACCAGATCCTTATTATTATACACACATGAGCCTAGGAAATCTATAGTTTACCAGATCCTAAGGGTCCTAATGCCCCATCTCTACCTAACCCATCATCTGTCAACTGCATATTTGCATGAGGAAAATGTTTGGTCTGTAATTATTAATACATGTCCATTTTTTTTCAAACTGATCAGTTGCAGAAGAAGACAGAAATAATCTTCGCTAATTGCTTTCTTTATGATCAAATCCAACATTATATGGTCCACTAAGTAGATGCTGGCAATGTAATTAGTGCAGAATCTGAAAAAGATAATGCACCTAAACCCACTAAAGCTTTTAAAATATCACTATACTGTTCCCTATGTCATTAATGACTTATCTTCCTGCCCTTACATCATCAAAAACGTAAGAATGATGCAAGAAATACAAAAGGAAAATCAAAAAAGAAAAACCAAAAGGGACAAAATGAAGAACCCTAAACTGCAAATTGCTGGTCCAGCATGACCTAGATATTTCATAGACAAACCACTAAAGATATAGGCATACTCCATGAAAATTATTATTTGCATTTGCCATTTTCCCCTCTTACTTTAATGGTCTAAAGTGGTGCCAACCTCTTATGCTGTGCCACTTGTTTGCAGCACTGAAGTTTATAGGACACGGCAAACATTTTTTACCAATTGGGCTCATAGCATCGATTCAGAGTATTTTTGGACCACTTTCGTAAAAATTAAAATATTTTAAAAATAAATTTTTTATATTAGTATAAGTGTAGAGGAGAATAATTTTTTTAAATATTGATTTTACGATAAATCAAGCTTAAGAAGTTGATTAAGAAAAAAATCTCATATTATAAATTGAAATTACAAAGAAAGTTAATGGCATAGAAGAAGAAGAAGAGCGATGCTAGCAAGCCACCTTCCACTAACCGGCCTATCTTGCATGCGTGTTGACAAAATTTACATATCTTTTGCTTTCTAAACAAAAATGAATATTTCATTGCTTCTCTTTTTTTCCTTTCTAAATTAATTTTACCATTTCTTCTAAGCAGAAAGAAAGATAGCTTTCTAACCTCCACTACTATAGTAAACCCAAAAAAGACTTACATTTCTTAAGTGTGTGTGTATATATATCTCTTTAACTCTCTCTCTCTCTCTCTCCCCCTTAACTCTATACAACAACAAAGTAGAGAAATCCCCCTTCTCATCTTGTAAAATTGTTTAGAACTTTCATGGCCATCTTTTCTTGGAGAAAAATGGGCAATTGTTTAGGCCATTGTGTTATTAGACCTCCCTTTATAGGTTCTTGCATTAGATTTCCTGAAACCAAGCATGAGGAAGTTTTGCAGGTTGTCAAAACAGATGGAAAGGTTTTGGAATTCAGCAATCCAATTCTTGTCAAAGATATCTTGGTAAATTTTTCTGGTTCAGGTATTGGTCTGACAAAGGAAGCTATAGAGCATCTGCCACCAAGTTATGAGTTGAAGCTTGGAAATGTTTACCATATTCTTCCTCCAGCTCCAGTGATTTCACCTGTGGTTGACAGAGAAGAAGAAGCAAGTGGTGGTGTCAAGAGGATTAAAGTTGTAATAACAAAGCAGCAACTTCAGCAGCTTTTGACAAAGGAAATATCTGTTGAGGAGGTCCTGTTGGGGCTAGAGCAGAAAAGTTCTTCTCTTGATTCTCCAAGAAATTGGAAGCCAAAGCTGGAATCAATCCCTGAAGGATTCGAGTAGTATAGCTTTGGAAACGTACAATTTAGGTACTGGATTCTCTCTTTATCATATAGATGTACTGCTTAGGCATAGATGGAAAAGATGTAAAAAGAAAAATATCAAAAGTATTCTGCTATAGAATTTTGAATGATTTTCATATTTTCTCTTCTCAATGTGTTCTTACTGGATTAATTTCTTGAAACAGAAAGCAGGAGATGATTCTCTCTTACTTCTGCTATTTCTATTTTCTTGCCATGAACAATGTGAAAAGAATTTCTTTCTTGCTTGCTCTTGTCTAGGATGGCAGGGTATGGTAGACACCGAATGTCCTGATTTGGGCAGTCGCGAGAACAGGCAGTCCTAAGTCAACTAGGTGTTTTAGTCCAATTCAAATGTTAAGCAGAAGGACCGAAGTCCTGTCTTAATAGATACAATTGGGCAGTATTGTCAAGTGGGGTGAGAATGAAACGAAATTTTCGGAGAAAATTGAACCTTAATTACCAAGTTGTAGGTTGTCTTTCCTTCCAAGTTAAGAGAAGACTTTTCGATTGCATTATTGTCCACTTCCCAGAGCTAATCTAGCAAGTTAAAGGCTAGAAAATCTTCATATAATGTCCAAAAGATGCAGGGGAATGCCAGAGGTAAACTGCTCTACTCATCCTGCATACGTTTAACTGTAACCCGAATGGTTCCATTCTTAATTTTTCTAAAATGTTCCTAAACTTGAACAAAAGGGATGATTAAACAGTTAGATATTTGTTCTTGATTGTTTGTTTATACACTAACATCTAAATTCTTTTAATCTTTTATACATCACTCGTATTTGGGGATTTGTATCTGATACGACTATGTCTGACACGAATATCCATGCCAGAGACTTCTATTTTCTCAATTATTTCATCTTCTTGGAGCGTCCGAGTATCCATGTATCCATGTCCGAAAGTCCAATGTCGAAAATGGGTATCTAAGATGGAGTGAAGAGTCGAAGCAACACAGGCAAAAATAGAGAAAGAACCGAAGCAAAACATTGCATATATTTACAAAACAAAAACTGGAGGTTATTACAAACAAAAACACTATATATGGTATAAACTTCTCATAGTTTTCTTACTGGATTTGAACATCGATGACCTTGCGTTCTACTTTGGTCTTAGGAATGCTAATGAACAGAACTCCATTTTTCAACTCAGCCTTGACCTTATCCTTTTCGCAATTATCCGGGAGCCGAAGCCAGGTATCATAAAAACTGACATTGCTGCTAGACCATGAATCATCCCCAGTTTCTTCCTTTTTGTTCTCTCCCTTAATAACAAGCATATCATCCTCGACAGAGACCTTCACGTCCTCCTTGGACAGTCCTGGCATGTCAAACCTCATCTTGATCTCATGCTCCTCATCTTTGATTTCCCATGGTGCACGCAGCTCCCCTCCTGTCTTCTTCCTGCTGCCAGGAACAGTCATTACATCATCGAACAGTCGGTCCATCGTGTCCAACATTTGACGCATTGTCCTCATCGGTGACAATGGATCCAACAAACCTGTGATTAATTAAGTTCAAATTTTAAGTCATTTCAGAGATCAATTTTGCCATTGCACAACATTAATGACTTTTACTGATAAAGAAAAAACTGAATAGTGAAACTAAAGAGCCTTCAACCATGCGGAAGTCGGTGCAAATAGCTTAGTCTCGGTTGACGTTGGTTTATGGATATCTCTAACCGTCAAAATAAATAAATAAATAAATAAAGACTACTCACCGAAAGGGGAGACATCAACAGCCCATCCTCGAGGCCTCCTTTCAACGGCTGTCCCTTGGTTTTTTCCTTGCTGGTGGACTTGCACGTCCACTGAAGCATCCTTTTGATCTCCAGGAGCTTCAGCTCTCACAAAAGCCAACCTTGAAGGCTTAGCAGCAAAACTACCCCTTGATGGAAAAGACACAGAGGAAGGAGCTATTGCCCTAGTTGAATTCATGGCTTTAACTTTGTTTGACAAAAACAAAGGTGCAGATGAAATGGACAAAGTTGATGAAGCCATGACTGGAGAAAGAGAAAAGCGTACACACCGAGTGATAAACAAAGAAACTGTGCTAGTAGAGAAGTGGCTGTACAGTAGTACTCTACGTAGTTTTCTTTCTTGGCTTGCTGATTAAGGAGCTTTGGATGGCGAAATCAGGTGATGAAGACTATGAATATATAGAGAGAATTTGGAAGTATGGAGATAAGTCTTGAAAGTTTAAGAATTTTGAAGGTTCTCGAGCTCACTCAAAGAAACACCTGGATTCCTGTTGCACTTGGTTGTCTCCTTTTGGGATTTTCTCTCATCCTTTCGGGAAACATCCTTGTATCTTGTCGTACATGGGGAGGCGTTGTAGACTGTAACAATGTCAGACTTCTAGCCCAATTGTTTTTTTGGTTCATCATCCAAGCCCATATGATAGTTAGACAAAAGTGACTTATTTTTGCACTTGGACCCTCTCGATTTTGGACAAAACCTTATTTTGTACACAGAAAAATGGTGATGTGTGGATTCTCTGTTTTCTATTATTTCTACAGCCTGCTATTAATGGATTCTCATTCTCTAGCTGAATATAGGTTTTAAACACCAAACACTAAAAAATGGGTCTTAAACGATAAATCCAACATTCCATTCCATCCCCCTTTTGGAGAAGCTCTCAAAATGACTTCCATCCTTGAATTCCCTGATTTTTATATATGATTTTTTAAAAAACAAACTGGAAACTAAGATTAATTAGTCCTGTACGTAAAAGAATTATAACCTTATTATTCTTGGCTAAACAAGCTATTATCTTAATAATCGAGTTAAATATATTCCTTTACTCGTTTCAAATGTTTTAATCATATCTCTTTATTAAAATTTTCAACTATCGTATATTTTTGTTCTTAATTATATCTACATTTGATCCATTCGATCATTTTTTAAGACAATAAAATTTTATTATTCTTTATCTTCGTTGTATGAAAAGTGATCGAATAAACTAAATACAGATGCAATTAAGAATAAAAAGACATGATAATTAAAAAATTTAACACAACGATACGATTAAGACATCTGAATCTGAATCAGTAAAGGACATATTGAGCTTTTAACACCTTCATAATCTTCATTATATTTTACCAAAATCAGTATAACTATGCCAAGATAAGAGAAGAAAATAACATCAGGAAACATGTTTCAAAGATCCAAAAGCAATAAACCAAGCTACTTTGAACTGTCATTTCGGTTGATTTTGGACAAAACCATGTTACATTGAAGACATCTGAGAAAGTGTCAAAACTGTCATTGTTCTTAGAGGATTAATGGTGAACCAACCCAGCCCTGTGATATAGCAATGGAGCAGAAGTAATTTTATCATGACCCACATAAAGAAGACACTCACACGACACAAAATCAGAGGATCCAAGGCAGTTGATTTTCAGCAACTCGTGAATTTTTAACTCACAAGTCCCTATCTTCTTCTTCTTTTTCCTTTTGTTACAACTAGACCATATATATGTCACAATCTTCCAGATGCCCAAAATCTCCATAAAACATATAAAGAGACATGAGAAAGCTACCAAAGATGCGGTCTGAGAAAACTACCAAAGATGCCTAATATCGATTGATACAGAAACTCGAAAATACTTCGTAAATATTAAAAAATAAAAATGAAAAGACAAAAAAGAAGGCTGATAGAGAATTCATAATAGTTTGACTGGTCTATGAATGGGGACAGACTGTGTCTTTCAGACATAATTATACAAGTCCTATTACTACCCTAATTCCTATGCCAATTACCCTAAGCTAGGGTAGGTCTGCCTTTGAGTTCCCAAATTCTTCCATAGCCCTATCCTAAAGCAGCAAATCACAAGACCAATTGCCCTGAAAACCCTAGTTGTTTCAGTCCCATTGGAAGATCGCTAGAGCAAAAGACATTGTTCTCCTCTTCTCCACAAATCCCAAATCCTTAAAATGAGCATATAATCATACAGAAAGAAACTACGCAATCTCTCAACACGTGAAGCAAAGGGAATTTCTCGTATTTTTAACACAAAAACATGAAAAAGCAAAGCAAAAGCATAGCAAAGCAAAGCAACATGGCACCCACCAACTTCTGTTCCTCCCTTTTTCTTCACTACAGGAAATACTATCCAGGCTTTCAGCATTCTCGAGGGAGTTAATTATATATTAGTCCTAAAGCTTAGCGAAATATACTGATCAGTCCTCATGGTTTCCAAAATTATATATTTAATCCTTATATTTTAAAATCAGTCTCTTTTTTTAATTTATTTTCTTTTTATTTTTTATTCAAAAAATATTTTGGACTCCTTAAAAGTCCTAACCAAAGAGCACATAGGTCTCAAAACACATAGTTTTTCTTCTAAAAATAACTTTTTTCATTGATGAAAAGTATTAAATATTTATTTAAACCATGAGATCTTTGAACGAGATTCGCATTACTTTAAAAATATTAATCTTTAATTAGAAAAATAAAAATTTTAATTGGAAAAATTTTCTGATCCAATAGCCTCATAAAGCTCGGTAGAATAAGCGGTATTGTTAAAAATAGGAAGATTTGATGAGAAAAAAAAATTGAAAAAACAAAAACTAATAAATTGAGCAGAGTCAACACTATTTGAAAAATTATTTATATATTTTAGATATTACAGGGATTGAATATATTTTCCACTAAACTACAGGGACTACGATAAAATTAACACTTCTCGAGGGTACTTACTCTTCTGATGTTGTCTCCAACTGTCTGACACAAAGCTCCTTTAGTGTCCTCCATGCCACAAGAAGCCACCATTTCTTTTTAGCATATACACTCTGTCCATATTATTAGCATTGGCATTTTACGTTTTCGCATCATAGACATTGCACAGACTCAGAGTCTGTTCCCAAATGCATGGACTACCTCTACCCCTCTTGCAGGCTAAATTATTTGTTCATTCATTTCTCTGTGCCTTTCGCATTTAAACTTACCAACCACTCAAATCTTTGAAGCTGCTAGCTCTAGACTGGTTGGTCCTTTTTGGCCTTTATATTTAGCTAAGTTTATCGCTATAGTAATTTGTAGTTTTGATTGCATCATGGGAAAGAATGGAGGAAGCTCTTGGCTTAGTGCAGTTAAAAGGGCTTTCAGGTCTCCTAGTAAAGAAAACGATAAGAAAAGTAGCAGGAGAGAAGATCATGAACAACAGGAGGAAGAAAAGGTGAAACATTCTTTTCTTGATTAGTAATTTCTTTGTAACGTAATTATTGCTCATTGACATAATTTTGTGGGTTAATTCGTGCAGAAGAGAGGGAAAAGAAGATGGCTTTTCAGGAAGCCATCAAATCAAGAAACAGTGATACACCATTGCGAAGCAAACACCATCACTAACATCAGAGCAACTACCAATGCTGCTGCTGCTGCTAATAATAGTATTAGTACTGAAGCTGCTGATGCTAAGCAAAGACATGCCCTTGCAGTTGCCATGGCTAAAACAGCAGTTGCAACAGCTCAAGCAGCTGTTGAAGTTGTTAGACTCTCCAGGCCTCCCCTTTTTGTGAAGCAACACTTTGCTGCCATTGCTATACAAACAGCTTTTAGAGGATATCTGGTAAGTAATTAACAAGAGATCAGTGAAGAAAAATTACATATCTCTTAATAGTTTTTTGATTAACTGATATGGTTGTGTTTCTGAAGGCAAAGAGAGCTCTTAGAGCACTTAAGGGGCTAGTAAAGCTGCAAGCCTTAGTGAGAGGCCATAATGTTAGAAAGAGAGCAAAAATGACTCTTCAGTGCATGCAAGCTATGGTGAGGGTGCAATCTCGGGTACGTGAGCAACGTAGAAGGCTTTCCTATGAAGGCAGCACAAATTCCATATCCAGTGATTCAAATAACTTGTGGGGATCAAATCTTGCTGAGAGGAAATCTACTGTAAGAAATTTTTCAGAGAACACGCATGATGTGCCATGCTTCAGCTTGTTAATTTTGATTTGGTTAATTCTTAACAATGTACTGCAGTGTAGGGATGGAAGCAGGAGCACTGCTGATGATTGGGTTCATTGCAATTACCAGCATAAAACACTAGAGGAAATACAGGCAATGTTACAGGAAACAAAGGAAGTAGTTGCCTTGAAACGTGAAAAGGCTCTTGCTTATGCTTTCTCTCATCAGGTTCTTACCACTTTCCTTGTTTGATCTAGCTCCTTTTGTTTTGGTTGGCACTAGCAAGTTAGCAACAATTCGATGTATATTAATTCCTGCATTGTTAGATATGGAGACCTGGACGAGATTCATATGCAAGTGAAGGGGAGGTAGAAGAGAATCCCAGATGGCTAGACAGGTGGAGAACAAGAAAGGAATGGGAGAGAATTAGAGACCCTGTCAAAACTGTTGAAATGGACACCTCTAGACCTTACTCTTACGCGACCCATAATGCTCATAAATTCCATCATCAATGTCACTACCAACAACCCAGGCCTAGTTTTGCCTCTCCTCTTCAAAAAAACCATAACAACCTCTCACAACCAGTCACACCATCCCTTTCCAAAACAACAACACTACTTCAAGTCCATTCAGCTAGCCCTCGTTGCCTGCGAGAAGGCAGGAGCCATATAATGGAAGCAACGACTCCATCTGCTGCTTCAATCCCTAACTACATGGCTGCCACTGCTTCTGCCAAGGCTAGAATTCGATCACAAAGTGCACCAAGGCAGAGAGCTCCAACCCCAGAAAGAGAAAAGTCAGGTTCAGCCAAAAAACGCCTGTCTTTTCCACTATCTGACCCGGAGACTAGCGATGATCGTAACATGGCTAATGATTATAGCCTGAGAAGCCCAAGTATGAAGGGAATTCATGGAGCTAACATGGCAATGGAGCAAAGGTCTAACATGTCTTCTTGTTACACAAACAGCATTGATGATGAAGTATCTCCTCCTCCAACTAGTGATCTTAGCAGGTGGCTAAGGTGAAGCCAATATTTGCAGGGAAAGAAAAAGGAAGTGAATTATTCTTTAGTCACTAATTTTTTAATGCATTTTAACTTAATCCTTCATGTTTGAAAACCTATAAGTTAATCCCTTCTCTCTTGTTGACCGTTGCCTTAATTTGTGAAACATCCATTGGTTTTAACACATATTTTATAAGAGAAAGGTCAACAAGAGCGAAGATTTTAAGTTATAGGTTTTCAAACATGAAAAACTAAGTTATAATTTCATTAAAAAATCAGGGACTAAACATAATTTACTCTTAATAATTGGAAAACAGGCTTGGCCATGCTGCAAATGGTAGAACTGGCGGAGTTGGCTGAAGAATAAAAGAAAAGCAAGATGGGATATCAATTTTGTGATCAATCATGATCAGTTTCATCAAAAAAAACCCTAGCTCTTTTAGCAGCTTTTGATGGTATAGTGCACTGCCTTTATTTAATACTTCAATCTAGGCTTGCTGCAACCTTGAAAAAACCAAGCACATTATTGGTTTGATGGAGACATGTCTTGGGCATTAACTTGGTCAAAAATCGATGTATTTAAGAATGTACTCAAATTTCCAACTTGGTATTAGAAGCCAAATGCCACACTACTTTTGTCCATTTTACTAATTGCAATCAGTAATATTCAGTAATTTCTCTAGCTAATGATGGCTGTTAGCATGCAAAATTGAGATCATTGTATGAACAATTTGGCAAATGTGTTAAATATAGCTCGTTCTGGTCGTTTAAAAGATATTAATTAATCAAGGGTAAAGTTGTAAAAAACTCTTTGGAACTTAGACAAAAAAAAAAAAAAACCCTTCAATTGTTTCTAGGGGCGTTCACTATTCGGTGAAAATCGAATAACCGAACTAAACCGCACCAAAATATCAATTTCGGTGCGGTTTTTTTTTAGAAACTAAAAAAAAAACCAAACCGAAATATAGCCGGTTTTCGTTTTTGGTTTTTTTTTTTTTTTTTTTTTTAAATTCGGTTAAAACCGAATAATCGAAATTATTAATTTTTTTTTAAATTTCATTAGTGAATGACGTCGTTCATTCTAATCCTCACACCCTCACCTCACCCTCACGCAAACCTAAGCTGATTGGAGTTAAATCAATTAGCCCATAACCAATTCTTATTGCATTGATTACATGAGCCAACCGGCCCAACACCAAATGACCATAACTAATTCTTGTTTATAATTGTCTAATGAGATACATAATTTCTTTCTTTATTCAATTTATAGTTTGAAAGAAAAGATGTGAGATAGTGTTTTTTTTCTATGTGAAAGAAAACTAGTTAATTTATGGACCTCGATAATAATTAATATGTCTCTTTTTAGTAAACACATATAATTTAAAATTGCGCTAAAGAAAGTTGAGTGTTTAAAGTTTTAATGTTCTTCATTGTTCAAAAATAACATTGCCATTTAATTAGCAAAGGTTAGCTTATGGCTGTCATGTTTAACAAGTTACCCAAAATTATTAGTTCTAATCACGTCAAGTTAATTAAAAGTGTCTTTTATAAAGACAAATAAGTCAATTATATTTGAGCTTCAAAGCATGCTCTATTTCTTTTTAGAAGGAATTGTTAAAATGTCTTAATTGTAACACATATTTAGCGGTATTATCTATCGATATCGATAGACAATAACATATATTATATATTATTAGACTTTATATGGTAATGATGACATCTCGTATTATATATATATATATATATATATATATACCAATTGATATTATATTAGTAATGGGTATTGAGGAGTAGTAAAATAATAGCAAATAAACAGAGTTCAATGAGATTGAAAAACGTATACATATAGGAACATAGCCTAAAATCGCAATGCAAATACTAAATTTATTTTTTCGAAAGTGCATGATCCTTTAAAAAATCAAAAGTATAGATAATTACAAGTGAAAACCGAATTACCTAATAAAAAAAATGATATATTTCAAAACCGAATCGAAAAATCGAATAATAATTCAGTTCGGTTTCGGTTATTTTTTAGACAATTCGGTTAACCAAAAACCGGTCAAAAAAGTTCGAAACCGAACCGAATTACCGACCGAACACCCCTAATTATTTCAATTTCCAATTGGATTTTCTTTCAATTGTTTTTTTTTAATTTAAAATTGAGTTTTTTATTATTTTTTTGTCAACTTTAATGTAAAAATATATTACTTTAATAGCTAAAAGCATACCAAAATTTATGGATATTTTATTTTTTTTCACAAAAAATTTCTTTCCTCCTAAACCTTAAGAAATTAGCAATTAAGTAACATTCTAGAATTTAAAAAAAAACAAAAATTTCAAGTAAAAAAGCAAAATATTTATAAGTTTTTATATATTTTTAGCTATTTGAGAAGTTTAAAAATAACTACCGAGAAGTTATGTATACTTATTCCATTAGAAATTGACAGAAAATTAACAAAATAAGTAAACTTTAAATGAAAAAAATATTTTTTAAAAAATCAACCTGAAATTAAAAGTTGAAATCCTAATTATCAAATAATTTAAAGATGAAGGAAGATCGTATTATAATATATAAAATAATATCATTATAAAATAATATCAAAGCTTAGGTAAAGTAAAGATTCTCTTGGGTTGGATTTTAGCCAGTATCAAAGTTAGAGCCATCCAAGCGTGCATTAACATGAGCAGGGATCCAATGTATTCCATATTGCAAACTACAAGATGGGCAGATATCGAAGATGCCCCTTTTGCTGCATGCTCTTTACCTTTGTCGCCTCATAGTTTATGTTTTGTACATAGGGTAAACATATTTATTTAATTTTATATAATATTTAAAATTTATCGTATGTTTTTAAATTTTTATTTATATTTCATTTGCTTTAAAATTTTTTTGAAATATTAAACCTGTCTTTCCGATCATAGAAAATTTTCTTGATTGAAATGCTCTTCATTAAACTGTGAATAATAATAATATTTAAAGTCACATGAGCTCCATGTTTTATTTTTAAAAGTCATTAGAAATTTTATTTTATTTTATTTTATTTGCATTTCAATCAAGAGCATTTCGGTTAAAAAAAATTATTTTGTCAAAAAAATTGATCGAAAGAACAGATTGAATACTTCAAATACTTTTAAAGATGAATAGAATGCAATTAAAAACCTACGTACACAACGAGAAACTTTGAGTATTATATAAAAATATATAAGTATATTTACCCTTATATATAAATATACCTATCGATTAAATTATAAATTAATCCCTTCGGTTTTGATAAATAAATTAACTAGTCCTTTTATATTTTAAAAAATAGTTATTTTTTTTTCATTTTATATTATTAAATTAAATATAGTTAATACTGATTAAGAGATTAAATAATTATTTAAAAAAATAATTAAATTTTTTCTCAAAACTAATTTATAATTTACTCAAATAGCAACGTGCATCCTTGTCTAATAATGATTGTTTGAAAGACAAACAAGGAAAAAAAAAATCTTAAGCCAAGACAAAGAGAGGGACTTTGGAAAAATAATAATACATATAAAATCAATTTTGTATAGACGAAAAAAATTTAACAATTAATGCTAGGAATTTTAGAAACCAATATTCCCTTCGTCCTAGTTTTATTGCCCTTCATCTTTTGAGAAGTCAACAAAAATTAACCTATTTTTTAATTGATTATGATAATTAAAAATTTTCAAAAATCAAATTTTAGCAAGATTAAATTTTTTTTTTTTTTCTTATAACTATTTTTGTTACATTTTTTTTTATCTAATATAAAATTAAAGAAAAAGTGAGTCAAAATATATTAAATTGACAGTTGAAAAGCAAGCCCATCCCAACTTGTATGTTAAGACATGCCGTAGGGTTTTTGGGCTCAAATATCCAAAATTTCTAATTCTGAAAGAGGAATATGCGCCGATAATGAATTCGAGTATCTTTACTGACTAGTTCGTTAAATGAAACTTCAGGTCCAAAGGGACCCAAAACTCGTAAAGCCCATCTTGGTTAGTTTCTTCTGGTCCTTGTACTTCATCTTATGGGCTCATATGGGCCGAATAATAATAATAATAGATGGGCCATTCAGGCTTTAAGTCCACTTAAATTTAAAAACTGCAGACTGGGTATACGCCCTTTTGGGCTTTGTTGGGTTTAAGATATTTTTTGAGGACGAAAATGGGTTCAAGTTGAAATGGGCTTCATCCCCCTCTTCATTGAAGTAGTATTTGGCCCATTTGGTCCTTTATGTTTGTTTAATTGTTTTCTTGTTTCCTTGGGCAAAGGCTTAAACACTTTTGGAAGGGAGGGGAAAAGAGTCCGAGGTTTGCTTGCCTCAGCCTAAAGTATTCAAATTTGGAGGCACCGCCGCGCCGGATAATGATCCTAAACACGCACCTAATATCAGACACAAACAGCCCAAAAGACAAAAACATCGGATGGTTAACACCATCCGCTTGTGTTTTGTCATGTTCCAAGAAAATCTTAGGGCTAACATCATCCATTTGTGTTGTCATATTCCAAGTATATCACAAAATCTATGTCAAATATATATCTTTTTTTACGAAACAGATCTGAGTCGATTTGATGAGAAGCCATCTAGAGATCTTTTAGATGATATATAACAAAACCATGTCTTTTGTCTCTTTTAACAAAAACAAGCTTTGAGTATCAATACTTGGAACTGATTTTTCTTAGTTAATTTGCTACCTATTCATGGTAAATGAAGTGCTCTAAGGACCTAAACTTCAATAGAAGAAGAAGAAGACAAAAAACTACAAATATTATATACTAAACCAAAGATCAGAAGTTCGGAAAGGATCATGTTGCTTCACCGCACAAATCATAGCACAACTTGATCATTAGCTAAAAGTCTAAAACAGCTTGAAAATGCAAGGACTGATGGATACAGAACAGGAACAGAGCTGTCCTCATGAAGTTAAAAAGAAGACATTTTTCAAATAAAATAAAAGATATTTTCCGACAAAAAGAGGGCTAGACGCGTCTCATGTCTTCCTCAATAACAACGGAAGAAGAGCCCACCGTCACTTCTTTTCCGATCCAAGAACAAAGAACAGGACAACGTCACAACTCATCCAAGCAGGCTCTCTCTTCAGTTCACCGAAAGACAACAGAACAAGCAAGCTAAACAATAAAACATGTCAAATCTAAAAGCCCTTATCTTGATTACGCACAAAAGGTTTCCCATTTAGCCTTGATTTAACCAAAGCATGGTAATTTCAGTTTGGTCCTCGAACTGGCAAGTGCTGGACTGCTATTACCACTGCTGCTATCAGAAAATGAGGCAAGCGTTTTCTGCAGAACCCCAGATGGTGAAGAGACTGCAGTAGCTGGAGGACTAATAGAATCACCATTTTCAATTGTAGAAGAAGATTGATTAGTTCCTGGGATGTTGGCTGTCCTCAATCGTAACACCTCTGCCAAGGGGCCACCTGGCGTGCTGCTGGTGTCACCACATTCTTGATTTTGATCTGATTTGATTAGGCCTAAACCCATTTCGATCTGACTCATGTCATTATCGATAGACTTATTGCCTCCCATTGATAGACTGAGCGGGGAAAGAGGAAGCTTCCCATCTGAAGAAACAGAGCTTGTGTTTCTAGAATTTGTATCATTAGACCATGCATCAATAAAACTTCTTGGAGCCTCATCAAGAAACAGACTATATTGGTTGTTGCTTTGTTGATCTTCTTTCGCATTAAAATTTCCGAATGAGTTTAAATTCAAACACTCTTCTTGGTAATGCTGGTTGAGAACAGATGCATTGTTGAAGGAACCCTCAGTAGCTAGTCCAATTTCTGTGTGCACTAGATGTGGCCATTGTTGATCATTTGTGTCTATAGGACCAGCTTCCCCTTTCAACATCCAGTTCAAACTCCTTGAGCACAAAATCAACAAAAATTAGGGACTAATCAAGTAAAACAAAGAATAACAGTATTTCAAACCAGATAGTTTCAAGATTTCCCTCAAAATAAATGACTAATTAGTAAAATTTAAAGATCAAACAAACCTGGGTTCCTTGTATGTGGAACCATAGGTTCCATTAACGTCAAAAGTTGCAATCTTTTCACTGGATTTGTCTACAAAAACTGGGGTCTGAATATATGGCTGATGCATAGTCCCCACAAACTGATCATGAGAAGCAGAGCCGCTGTTGTTGATAGTGGGGTTAGGAATGGCCACCGTAACAGGAGATTCTGTACAAATAGCAGTATTATGCCGGCTCTTCTTGTTGTTGCTGTTGTTATTGTTGCTTGCATTGAGTTCCACATGCTTTCTTGAACGGGGTTTGCCTCTGTGCATATGACGCTCGCAGTATTTCTGATCTGGTGCCACATCTCTTGAGCACCTCCATTTCTTCCCATCTGTTCTCCTGCACCTCCCTGGCTCTAGATCTGCCCCATTTGTGAACCTTACATTGAACCCGTTCCCCACTGCATGTGCCCATAAAAGCAAACATTAACCACAAAGATTGCAACTTTGACGGACTTATGAATAACCCATCAAGCCCAGAATATTTCACCAAGTAAGAAAAAGAAATTTAGGGGTTTAGCAGTACTTCTTGGGGTTGGAATTAGAAGATGAGGAGGCACAGGAATTGAAGCCATCATGTACTTGTATATCAGGGCTTGTCTTTCAAGCTCTTTCCATTGTGCATTTGTAAAAGGAAACCCCAAAGATGCTGCCATATTGCCTCCTGAACTTGTCACAAAAAAAACAATCACTGTATTTGTCAGTCCGCACAACACTTGACTCTCACTTTAGAGGTCTAATCTTTGAAAGTTGAACAGTGAAAATGAGAGAAACAAACAGCTAGAAGTGGATATATATGACATTGAAAGGAAAAGGAGAGAGAATAGTTTTTACCACCTGGGGATCTGAAGGCAGACGCTGGGGTAGTGATAGTTGTTTCAGAAATGCCAAAAGGCTGCAAACTCCTAACCCCAACTGCACCACCACTGCTTCCACCGCCAGCAGCAACACTGTATATATGATCACCACTGTAGTTGATCAAGGACTTGTTTCTATCAAATGGTGATGTGGGTCCGTTATTAAATGGACGGTGGTGATTAACATGATGAAGCATCATACCAGTACTAAAAGGGTATGATTGATGATATTGACGATGATGATCAATAACTTGATGTAGCTTCACACCAATATCAACAACAACATCACTAGTAGTCAAGTTTCTTTCTTTGGCTGCCTTGTTTGAAACGTTAAACCCATCATCTATTCTCATAATGGAAAAGCAAAAAAAAAAAAAAAAAACTCTCTTTTCTGAATTTAGCAAATTTCCTTTTCCTTTTCCTTTTCCTTTCCCATCAAACAATCAAATTACCATACAGAAAAAGAAAAGAACCTCTCTTGTACGCAATCTCTAAGTTCCTTGCTTATAAGGCTTTTAAAGAGACCAAATCCATGTAGCTAGACCACTTCATTGTGCCCCATATCTCTAATTTTCTCTCTTTCAACACCGTATGAAAAATCTCTCTCTCTCTCTCTCTCTCTCTCCAGTTGGTGGGGTGGAGTGAAGCATGTGGGGTTGACGTGGGATTTGGTGATATAGGAATGGGTTGCCGCCATTCTTGGCCTTTGCTTTGCTTCCATGCTTCCAACATTCGCACCATTGAGGTGGCAGTAGTAGACAAATTAGTAAAAGCAACTCTCTTTCATCATTATTACACTGTATCGTTTTCTGCATGTAAAAGTTAGCTAGCTAGCACAGCCGTACTCTACCCTCCACCTTTTTATCTGCATTTTTTATGATATATTTTGTTTGGGATTTGGGCACACCCACCCCATCTCACCCCATAACATGTCATTCGTTTTTTACCACCGTCAGAAGCATGGGAATTGGCTTCATACATGATCCGGCTTAACTCTTAGAAATCAAAGTCCAAATGATCTAAGAAGATTATTAAAAGTCAACTCTGCAAGTTTTGAACTTACAAAATAATAATAATAATAATAATAATAATAATAACACAGTACTTACTATTTTATTTTGTTTTTAGGTTTCTGAAAATGAATGTTCTGTTCTGTTCTTGTTCTTTGATCAAATGGAACTAAACCATTGGAGCTATGACCCTTCAGGTTATTTCTCAATCAATTGAAAAGAGACAAGTTCATTAAAAAAAAGGACAATCTTTAACATGATGAGACAAGACCATGTGCAATAATTAATGTACTTAGAGCTAAGTGACGATGATAAAAACATCTTAATCACATGCACACAAAACCAAACAAAGGTTGTTTGATACCCCAACAAGGTACCCTTCAGGCGAAGGGATGCTTAAACCACATAGAGCAGCAAAATTGGTCTAGAATGGAGTAAATTTATTCTTTGCTTGTGCTAGTTACTATTCTGCGACACCATATATGGAGGGTGGTGAGCCATAAACTGAGGCAAAGTACAAAACCAACCCCATCATCAGTCTTTTTGTCGTCATAAACACCGTTAGGGCAAACGAATCTTAGCCTCGGGAGTTGAACTAGGGAGTAGGGATGCCCCCCAAAGATGGGGCCACTTCAAGGTCCATCAGATGCGATGCATTAACAAATTGCGCTGTCTCTAGGATGCCCCTCCATTCTATAGCCACAAAAATTGACTCAACCATCACTTGCCCTTTCTGGTACGTGCATGGTTTGCCAAGTACAGTGGATGGTTACTAAATCGGTCGTATTTAACACCTAGGTTAGTGATATCCATTATTCGATGAATAATCGAATCATATCAAAATATTAATTTTTATATAATTTTTTTAAAAAATTAAAATACAATAATTTTAGTTTTTGAATTCGATTTTAGTTTTTTTTTTAAATTAGTTAATCGAAAAATCAAAATTTTTAATATATATATTAGATAACTTGGTATTTTCCTAAATGAAAAATCCTTTTTCCCTAAATACATTTTCTCTAATAGCTTCGTACATAGTCTTTTTTGTCTTTTCTATAAGTATGGATGTACATAAAATAGCAAAGACGTTGATAGATTTTCTATCATCTCAAATTAAAATCTTCTTAAGTAGACGAGTTTATTATTTGTTTATTTGTTCTTACATTTATTATTTTTTTAGGCATAACTTAATTCCTTAAATAGTAGTCCACAAAGCAGAAAGAAACTCGGTCTAAACGAAGATTTCATGAACTTTAATAGAATCAACCATTTATAGAAAAAAATAACATAAAATAAAATAAAACATATACAAATTGAATTACCGAATATGAAAATCGAAATATTTCGTCCCAAACGGAGATGAAGATACTTGTGAAACATCAATGCTCTGTTTAATTTTTTGTTTTCGTTCTCTTTCATTTCATTTTATTATTAAATTTTAAACTATGAAAAAAATAATTTATATAAAAAATAAACTCTAAGAATTAATAGTTATAGATTTTATATAATGTATAATTATAATTTAAAGGATGAAGTCAGATAAATGAAACGAGATGGATAAATGTCATTCTCGTCTTATCCTTATTTAACACTTCATTCTGCTATCCAAACAACATTAGAGAATACTCACGTTGATCCAAACATGATAAGACCGGACTATGTTAGAACGGAGCAAATTTCCAACCGTAGTGGATAGTTACTAAATCGGTTGGATTTAACACCTAGGCTCAAGCAGGAACGTGGCTATGGTGTGAAAACCCTAGGGATGGAGAGAGTGGTGTTCAACCACCATGGGAGAGAGTGAGGCTAGAATATCAATGTATTAGAAATTGAGATGTGGATGTGACTAGACATGATGTGGTTGACAAAAGGTAAGGAAAATTCTTGGGCATCTAACGTAATAATTAGTTTTTGATTGTAGTTTGAATCATTTATGCGCAAGTGGGAAACAAAATATGGTCCTGGGGCAAGACGTGTCTTCCATTGGTTAGCTGGTTCGGATCTTGTTCTTTTGTGATGAAGCAAACCCAGCCATTGATCTACTTTCAAGATTAAATCACAGAAAAAACATAGCTCCCACTTCTTCTTTTTTTCCTTACAAAATTAATAATGCACATCTTTTTAATTACTTTTACAGACTTGTGTTCCAATTTCAGCCCACTGAAATGATTTCAAAATCTTCAGAAACAACAAATATCTGTGAATCTCCCCGATTAGTCTACACGATGACCATGCATACATTTTGTTTTGTTTTCGAAGAAAGAAAGAACAGAGGTAGACAATGCTAGTTGTTTCTTCCCCGATTGTTTGAAGTTTGATTTTACTTTTGGAAACTTCTTACCAATCCAACAGCAGGCATGGATTTTATAATATGTTTCTTTGGAAGTTGAAACAATAGGTTCCCAAGGAAGATTGCCAGAGTATGGGAGGGGATAACTTGTAAAACCTAAAAAATAGTGAAGAATATATATATATATATATATATGACATTAATGAGGCCTGACCCAGGGGGAGGTTGGAGACGACAGCTTTGAGAAGCAGAATCATAGACCCATCACATGCTACAAGCCAAGCCAAGTCAAACCAAACTATACCATTCTACTGCCATATTTTCTTTTGCCTCTTTGTTACATTATATAATTAACTTGCTACGTAACTATAAGGTGGTAGATAATTGATAAATAAACATTAATTTATACGTTAAGTTTAGAATTTGATTCTTATAATTAGATATTTTTAAAAATTTATTTTCAGAATATCTAAAATTATGTGTTTAAAAATAATTTTTAACAACATAAATTTTTTTTTCAAAATACGTAAAAACTGACTAAAAAACATTATTATTATTATTATTAATTAACTTGGTATGCATCCGGACTTATATTCTACTTCTATCTCCTTTCTCTTCTAATAATAAAGAATTATATTTTTCTTATTTGATCTCTTGATAAAAAAATATTTTCGAATCAATTTCTAGATATTTTTTAATCAATTGATATAATTTTTTATCGTTCGATGACTTTAAAAATATATTTTTTATATAAATTTAATATATTAAAAAGAATATATATATATATATTCTTTGCATTAAAATTTAAATCCCAAAAATATCAAAACCTTTTTAATGCTAGCTATCTTAATTCCTTATAATAATATGGACCACTTGCCTTTATGCCTTTGTTTCTCCAAGCCTACCACCACCAAGGAAACAAACATCCAAAAACATTTAAACATGTAATTAATTTTCTTAGACCCTCACTGCTTTTTTCCTTGGAGGAAGCAATTTTCTTTTACTTTTTTGGCCTCTTTGGACATGAGGAAGGACCACCTTGCTAGCTACTTGGTCCTGACGCTCGAGTCAGTGTGTCCCATGAAAGAAACCTCAATCCATACGAGTAACATATAAAAGTTTCTACCATAGTTTAAAGTTGTTGTGAATAAATCGTCATAAGTCATAATGATGTTTATAAATACGCTGTACTTATTATTTTTATTTTTTAAAATGTTAAATTGTGATGCAACAGTCAAAATCATTGCAAATCAGCCCTTTGGGTTTCACTTGTTTTAACTTATAATTTTATTGCTTTTACAACAAATCAGAGACCGCAAAGTAAAAAAAAAATCACTACGAACTGAGGGATCTTGAAATGCAGAACAGTCTATACAAATGATCAGTCCTGCCACAAGAATCTTGAAATGTTAAGAAGAGATGCTGTTGAGTAACACTTACAATATTTAAGCTCCCAACATATAATGGTGGAGCATCGGAAAATGCAACTCTGTACCAGTCCATGCCACTTGTGTAAAATAATTTTTGGACCAGAAGCTATCAACAGATGACCTTGAAGTGAGGCTAAAGCAGATATAGCACCTTTCAATTCCTTTGAATAAACTTCTGAAACCTGAAGAGCACATCGATTGAATCGGTGCTGATGAATGAAGATGGACAGATTGGTTTAAGGGATTTCATTTCTATCATCACTGGATTAGTTAGGTTATAACTAGTTGAAGATAAAACAGAAGGATTTAAAAACAAGGAGAAAATCTAAAACATACCAAAACTTGCGAATTTTCAGGATTTCCTGCTAAGGAAAACAGCAACATCCTCCCCTTGCACATAAGCAGTCCCGACAGCCAAAAGTGTTTCATTTCCCTTTGTTGTTGTATTCTGTGTTGAGGTACTTACGTGAGTGAAAAATGGAATTCGTATCGAACATCAGGAACGAAGACAATGACATCAGACACTAGTCTGGAGTTACAAAAGATAAACAATTCATTATCTGGTATGATGGTCCTCTCCAATTTAGATAATTCTATTGTGTTTGCCATTTTAACAAGTCCACTCTGCAAAACCTGTCATTTCCCCCTGCAATTTCTCCTCGTGTTGTTGTGGAACTTTCTTCGTGTTCTGAGAAAATAAAATCTTACAGCCTTAAAAAGTTCACTTTCTCAAGGAAAGTTGCTATGGATACATGGATTATCATCCAACCCACCACCAACACACCCCACCTCTCGTTAATTGAAAAATACACACAGGAATGTAATATTTGGGAAATGATTGTTATGAGAGAAAGATTGATGTTTTCTTTGCCATTAGATAACAAAAAAGAAGAAAAAAACATTATTAATATTGTATGAAAATACTCATATTTTTTTTATTGTAATATTATTATATAACAGCAAATAACAGCATTATTACTATAACGTTGTTATTCACGTGAAACGAAAACAGAGTTGTTATACTGCCGAATAATGGTAACCAAACGTAAAATCCATTATTTGAATTTATGAATTGGAGAACAAAGCGAGGGCAACAAACAATCTGAATGATTGTTGAAATCAACATATTTCCACTGATTAAGATTTACTTGTCTTGTTTACAAAGAATCATTTTAACTTAGTTATCAAGTTTTTCACGTAACAATGATCTCTCTGATGAGTTTCTTTCATGCTTTACAACAAAGAGCTGCTTGAAAAACCAATCATCTCTGGATTTTTATCAATTCTCACGCAAGTTTCACGAAACAGGAAACAAATGTAGTAGCATCACATTTGTTTTCCCCTCAATTGGTTTAGCAAATATGTATAGAGCTTAAGCATGGAAAGGTTGCCTTCTTCATAAACCATTTGATGCCACCATGACTATCAAACACCAGGTAAGAAAAACCCAGAGAAATTAAAGTGATCGAATGCAGCAGCATAATAAGAAAACTGATCCAGTCCAGCAAATCACCTCTATGTCTCTTGAGTGAGCTCAGTATCATCCTCAGAATTCTCAGGTGGAGTTGTCTCTGAGAAATACTCTTCATTTGGATACATGTCCTGAAAGAGCTGTCAAGTAAAAGCACCAGTATTGAATTCTCAGTCATCCGAAAAGAATGAATAACTCTTTAGTGTCACTGAGGGATGTCCAATTACATAACGAGCTAGAGGAAGCCGAAGAGATCATGAAACAATATATGAGAGCCATCTATGAATGTGATCTAGTAAGTGTATATGCAAATCGGCTCATAAATTTTTTAATCACAGACATTTATACTCCTATTTGACAAATTGTTGGAAGGGACATAAAAGAGAAAACAGGAATACACTGAAGTGATGATATATAGAATTTTAGGCATTTAGGACAACGAAACCTGAGGCTTTTTAAAAGTGAAATAGAAGATGAAATACCTTCACAACTGCATCCAATATATCGTTGTAATTCAGATTTCCGTCGGGCGTGAGAGTGAAGTTGATAGAATCAAATTGACCCTGAAACAAAAGAGATGGCATCATAAGTCAAACTGATATCAACCTAAATGCTTGCACATCAATAAACCTCAGCCTGGATTTCCAAAAAATTTACACATCCAGCCTAATGTCAGCTTGTTCAAACAGTAAACAGTGATCTATGGTGCACGAGTTCTGAGTTTCACTAGATATGATCAGGTTAACTTGAAACTACCAACACATAAGATAAAATTAAATGCAAGTTCTAAACACAATAACCCCCGTATGATTGCATGAGTGCATGTGCACAAGTGAGATGCTAATAGCAAGAGACAAATAGACAAGACAAGAAGCACACCATAGCCATCTCCTGAATATACAATCCGCTCCAAATTACAGTGGGTTTTCTCTCAGTATTCTCACTCTGAACTGTGGAACTGCGTTCAGAATTTACAGAATCAGGAAAAGTCAGAAGGGCGTTCATAGCGGCATTTAATAGCCTCTTCCCTTGATTGGCATCGTCACACAAAGCTGAAAGATAGAGCACAAACCTGAAACAAATAATCAGAGAGTTGTTAACTCAAGGATCCCATATTCTTTTGAGGGGCAGGGGTTATTGTACCATGAACAGTGGTCCTTAAGAAATGAATAAGAGGTCCATTATTGTCACCTTAGAGATGCTACAGATGTGTGGGAAAAATAATGAACAGCAAAACCATAAATAATTAATTTGTCTATAAACGTAGAACTCAAAAATAATTTGACTGAAGCAGGACTTCAAAGGATAAATAGCAATAGCACTACAAAAGTTTCAAATGACAACAAATTGAGGTTCAAAATTCCTACAAGCTACCTTTCCAACTTCTCACATTTAATATATGTATTTCTAAATGTACCATTTATTTGAAAGAGCACATAAATCTAGGGAGGGATGAGCAAGGACAAGGTATCCCTTACATTTTTCATGTTGATCTTGCATGATTACTTATGTTACAAATGCTACAAATGCAGAGTCCTAACAGATGGTCAACAGTAGAATTAGAAGTCGAGGAAAGTAGACACATCAAAAAAAATAATAATAAAAGAAAGGGGAGGATCATAACACAGCTTCTCCAATAATAAACAAAACTCACATGCCCAGAGGACAAACAGCCAAGTTGCCACTTATTTGGAGAGCTCGAATTGATGTAATCTGGTCGGGATACAAGGCTAGAGAACAGGGATAAAACATTAGGATTCCTACAGACGCCAATAAGGTACAGAAATGAAACTATACGCTGATCTTACATCGAGGGGGATATACAGCCAGAAAGTTTGACGTATCTGGCTTCAAGGAACTTCTTGTGATGTATATCCCTCTGGCCACCTTCCCTTTGATATCTCTGATGCTCAAAAACCTAAAACTATCATGCAGAAGATCTGACGGAGAGGCTGACGGTGAGGTAAGTGTAACGGATGGATCCAGAACCAGCTTCTGGCTAAATATGTCCTGACCAGAAGCCAATCGAACACCTTTGTAACTCCCACTATCCTGGGGGCAAAAAAAAAAAAAAAAAAAAGATAACTCATTTGCACCTTACAGATGGCTATATTCATTTTATGTTATCCATGTATTAAACAAATTATATACACATATTAGCACCTTTTCCATAAGCAATGCAGTTACTGGCATTCGCAAAACCTGTATGACAGAAGTTTCAAATGCAGGTGAGCATATTAGCTTGACAAAGTAACAACTGTTTTTGTCTACTCTATAAGAAAAGTTCTTTAGTCTAGTATATAGGTAAACATTATATTCAAATTTTTATGTTTCCACTAAATATAAGGAAAAAATGACACAAGTAGGCCTGTGACCATTCTTGTGAATATCAAATAACACCCAAGTATCTAAAGCAGAACAGATCAAACAGTGCAATCACATTTAGGAACAAGTTATTTACACAGCACATGGACAACAAAAAATATCTTAGATTTAAAAAAGAAGGTCCCATTAACCAAAAATGATAGTTCATATTTCACCTAGAGAAAGAAGCCACAGTTTCTTTCAGTGGTACTTACATAAAGGCAACCTTTGACGGCAGCACGGCGACTAAAGGCTTGTGGCAGTTCTCCTTGACCATAAATGGGATATATCAAAGCCCCAGAAGCATTTGTAAACCTGAAAGGACTATGAATTATATACAAGAAACTTCAAGCAGATCGATTTAACTTGTTTAATTATAATCAGATTTTTAGCAGTCAGTAAAGAATAAGAACTCAAAACATCTTTTCCCTCTTTATCTGCTCCCATCCTACACTTTCTGTGGTGTTCAATACTGGGAGGGAAAATAACATGATCTGCTGGTTAATGCAATATGTGTTTCTGTTCTAGATATAGTACCAGTCGCAAGTGCAGCAATATAAAACCCACCTAAATTTGAAACTGGAGAATAACTGCTAAAATATAAAACAGAATAAACAAGAATTAACCTCCCAACTGATGACTGATATAGAGCCAAACGATCTATTCCATCTTTAGTCTTGAGCAAATCTTGACAAACCCCCATGTCATTTTGATCATAATCTGCCATGGCTATAGCATACAAAATAATCCTGCAGAGGAACAGAGATAAACAAAATCCAGTAAACTTTAGACCAAACATTGAAACAAAATGCAGAAAAATAATGAATAAAATCTCACTAACTGATAGAGAAAGGTGACAGCAGTCTGTACGATTTAATCTTTGGAGGCAACTGCATTTTCGACAGGTACTCAACAAATGGCCTCTCCAAATCCTCCTCTGAAATCTTTGCCTTACCTTCCTCTTCATCATTCTCATTCCCATTCCCATTCCCATTCCCATCACCACCAGAAGAACCTGCCATCACTGTGGAAGCCAAGTGCCCTTGCACCAGCTTGAAAAACCTCATCAACTGTTTCTTTTCCGTCAAACTCAACCTCTTATCCTTAAATATGGCAGCTCTAGAATCTGGCACATTCCATAACTTTCCATTCTCATCACCAACAAAACTGGCATCAATACTCTTGAACTCCACATACTGACTTGCTCCAGATTTTAACATAAGGTCAATTGACTTGTCTGCACAAAATAACACCCTCGGTCCACATAAGTCCAAATTAAACTTCTGCGAGTTATTTTCCAATAGTTCAGGATAAAAACATGAAATCTCAACATCTGAATATACCGGTTGAGAGGTGAGATTTACAATCAAGTAATCAAGGCTGTCAGTTGCGGTTGTAGTGGAGGATGGTGGGGGGGAGGAGGTGTGGAATTGGAATTGAGGAACGATGTGAGTTCAGGGATGGAGAGAGAGGAGTAATGGGACCCATAGAATGGGTTAGTGTCAAGGTGGAGAACAGTTTTTCCAGAAGCAGAAGCTGCAGCAGCAACAATGCATTCTGCTAAACCAGTGCCTATGGCAATCAGATCGAAGGTAGTTGGTTCAATTTGCGGGTACAGTGGGGGCTCACCCATGGTAGCACTAGAGAGGAACAGTAGATTTGCTGCTGAGAATGAGCAACTGAGTAGCTACCAATCACCTAGCACAAAAAGCAAGGGAGAAAATATCAGTGTTATCAAGTATTATCAACAAGTGAAGTTGTTGCAGTTTCTTTTCATATTTGAACACAATAGAAATAAATTTGTAGAATTTTACTTAATTAGATTACACACTATTTGGCCTATTATTTAGTTTGGAAAGTTTGAAATTACAAATCTTAATTCCATGATGCCACTTAAACACGAGATTGCATACGATTAAGAATCATGCAAAGTGGTGTCATTAGCTCAAACCTTTCTTTTTATTTTACCAAAACAACAAAAATAATAACTAATTACATTTATCAAATTCAACTATACATAGAAGATTTAAAACTAATTCCAAGCAACACTACACAGAGGTGCATAAAACAAGACATATTTCTTACACAAAACCACCCAACTTCTATGTACAGTTGAATTTGATAAATGTAATTAATTATTCTATTATTTGAAAAACGTGAAACCTAAGTAGATAGGCTGATACTGATCCCCAATACCTCAATAGTGCTGCTGCTGAGCAAAAAGAAAAAATCACATTACTCATTAGACACAAGGAGACAAAAGGTTAAAATTTTCGATTAAAGTAATTGGTCCAGTTTTTTGCTAGGAAATCAATGTAGTAACTTTTTCTACTTCCAACATATATTATTTAACCAAGTTTAGGTTACCAATCATAAAAGGTATCTTAGAACAAAAGATGTATACTATACTTATTTGTAAATCTAGTATTGTGGTCTGTGGATGCATATCATAGCACTTCTCTGTTCAGTGGACGATAAGCTAGAGAAGTCAGAAGTGTGTGCAAAAGGCTGCTAAATATTGCAATTTTTTTATCAGCAGACAAAAACAAACTATATATTGTGCTAGCTAGCAAACAGCCAATATCTTGGTTATCTATTTTCAAGTTTATTTTGTTTTATTTTTTTTAAATAATAATAATAATGTGAAATTGTGAATGACTTCTATCTAGCCAGCATGCAGAATGCATGCTCTATTAATTAATTTCTGCAGGTTCAAAATAATCTAAATTAAATATTACTCTGAGAAAGGTTTATTTTTAAAACTCACATACTTGTCTGTCAATGTGAATGAAATATAAGCAATTCAAAAGATTCAGCTGCAAGAAATTCTTGGACACTTTGAATTTTGAAAGGACTTTTCATATACAATGTTGTTACTGAAGCAAATGGGGCTCGCATAATACACAAGGAATATCCTCGACCAGCATTGATGAGGCTAGGCATCCTGAAGCAAGCAATTGGTTCTCTTTTTATGCCTTTTCTCAGGACTTCCTATTTTCTGCCCATTAATAATCCACTCTCTCTGTTTTCCTTACCATGAAAAGGGGGTCTCTACACATTGAATCAACGAGTACATGATGAGATTAAACTAATACAAAGACGGTTCATTTTCTTCACTCATTGTCTTTGTCTAGCTTAATCAAAAAATGGGTCAAACATTGCAGACACCGTCACCCTCCTAATAAATTATCTAACCATCTGTTCACTACTTGAAACATGCACCTAATTAGAATTTTAGGCTATGTATTTGGAAATGCAACAGCTCATAGTTCACAATTCGATTCACTGGATAATTACAGTTTTTATTAACCCCTTTCCTTCTCTTTCAATCCAAGTTTTTTTTGAACAAATTATACATCACAATTTACATAAATACAGTTCCAATTCCAACTGCCAGTGGGACTGTGGCCTGTGGAAAATCTAAGGAAGAAAAACAGAAGCATTTCGATTCACTAGATAATCATTTGGTTAAGCATGACTCACCATGAACTGAAAATCTTAAAAGCTTGAGAGTGGTACTGTGGCCTGTGGGAGACGAGTAGATTAGCAGAAGACTAAAAAATGAAGTAACGAGGCGTGACAGCCTGAGGAGTGAGGAGGAAGAAGAAGGTGGGTTAGTGAAGAGGCTGACGGGTTAGATAGGGATTGCAAATTAGGGGAGACGATAGATGAGTTTTTCAATTTGGGGAAGAAGGTCTGTGAAAGCCGAAAGGCAGTGAGAGGGAGGCGTGCGTTAGACAGAAGTAACGAGTTGCTGATCTGGATTAAAAAATAAAAATAAAAAATGTAATTTATTTTTTAAAATCTTAAATTGTGATGCAACAGTCAAAATCATTGCAAATCAGCCCTTTGGGTTTCACTTGTTTTAACTTATAATTTTATTGCTTTTACGACAAATCAAAGACCGCAAAGTAAAAAAAAAAAATCACTACGAACTGAGGGATCTAATTGAATTCTAGGCAAAAGAATTGGTTCCAATACATACTAATTGGAAGAATTCCTTTCAAGAATGTAATCTCTTTTCTTTTCCATTCTTATCTTATGTTTTACCATGTGGAAACGCCAGTTGAACATAAAGAGGATATAATTTATTGCCCATTTTAACAAAGCTTAAATGGTCAATTCTCAACACATGAATATATTGGGCAGATGCATCAGAGATTCATGTTTTCTCATTTGATGCTACAACTATATAGAGCCGATTTTGCGAAACCTTTGAAATGCAGAACAGTCTATACAAATGATACAGAGTGTGCACCATGGCTATCCTTCAGTCTCAGTCCTGCCACAAGGATCTTGAATGAGTGATCTGGATCGAGCTCTAATTAGCGATTTTGCAGTTATTAGTTCCTCCGAGACTTGAACAGCACCTAGTTGCCCGAGAACATCAGTCGATAGCCCTTGAGAAGGATATCGTACTCTGCAGTGTGTCCTGTCCTCTAAGCCAGCTACAATCACAAGAAACTTGTGCCCAGAGTAAGATCGTTCAAATTTGATAGAATCTGCGCTCGTGTGGTTCCAATCTGTTGAGCAATTTCAACCTGTTCCTCCAATGGGAGCATCTCATAACTGCAAAATGGAACATATCGATTTAGTCTAGTAGCCAAACTCATCTTGGCAGATGACAATCCATGAGCAAATGGCTGCCTATGGATCTCTAGCATTCACTGGAATCACAGCATCCCAGCATTCAAGTTATTTAAAGAGATCGTATAAGAAACAGAACACAATCGGCTTCAACAATAAGACCTAATTGTCAATTAAAACAAAAAAAACATGAATGTATTAGTAGTTTATATTTTTCATTTCTCACTGAAGCAAATGCAAATATGGAAATTTCTATTTAGCGACCAGTACTAGTTGATAGAGATGTGATTTTCCTGAGTGCCATTTAGAAGCTTGAGCAACGGTGTTAGTTATGTACTTTTTGTGAACAGAGTATTTTGCTCGCTGTATGACTTTAGGCCTACTTATAGATGGAAAGCAAATTTCTTGACCTAAGATAAACCAGTTGTTAACGTAAAGATTGGAAGAACTTACTGGGAAAGCAGTTCACAATCTACTATGGTTTCAGGGCCAGGTCGGTGAGCTTTTCCATCAGCACAGAACTGGCGGAATGACTTTGGGTTTAAACCAGCAACATGGGGAACAGCATCAATAAGTTTTTTCTGCAGCGACAGCAACCTACGAAATGTGAGCTCGTCAAGGGGCGCAATGCAACCAATGCTGCCATCCAAAGTACCAAACAGTAAGGCAAAGCGATTGGTCTTGTCAGAGACTGGAGCAGCACCACTTCGATCAAGTGAAGTGGAAAGCATTTGCAACCTCATGAACTTAGTCACATGGGCACCAACATGAAATTCGGCCCTTGAAAGCAGTTTCTGTCCTTTCCAACTCTCAGACATCTTTGGTGCATAATAGAATATCTGTTTTGGCACCGTAAAAAGCATTCAAAGATCAGTGAAAACCAACCTTACCCCATCCTGCTAACCGTTGTTTCGATTCACAAATTTCTCAAAGTACAAAAGACGAGCAAAAAGAATCTCTAGCAACAGAAATGCATATATATTGCATAAAAATCATAACAATGCGCAATCAGAAACTCAACTTTATTTTAGCAATTTGTATATTCATGAATTATGTGATGGCAGTAATTCCAGCCTTGCATTTTTCCCGCCAGTTTTTTTGGTTGGAGATATATTGTGGGCTCTTGCGTAGTTCAAAAAAGAACTCCCAAATTCAAATGCTAAATTTGCTTTAGTTTGTACATTTATTTTCCTTTCTCTTAGTCAGTAAGGCATCCCTTGATATGGGAATGATAAGACTAACCATGGCTCACGATTAAGGGATTTCAGCGATCTAAAAATACAGTCAAGGACTTGGTGAAGTGGCAAAGGTCAAGATGGTACTATGACCGTAGATGATTTAGACAAAAGCAGATGAGCAAGTTAAAATGAAAACCAACTTTGTAGTTGGTATCTAAGCCATAGAAATTTTTAGTCCACTTGCAGAATTTTTCATCATAACAAGATTTAATATAATTTTATCTCGCCGTTGACATTCTGTAAACCACAGACAACCATTCTAATTCTGCTAAACACAAACGAGGGCTGGCAACATCAACGAAAGCAATGCATGATAAGTCCTAACCTGAACATTCTTTTGTTCATCTGAAACCACAAGGCTCAACGTACTTCCATCGATCAAAAACTCTGTTGAGAAACAATCAAGGGAGGCAAAATCCTTTGCCAGCAAGCTAAGTTGAGCTCCCTGCTCCTTCCAACTAAGAAAGTATATGCTTTTGTGAATGTCACCCAAGAGGATAAAATTCTTTACCTGCATTAGCATGTAGAAGTATGACCGTGAAGAAAAGAAAGCATTAAGCAGGTGCATATGTTACACGAAAAAGATTGGATGCAGTGTGTCTATCGGTGCTTTTACCTAACATGTTATATTGGTGAGCACCACAGCAATACTGGACTAAAATTAGAAGTAACTAATCCCAGATGGCTGAATTTTCACAACAAAAACCATTCAATTCCATAAAATGAGAAAAGGTAACAAAGACGAACCAAACGTGAGAGGATTTAACAAATTCCATCATCGTTATATGAAAGCAGCAACTTTGATGAATATCACAAAGCAAGTGAATTAACTTGCATCTAGCGAATCCCCCTTCTTCTTTTTCTCATTTTTTTCCCCTTCCGCTTCTTTTTACCTAATGTTTAGTACTGGAATTAAATAAGTAACTAACCCCAGCAGCTAAATTTTCATAACAAGAGTTCATTTTCAATAAATTTAGAAAGAATAATAAAGACAAACCAAACACGATAGTTTTTAACAAATTCCTATCATTGTTATACTTGTATGCATGCAGTAACTTTGGTCAAAATAATTCAATCAGTATCAGAAAATACAATTTGCATCTTTGAGTCACAAGCCAAAAAAAAAAAAAGTGAATTAAGACTGCATGACAGATCTAATGACTTAGGCCAAAACAAGAACCAAAATTCAATGACGGATAGCTATGTGAAGAAATGTTCAGAAGAGATGCTGCTGTTGAGTAACACTTACAATATTTAAGCTCACAACATATAATGGTGGAGCATCGGAAAATGCAACACCAGTCAACTCTGTACCGGTCCACTTGTGTAAAATAATTTTTGGACCAGAAGCTATCAACAGATGACCTTGAAGTGAGGCCAAAGCAGATATAGCACCTTTCAATTCCTTTGAATAAACCTCTGAAACCTGAAGAGCACATTGATTGAATTGGTACAGATGAAAGAAGATGGACAGATTGGTTTAAGGGATTTCTATCATCAGTGGATTAGTTAGGTTATAACTAGTTGAAGATAAAACAGAAGGATTTAAAAACAAGGAGACAATCTAAAACATACCAAAACTTGAGAATTTTCAGGATTTCTTGCTAAGGAAAACAACAGCACACGTCCTCTTGCAGCAACATCCTCCCCTTGCACATAAGCAGTCCCGACAGCCAAAAGTGTTTCATTTTCCTTTGTTGTTGTATTCTGTGTTGCGGTACTTATGTGAGTGGAAAATGGATTTTGTATCGAACATCAGGAACAAAGACAATGACATCAGACACTAGTCTAGAGTTACAAAAGATAAACAATTTAATCTGGTATGATGTTACTCTCCAATTTAGATAATTCTATTGTGCTTGCCATTTTAACAAGTTCACTCTGCAAAACCTGTCATTTTCCCCTGGAATTTCTACTTGTGTTGTCGTGGAACTTTCTTCGTGCTCTGAGAAAATAAAATCTCTTGCAGCCTTAAGAAGTTCACTTTCTCAATGAAAGTTCCTATGGATACAAGGATTATTATCCAACCCACCACTAACACACCCCACCTCTCATTATAAAAAAAAAAAAAAAAAAAAAAGGAAGAAGAAGAAGAAGAAGAAGAAGAAGAATATGCTAAAAAGAAATCAAAAGCAAAGTAGCTGAAGGGATGGAAGGAGTATCACTTACAAACAGCGAAACCATTCGTACAGTCAATGCATTTTCAGAAGTCTGCATTGGGATTGTAGCCTTAATTTGCCAAAGGCCATTAGATGGTTCCAAAATCCGAACCTCGAATTCATCTACGCTGTAGGTTCGGTGTATTTCATCAGAACTCAAATTATGATTCTCAATCTGATGGCCAACTTCTTGATCAACCAGTGATGAAAGAACTTGATTTACTGGCTTTTGAACCTGCAGAAGAATGTGCAAGTGGCATTACTGCTGCAGGCTATGCTCCAATAAAGAAAACACTAAGGTCACACAGAGCTATATCAATATAACGTGTAAGATGCCAGTATGACATATGTTCAAGTACAAGGTGCTATGAAACACTATAGTCAAGACTCGGATGTTCATGGTGACAAACTATTTGCTTTCTTTCAGTTAGTGAAAATTTGGGGAAACTGAAGAGTGACGATTTAATCAAACTTAAAAATTGTACTAATTCCACTTCTGAGAAAGTTAAAACACCATTTGATAAATACACCGATTTCTTTCAGAAATCAGCTGTAGGTGAAGTAAGCAATAACTTAATTTATAAAGGAAGATAAGCTGATGATGAGGATTCCAGGGGAAGTAGATCAGAAAGGATAAGTGCACAAGTGTGGGAATAACTGGCTCTCTCTCTCCTTTCCAATTATTTTTTTATTTTTAGCAAGCAAACACGTTGCTTGGCAGAATTCATGGATGAGAACTAATGATTGTTCCATACTCAATTGCCATTCATCAAATAAGCTCCCTAAAGATTTGAACACTAAACGTTCCACACCAAAAGAAAAACCAGATAGGAAAAGAACCCGAGAACAGGAAAGAGGATTACTAAGAGGAGAGGATAGTCCTAATAAGACAATTTTGAAAAGACAAAGTAAAATTTCCAATATGAACCTTATCTTTAATAATAAAAGATACCTACATAATTAAATATTAGTCCCAGAAGTTTCACCTAGTTCTCTATCATAGAGTTCAAACTAAATTCCCATTACCAGCCACATATGATGTGGACCCGGCACAGTCAATATCGAATTGTTCTTACGTAAATGCCATTTTAACGATCTAAGAAAACATGCTTCACAAAAACTAGCAAAGCATGAAAGATTTGAATAAAGAGAGAAAACACTTACAGGAACTGAAACTATGAGTGGGTATAAATTCCTCTCTGCAAAATAAGTCACTTGATGTGGAGTTCCTTTCAATGGAATCTAACGAAATGACAAAATTTCTAATGAGCACATTGATGCCTGTAATGGACAAAGATGGTCGAGGAAACATGAAAGAGAAAAGGGAAGCACCTTTTGCACTGGCCAATAGTTGTCATAACTTGAGACAGATGACAGTTGACAAATCTTCAAATTTCCCTGTAAGATAGCAAAATGAAAATGAACTTCCACATAAGCTGAAGAGTTTTAATATATTCCATCAAAACAACGATCAGAGAAAAAAATCTTAGTATTGTTCAACCTGTGATGTGACATAAATGAGCCCATGATTACAATTAACAGTGTGAAGAACGGTGAAGGCAACAATAGATCCATCACATAGCTGCAAAAAATTCATATTTAACAAAATGAGATTGAGATGAAGAAAAAGAAAAACAGGCCGTTAACAAGTAGCATGCTTTCTTAGGCAGTAAAAACATCAGAAAAATCAAATTTAAAACATTAGACAGCAATTAAATCAGCTGAGACCTTACCTGTGGATGAACTCGAAGTCGCTCTCTAAATACCATAAACCAAGCTGGTCTTGATCCAGAAAGGAAAAAACCCTGATAACCATTAATATTCTTGAAAGTTGCAATCCGTTGGCATGAGGTTTCACTTGATGTTTCCTCCCTTGTGTATGTGTCCAAGGGGGCCCGAACAAATCTCAGATTTCTAAGCCTTGAAGCACTGATGCTGCTATCACCAACAGAATTTTGCGCAGAAACAGAATCTTCTAGTTTAGAAGTACCATCTAGACCTTCAAACAGGTATGCATGGTAACAAAGAATTGTCCCATCAGTCAATATTCCAAAAAGAAACGGACGACTGTGATGCCCAGACCATCTCAGCATAGCCAATTCGACAATCTTCATGTTTTGTGTACTTTCTTTTCTGCCAGCACCAGCAAATTCTTCATCCATCCCCTTCAGCAAATCTTTGGGAGGTTCCCCCATGCAGGTATCGACAAGATGAGTTTTTCCAGAGACAAATTTATCCACAAAGAAAACAGAATTGAAATTCGGAACATCAAATATTTCAAGGGCACCAGTCTCATAACAAATGACACAGTATATATCACCCTGATCATGAGCTCCACCATCAGCACCATCAATAGCCTCACTAACTCCTGTAGAAAGCCATGCGTCTGTACTCGTCTTCCGGAGCCATGGCTCTTGCCCTTTATCATGATACAGTGTACAGGCAGATACTGATTTCTTTGAGCTCTGAAAGGCAGATGGGGTGTTTACAGAAACTGTACAGGTAGAAGGATCTGTATTTCGAAATTAAACATTTGCCTGGTTAAAAATCCCAGAATGAGAAAAAGATAAATCTGAGAAAAACAGTGCAGAAAAATAACCAGAGTCCTGTAATACGACAAGGGCGTACGAAAACAAATATGATTGGTCCCGATAGAATAGTTGGATCGTATAGTATTATTATTGCAGTTGGTAAACATACACACCCCTGTACAAAGGCATATGCAAACAGATACAATTGGCCCCGACAGAATAGTTGGATCTTATAGTATTATTATTGCTGTTGGTGAACATACACATCCACCTGACTGTAAAATCCAATACCTTCAATTTTTTAGTTCAACCTTAAGCAACTTGAAAAAATTAACACCAGTGCAAAACTACCAGATTCTTCAAATTAACATCAATTACTGAAATTGCAGCCACTATATGCCAAAGCTTTAGAGATTCACTATCTGATGAACCTAAACAGAAGAGGTAGTTCCTACAGACTAGTCCAAGCAGCTGAATCGGTATTGTTACTGGAATTCAGAGGGTAGGAACTTCAGGATGAAGGAAAAGATATGAAAAAAATTGTTGTGGAAGGATGGACTGCATAAAACACTTTCACGTGGACAATAAGCCATCTTTTACTTGTGGTTCTTTTTGATCCCTCCACTTTGGGTATGATCAAACTTTGTGGACCCAGGAGGAAGGAAATTGTCCTTTCATTTCCTTCCAACCAGCCAAACAAGAAAAATCTAGTCCTTTTCTCCTCCCTTCTTCCATCAAATGTGTGATATGGAAAATGGGTTTTAGTGACTAACATGGAACTGAAGGGTGTTGATTAAAACTTATTTCGAGAGAATTAAATAAGTTTCTTGGAAAGTCTTGAACAGAAAAGTCATTAACGACCCTTGTTGGCTGCAGCAAGCTCAAACCTCAATGTTCTAAGAATTACATTTCAAATTCAATATTCAGAATCTCTTGGAAACTAGCTCAAGCTATTTTATAGAAGCATCATCCATATGGATGGCAAAAAAGTTGCAATCATGGTTGCACTTAGAGGACCTCAAGCTTCTTTCTATATTCCTTCAGTACAGACCTCAAGCTTACACCGATAGAGGTCAACTTTAATGGGGTTTGGGTAACTAAGACTTTACAATTTTAGACGTTCTAAGACTTTAGCATGCAAATCAATAACATGGCATGATGCTTTACAATCTTAGTAATTGGTATAGCACGGCGATATTAGCTAATACAATAAGTCAAACTTTTCAGGAGAACAGGCAAGGGCATGGTCCACAAAGTAACCCAGCATAAGAGCCACCAAACTAGAACGGGAGGATCAAAGAATGTCCCCAAAGATATCCATGTATCTTGATCATAAAAGCAGGGTATGAGCCTCTTCATTGGATCACAATCTACAAAATGCCTTCACGAATTTAACCACGTCAAAAAAAGGAACTAAAGAAACATTCATGGGAAACTACCATTCACTATGGCAGCTTCCATCCCAACTAGGTTAGAATGAGAGTTGTGTGCTAACAAGATCATAAAACTAAAACTAATATGTTGAAAAACTTATTCATGACATAGCATACCTCCAACAAGAATCTGAATACTCCCATCAGCCATTCTTACTAACACATATGGATCTGCAATAGATACATGCATCACTGTGGAACTCTCAGAGCGGCCAGCTTCTGAGTTAGAACCTCCAAAGCTTAAATCTTGAGTCATAAAAGAACCATCCAGAATTCGAGCACCGCGTTCAAACACCTGAACAACTCGACGTCTGGGAAGGGAAAAGAATAACCATGAGGTAGGAAATTTTAGTTTCTAAGTTGATATCAACAAAATAAAACACAATTTCTCATCTCAAGAGCAGAGAAATAGGATGGCAAATAATCTAGTGAAGCAAACGATAATGCAATAAAACCATACAACAAGAAGCATAACAAAAATCAATCCTTAGATGGCACATCTTCAATCACTTATCATTTTTTGTGATCACTTCCATTTTAATTTGGACTTTCTTAAAGCAATGACAAGCCATATATGTGCATATAGACAACAAGAAGCATAACAAAAATCAATGGGAAAGGTAGTTGTATAGAATTTTACTGGCATCCATGTATTTTAACAGCAGAACAACACCCATTTACATTTTAGAAATCAAATGCAAATTAAAAATAGTCATCTAAAAGGCAAGCCAAAAAAAAAAAAAAAAGCAAAGAAATCAAAATCACTTTCACAAAAAAGTAAATTCAAGTCACCAAAACTAGATGCATTCTCACCTTCCAAACAAGTTCCCTGCAGCAATTGTTCTTCCTTGCACAAAATAGTCCACACTTTCAGTGACTTCCGTCAAATGATCGGCAGTTTCAAGCACCTACCCAGCATGTGAAAATAGTGTGCCATTAAAGAATCAAATTACATGATGTTGATCGTAAACTATAAAACTGAGATTTTTTATTTTTTTTCATAAGAAAATGCCAACATTTGGAACTGTGAGTGAAGTTTGATTTTTAAACTTCTCCTCTGTCAGCTCAAATGAATTTAAATTACTTAAAGTTGGACATGGAGACATGGTTTAGAATTACGTAAATTTGTAGATTGGGACGTTCATTAAAATTACAGTTAATAAGCAGGCTAATTCCATATAGATGAGAAGTATCAAGAATTGAACATTCATAAGAATGTGTGTGTCTGTGTGTGTGTGAGAGAGAGAAAGAGAGGGTGATTTAATTAAATTTCACAGATAGAGGCATTCATCAAAGTTACAGACAATAAAAAGGTTGATTCCATGTAGATGAGAAGCACAAAGTGTTGACGTTCATGTGCGTGTGTGTGTGTGTTAGACAGAGAGAGAGAGAGAGAGAGAGATGGACCTTTTCATTTGTAATGTTTAAACTGCCTGAAGTACAAGAAGTTTGTTCATATTCTTATAGCTATATCGTCTATTTGAGCTACAATGACATCAAGTAGAAACTGTTTGCTGTATAGCATTGGTCCAATTTAGTAGGGAGTCGTGAAATTGCTGATCTGGACATCGTCCTACGCTCCAATATTTTTCTCAAGTCTTCCGAAAATAATGCTATGGCATATTACCCAGATGTATACTTCTCACATATTTCTGCAACTCTCCTGGAACTACATATTTTACCAAAATTATATTATTATTATTTTATTTTTTTTGGCTTCTCGTTTGATTCCATAACTTTCCTCACTTGCTACTTTCACTTTGCCTGCCATGCTAGACAATGTAGTCCTGATATTTTTACCGATTGCAGCAAAAGGTCACTGTAGTAATGAAGGACAGGAAAGTCTCTTGTTCAGTTATGAAAATCTTAACAATAGCTCTTTCCTTAAGTTTGTCTCATTCCAAATAGGAAATTACAAAACAACTTGACGATTCAATAAAAATATTAAAAAACATATAAAGACTTCTAAGAATTGTCTTCTATGCATCAGGTCAAAACAAGTTAAACAACTGAAAACGTCAGTCTACAAATTTTGCAGATGACTTCTGTTAACATAAGTTTCTGAGATTACCATTGTGCGGGCCTCCATACTTATGATTAAATAAGCATGATATTCATCATCCAAAGCCATTTTCGATGAGTCAACACTATGACTACGCACATTCTTGTGGTAAACAGTCCAAATTCCTTTACATCCAGGAAGTTCAACCTGCAGTCAGAAATGTGTTTACAAGAAAAGATACACTTAGCAATGAGAAAAAGTTCATCCTAATAAAGTAGCAGTGTATAATTGTAAAACTATGCAGATTCAATAATGATTCCATTTACAAAACAGTACCAGATAAAAGATGATATCATGTTCCAAGCTGTCATTGCCCCAAACATAAATATTAAATCAACAATATTGACATCCATGTGATACGAAAGTACTGAATACTAACGAATAATTTGGATATATAAAGTTTCATCTAGATACAGGATTCTGGGTTGTACTTGAGAAGGAAAAGTTAAGAAAATGAAAAGAGTATTAGTAAAAGTTATTGGACCACAAGGAAGCAATTACAAGAAGTTTTCAGGGGAAAGAATGATGTTTTACCAGCAAGAATACACCGTATGCTTCAATAATAAGGACATGCAAAATAGTCATGAAAAATATTCTAATAACAGAATATATATATGGTATTGTGACAAGGATAAAACTCTACAATCCAGACAAAATCATCATACCAAATTCTATTATTATCCCTCTCCTTCTCAAAGGTACTTTTACACACACACTCTCTCTCTCTCTCTCACCCGCACGGTTGCATGAAGATAAGATAAGGGGAGCCCTAAGATTCATCATTGTCTCTCCTCTCCCTGTGCTATACAGCCTAGCTTCTAAGATAAAAATTTTCCTAATTTTAGGTAGTGAGTACATTTCAATGCTACAGGTCCCAATCCATGTACCAAGGGAGATTTAGTCGTACAAAGAAAAAAACCAATTAAACTAGGCAGAACTTCAAACAACTGAGCATGGCAGAATGATTTTCTCAAATGCCGAAGCCTATTGCACTTTTATAGACTGCAACGTATTGGGCTATATTTCCAAATCCTTGTCCTTTTCCTCTTCAAGAGACAGAAGTTGCAAAAACACACGCTGCAGAGTATGCGTCAGTTCACGTACACAGCTGGACAGGCATCCCTAGTAGTAGACTGAAGTTGCAATAGCTATTGACCTTTTTAATAATAGCAGGCTTGCAGTCATTAAAACACAGAAAGCGAAGTCATTTACTCATAAGAATGCAGTCATTTTGTGCAATTTATTATCCAAAAGGAAGTGAAGAAGAATCTGTAAATCTTATTAACATATAACCAAAAGGTAGTTATTTTCCTCATATCACTTCACCTAAGAATTATTCCATTATCCAGGTGGTCGAACTCTTAGTAAACAGCTATCTAAGAAAATATCAATACAAAAGGCATCAAGATGGACAGACATAAGCAAAAAGCTATTTTCCATCTAAAACTCATTAAAAATAAGATTAAGGATAAACCTCTGTAATCATTTCTGGGCGAATTGATTGCTGAAGAACACAGAGAGCACCATTTTTACCGTGTCCAGAACAGCACACCTGAAAACAGTACCCAAGAAAAAATTAAGGATCTTGAAGTTTAAAACAAGATCTTTCCACTCTGAACTTCGGGCTCCAAGAGAAATGATCCCATAAGCCATAACTTCTTATTCTGCTCTGTATATTCCTCGTGTAAACATGGACCCCATTGTTAGAGCTGAAACGGAACAAGTAGCAACAAGAACTTGATGGTGCCAATACTAGCAATGGGGGCCACCAGCTGAAAATCTTGAGTGAACCTCGAAACATACACAAACTATTCTTGAGATTTTCACTTCCTTACTATCTAATGGCTTTTACAAGATCAAATGTGTAGAACGAAACAAATAGCAGTCTAAAGTGTGAAACTAACCAATTCATAGTTGCTTTGTTTGGATATTCCAGTTGCATTTGCATCCGCATTAATCCTTAAACCATACGCAAAGTCCTTCAGAGGACCAACATTCGTCAACGAATCCCTCACTGTAAATGAGAAAGTTTTCTGAATCCATAAAGACAGAAAAAAAAAGGTAAAAGATTATTAAAAAAAGAAACTGTTATTAGGAAAAATGCTATCCAGAATACAATTAGTATAGAGAAGCCAAAGCTATCACAGTAATTATGACAAAAAGAAAATCTTTTTTTTAAGCTAAGGTAGCTTTTGTGACAGTCATGAAAACCAAGAAACGCGTTAGTGTTATTTTTAGTGATAGGGAAATGGAGGATATCATCTTAGACAAGCCTCTGACTTGAAAAGGAAATTAAGAAGATCAATAAGTTGCCACCGCTAAACTTAGGAGGATTGATGAGAAATGGTTCATTCTTCTTCTTCACTAGACTTGTGTCCAACATGTTAGGCTGTTGTTATTTAAAGAAAATCAATCGTAAACATTTGCTTGTCTGTGGCTTTTATGACCCCTTCCCTGATGCAACCAACAAAAAGATTCAACTTCTGTGCTTTTGTTTGATTTTCCAAGTCAGGGTCAATTCTGTGATTTTAAAAACTGCATGGGTATTTCTGTAAATATTATATTTTCTGGAAATTTTAGTTCTAGTTTCTGTTTAGTAGTTCTTGGATATTTAAGTTTCTTTTGTCTAGGTTTTTCCTAATCTAATTAGGAATATTAGGGTTTTCTTGTTTAAGAATCTTTTAAGTCCTAGTTGGATTCCTAATCCAACTACTTGAAGCTTTAGGAATATGCTGAGTCTATAAATATCTATGCTTGTAGTGCTTTATTTTCACAATATGAGTTTATTTATAAATGAAATTTCCAACATTTATGCTTTAAGGTTGGGCAATGCGAAGCATGCACTTTATCTTTGGTACAATTCCTAAGAACCTCAAGTCTGACGCTTAGGTTTTTCCGCTTTATATGTGATTCCTAGGAAACCTAGGAGTGTGACTCCTGTAGCAAGCCCACACTCATACTTATTCAAATTTCAAAACCTAAGTCTTTTATTGTTAAATCCAAACCCTTAAATCCCCAGTTTTCCAAGCCCTAGCCCATCATCAAATGGTTGAAGTTGTAGGAAAAGAATTCAAATCTGCCTGCATCATTCTGAGGAGAAGTGTTCTTGCTCCTTTATTTTTCACTTTTATAAAATGCATTATGGAAATAGTATAAAGAAGAACAATAACTGATACAACCTGTGTTGATTCTGCATTATTTGGCGCCGAACCATATAAGGAAAGTTCCTCCCCGCTAACCATATCTTGTAAATCATCAGAGGAGGACGCCTTCAATCGCTTTGCTGAAGGCACATCACCTTCAATATCTCCAACCTGTAAATATGCAGGCAGCAGAGAAGCATGTTAAGAGTCATAGAAAAAGGATCGCAGAAATTTCTGGGGAAGGAAATTTGTTCAAAAAACAACACTGGAAAAGAATTTCTATATCAATACCAGTTCTATAAGGATAAAAGTAATCAGCCTGACAATTTTAAGACTAAGATTAACAACATGATCCAAAGATGATTGCCGGTAGCTCGAAATTCAGAGGCAGAAAACAGTGAAGAAATCAAAAAAAAAATTTCATGAAACTTGTCAACATTAACTTGCAAAGAGAAGTAGATCCAACACAATACCTCTTCCTTCAAACCAGGAGACAGCATTGAAGATCCCAGTCCAGAAGTAAACTGCACAAGTAAACTGTCTCCCAAACGACTTCCCAGAAAAAAGAGAGAACTTCCTAGTGTTGTAATGTCCTGTATTAAAAAAAAAATGTATTTTCAAGCAAAATATAGTCAAGAATTATATCAGTGGAAACAATACAGAAGAAAGCTTCAAGGTAAAAGGTATTTAGAACAAACAATCTGTCAGATATAACTAACCGAAGTAAGTACTGAAGCTTTAGACTTGGAAAGATCGAGCCTCTGCATAACCCTTCAAGGGGAGGGGGAAGAAACATCAGTACGCGACATATCCACAATGAAACTTGATTCCATAACCATTTGGACTATGAAAGATTGATAACATCATAGCAAAGTAGAATTCAAAAAGGAAACGTACGATGCAATTTCTTTACACATGCAAAATTTAAGAGCCTGCTGTAAGAGTTGCATACCAAGCTAAACTTTCCAAACTGTTCATTAACTTCTCATGATTATCAATTTTCCGATCTATATCTATCTTGATCAAAATTTAAAATTAGATCTCTGTCGGGTATCACTGCATAGCAACAATCAACCAATACCGACTCCCACCACATGAGTCACAGCAGTAAAACAATGTCTGGGACCACCATTGCTATTTATGACCATCATGTGAGAATTAATGAAATATAGTCATAAACCAACTTCAAAACCTACGTCATCAACCATGAATTTTGCGGATAGGTATATACCCAAATAATCTGCATCGTACATCTGATCAAAACAAGAGAAAAAAATGAAAGAAAAAATTCATCTCCGCACTTTTTCATTCTTCTAGAACTCATCATATCAAGTAACGTTAACAATTGTTGAGGCAAATTGCTATATCAAAAAAAGAAACTAAATCTCAATTCAATGACACCTCAGTCCCAAACTAAATGGGATCTACATGGATCTGTTCCTCCCTATCAGCTTCGTTACTGGCTAAACTCTAGAATTTAGAAATTCAAAAACAACCTAATTTTTTCAAGAAAATAAATAAAAAAGAGACCTACCTTCCATCATAAACAAGGGTCAGCAACAGGAGTTCCCCAGTTTTTGTTGACAGCAAGGCAACATCTTTTAATAACCAAGTTGCATTGGCGGCATCAAGTTCCACACTGAAACTTGCTCTTGGCAGCTCTTGACTGATAAAAGTTATAATAAGAGAGAGAGAGAGAGAGAGAGAGAGAGATGTAAACAAAATAGGCAGCAGTTTTATAAGACAGACTGGAAATCTGAGCAACAGATTAACTCAACTGAAAGCTATAATAGCATGAAGAGCCCAATTTTCTAATATTTTAGCACAAAATAATTGCATTCACATTTAGGGATTTGCTATTTAAAAAATAGTTACAGAAAGAAAATATAGTTATAAATATTATTGTTTGTTCCAACGCATTGTTTTATGAGAGTTAGACAAGAGTCAATACCTGCTATCAACAGGAGCAGCATAGCTGTTCAGAGCCAATGCACAAGAAGCTGACTGCTCAAACAAGACACTCATGTGTTATTATGCATAAAGATGAAAGACTACAAACAGAAATATATCCATAAGAAATCAGAACTGCTGCTGCAGTCGAATTTACCTCACTGTGATAATGGATAGTGTTCGCACCAATCACAAGAACACCACCAACGGGAGATGGCACTGCGAGCAGCTTGTAAGCATCATGCGGGAGATTCTGAACGAGAGCACAAATGTAAGAACAAATTATGCAAACACCAAATAATGTAGGAATAATTTTTTGAGCCTATATGGGATAGCTATTGCTTTAGACAATGTCCAATAAGATAGAAAAATGCAAGACTTCTAGTTTTATCCCATAGCAGAAAACCAAGACATCTTCATTAGAGATCAGAATTATGATTCTTTGATAATATTTAATAAAAAAGCCATAGCCTTCTATAAAGTGACGCTTTGATAATATTTATTCCTACCATGTACAGGTATAAGGCTAGATGCCTCCAGGTCATATACGTCAAGAAACAAGCCTTTATAAGCATTCATATAAAGGTGACAAAATTTGGCCAAAACACAGCTTTTCTAAAATTATTTTTTTTATTCCTTAAGATAGTTCTTTTCAGTGCAAAACATACTCCAATAGACCATATGAGGGTAGGTTGCTTCAAAGTTGTACTGATGCTAAGAGCAGAAATCATGCAAGTATGATGCTTCCATGCAACACGCCCAGCCCAAGTAAGCTCTCGCTCGTGAAGGATAACCACCACAGGTTCAATATAATCTGCATGTCGCAACATATCAGGAAACATCAAACAGCGTCAAAAATGTAGAATGATCAAACCTCTTTATGTAATTGTTTTCTCAACCAGCTCATACAACATATGCTAATGCCTTATGATAACAAAGTGTTGAGAGGTAGACTACCAGATTTTCAAACTCAAAACCGGCAATTTAAAATCTCAACTAAAATTATGCAGGACGACTTGTCTTGTAATAATAAAGTTTGGCTTACATGTGTAGCTATAACTCAGAAAAATCTTTTTCTCCAAAAATAAACCCAAACCTAGTTTGGTCTACATTTTCTTCATAGATAAGATACAAACCTTGGACCTACCCCCACCTCATCCACATTTTTTTACCACAGTGTTCAGATGCTCATATATTGCAGAATCCATGAGCACCCAAAGCTTAGGATACAAAGCACAGTATTGAAAAAAAACAACCAAAAATTCATAAGCCAGACTCACCATGCACAAATATGAAATCTTTCACATGTTTCATGTCTAGATCTCTAAGATTAATGATGTAAGAAGAGGCAATACGAGCAGAAATAGCAGCTCCAGAACCAAAAGAATCTTCATCTTGGACCAAAGCAGAGCCAGCCTGACAACAGAAGTTTCAGGGTCAAAATTTTTTGTCTCGCAATTAAAGTGAAAACACTTTTTTCTTTTTGGACAAGGAAACACTCTATTAATGTAGGCACCAAGGAGAACCACACATTTACAAAGCAAAAGAAACTACCTACCAAGTTCGATGACTATACATCAGAAGAAAACATCTGGAACAAATAATTTATGAAGTATAAGAACTCTCCATTTGAGAGAGAGAGAGAGAGAGAGAGAGAGACTGGCCAGCAATCCAAAACCCAAATTTTTGGCAAGAGTCCTTTAAGGATTTGAGATGGGTAGACTGGCCAATTGGTCCCTTGTTCTTCAGTGTTTGGAGCTCTACAAGGCTTGATCATGGGAAATTGACTTATTAAAGAAAGAATGACGTAGGTACGCTAACTAGAAGTAGTGAGAGTTCCCGTTGAAGGGTAAATTCTTCATTTAGGAAAGATCTGATACTAAGTGACAGCAAGGTATCTGTTGGTGCTATAGTCAGTCTGTGGAAAGAAGTGGATCAGTTAGAATCAGTACACTTCCCCTTAAGTTCTTTCGTTTCGATCTTTGCACAGAATCCAAAATACTGCTGACGGTATAGAACCCAATGTGTTCTTTTTTGTTCCCCGCCTGTACAAGAACCACGTCTCGAAGCAGTTGGCAAGAGTTGCATTTTTTTTTCATGTTTATATTTGGTACAAGAACTGAAGACGTGGGCTACATGTTTGGGTTCATAGTTCATCTTATTTCAGAATTAACCCTGGGTGGAATCTAGGTTGCTAACATACATAAAAACATGCCTTATGCATATGGCAACATCCTGCTAGAGACACTTTGATATTTACATATTTACAATCCTAAAACAATTTAATCCTTAAAACAAAAACATTAGAGCGTGTTGTAAAGTAAAAGATTGCAATTCTACCAGACATTATTACTTTACATGCTCTTAACAAAAACATGATCCATCTTAGAGGAAAAGGGTTTTATGAATCTATTATTCTAAATGTAGCGTAGTCAAATAACTTGGATTACACAGCGTTAAAAGTTTAACTATATTACGCAGGAAATGTGACCTGAGCAGCCTTAAGGATTATCATCTGCAAATCAAAAACAAGAACGCCTCCGCATCTTCCTTGAGGATCAACCTTTACCAATGGGCCTCTTGCAAATGATTCTCTACCTCTTTTCAAATGATGCCAGTCTGGACCTTCAAAACAATGCATAGAGCTGAAAGGAAATCAATATTAAACAAATGAAGAAGCAAAACATTATCAGAAAATCAAATAATTAGCAGTAGCACAACCACCAAATCCAATCAAAAGCTCCACGTCAATGATGATGAAATACAGTATAAACTTTACCTTGTGCGAAGTCCATGAATTGAATCATCAAACTCCAAAACCGAAATCTTGGCGTCTTTAAATGCTAAGATAATAGAATCCCTTCTCCTAGAATCATCACCACCTTCCACATACAATACCCCCAATGACTCAACGTTGCCATGTAACCTGCAAACAATTCAACATTACACTTCTGAAACAACACAGTACAAAATCACAGAAACAGTGCACAAATTACGTTGATAAACTAAGAATCCCAGTCAAGTCTCTAATTTAACCAAAATCCAAGAATAAAAACATCTAAATCTACACATTCACCAGTAAAAGGTTGTTACTTTGGCTTCCGATTGACCTAATCCCAAAAACACAAACATCAAGTTTCCAAATTAAGCCAAACCTGAAAACAGAAACATCTGAGACTAACATACTTTTTAATCAAAGTTTTCCAATTTGAGCCAAACCCTAAATTTCCACAAGCACCACTAAAATCTTCTTCTTTCAATCAAATTTTCAAATTCAACCAAAACCCACAAACCCAAACACCTGAAAACTTAAAAAAAGAATGTTCCTTAACCAAACCTGTAATGGCAAACAAGCTCAAGAGAAGCTCCAGCAACACTATCCATGACTCCACCACGCTTCAATTCAGTCGAATTTCTCGCACCCTCTTCTTGAACCCTAACAACATAGACTTCAAGAACATTACCGGAAGCAACAATTAGGTTCGGAGTAGGGCCAATTCCGCCCCCACGGTGGCGGCGTGAAGACCATTCAGAGTCAAGATCGTCAGTGTGGAGTTGAGGAAGATGGGCTAACTCTGAGCGAGAATGGGTTACGAAACCGGAGACGCACGTGTCTATGGCGGTTGGCCAATGCATCATCTTGTAAGCAGCATAACTCATTTTGGTAGGGTTTGGATTTGAGAATTTGGGGATTAGGGTTTTTGAATGGGAGAGAAGAGACAGCTTAAACCCTTTTGATTTGGCGGGAGGGATATGGGAGTGAAAATAGCTGCATATGGCTTGCAAGAAGAAGAGTAAATTATTATTTAGTCCCTGAAGTTTCAAACCCTTATTCGCCTTCCATTTTTTCTTTGAAAATCTATAACGTCTAGAGTAAATTATAAATTAGTCCCTCTATTCAAGAAACGAATTAATTAGTTTTACTTGTTTCAAAAATTAACCATGTAGTCCCTACATTTTAGCTAAGGGCAATGATCAGAAGAGAATGCATGGAAGTATTAAACTGTTGCTGAGCCATTTCAGAATTGTGGCATCAACTTGATCAAACATAGCTTTGCAGGACATCTGAAATGCAGGAATAATTGAAGGTTCCCGTATATATATATATATATATATATAATGGGTTCACCCACATGGCCTGCCTCTGCAACTAGCTTGAGAATCAGTCAAGTCAAATCATGACAGTTGTTTTTGGCGGAAGGGAAATGGCAGGTGAAGGCCTGTCAAAGTTCCTTTTTCTTTGTATCCTTCAATTCGTAGGCTAATGCGAGAGACAACTTCAAAATCCAGTGATCAGCCCATCTCTCTATTAATGTAAATGGGAAGCAAAAGAGTCGATTTCCCTTTTAAGAGGCAACAGGTGGTTCGATAATGGAAGATACACTTTCTTTATACAAGAAGATTAAATTGAATTTAATAAAAAGGGCAAGGCTTGGCCATCACGGAAATGACAAAAGCCTGAACTTTAAAAGACAAAGTAAAAAATCATAAGCTAATGAAGAGAAAAAAGGTATAACAGAACTAATATTCTGCAGTGCCAATACATGTAGGCAGATTAAGCTAAAAACTATTTTCTTTGGCTTGCATGTTGAAGGGTGTAACTGATCTTTGAGAGACTTTGAGAGGCATGATCTGTTTTGATATTCACAGCCAAGCAATAAGATCCATGGAGCAAGGCTCGCCTTGTTTTGATAATATTTCTGCAAATGGTTTGCTTCTCTGCAAGTGCGTTCAAAAATCATGCCTTTGAAGTATTGTTTTGGCATATTGATCGAGTTCACAATGGATTTAAATCTCCACGGCATAGCCTGAGCATAGTTCATCCAGGAATCGATATAGCATTTGCAGAAATCTGCTTCAAGGATCAACAAAGCATTCTTGGCTTCTGTCTAGTTACAGCCTGATTCCAAAGCTTTAAGGATGGGAAGGATGGCTTTTGTCTTGTTGCAGCCTAATTTCAAAGCTAAGCTTTAAGGATGGCAAGGAGTTCAGCCTCATTTGAGTCAATTTTCCTGGGGAACATGATCAGAGAATACAGATAACATTTCCTCCACAGTTTCGAAGCACTTCTCCATGTGCTTATCATATAGAAATCTCCAAGCCTAGAAAATTATAGGAAAGTGATCAGTGACTGACTGGCTTTTGGACCATATTCAACCAGAACAATAACAATAACTATCCTTATTATAAGCAAATTACATTTAATTATTAGAGTAAATGTATCAGAACATATTAATTACATAAAAAGAATAACAAGAAAAAAAGAAAAAACTATGAGCTATTTAGGATTAAGACTGCTATCAAGCGTGCAGAGATTGGTCATTAGAATCTGTGAGGTTGTCTTCTTAAACAAACCGATATCCTCTGGACTTAATAAATTTTTGCAAATTTCGAAGGTTTAAGCTTCTGTGATGCTCTATCTTTCTTAAAAGATTGTTACTTTTGCTCAAATTTCCGGTGCAGAACTAAACCCCCAAACATAATCTTCTTAAACAAACCGATATCCACTGGACTTAATAATTTTTTGAAAATTTCCAAGGTTTAAGCTTCTGTAATGCTCTATCATTCTCAAAAAGTTGTTACTTTTGCTCAAATTTCCAGTGCAGAACAAAACCCCCAAACATAATCTTCTTAAACAAACCGATATCCACTGGACTTGATAAATTTTTGCAAATTTCCTAGGTTTAAGCTTCTGTGATGCTCTATCATTCTTAAAAGATTGTTACTTTTGCTCAAATTTCCAGTGCAGAACTAAACCCACATGCATAACCATGTACAAACAACTTTATATTATAACCAAACCCGTACTCGCCAACAACCTCAAGATAAGCCCCAGAGTTCAAATTTCTCCTGCTCCCCTCTTGAACCTAATATCACAAAGTTCAAGAACATTACCAGAAGCGACAACCAGGTTAGGAAGTGGGCTGATTCCGCCGCGACAGCTATTGAAAAGCTAATGTAACGGTTGGTTACGAAGCTATTGGCCGGTGTATCATCAACCAGGCAGTGAAGCTCATTGTCGTCAACATGATCAAACATCCCAATTTGCATTTGGGGTCAATCATTAGTGGCCTGTGACAAGGTAAGATTTTAGATAAAAATGGCAGATTGACAATGGTGTATTGGCTCATTCTTTGCAACTATCAAATTTAGAAAACTAACATAAAATCAAAAAGATGTAGGACAATCCCCTCGCCTTGACTGCAAAAACTAGAGCAGCAAAGCGGCCATGGAGTTCCCTATGTCTTAATGTGCGCCCAACACACTAACGTGCGCCACGAATAAAAACCTTTCCCGTGGAATACCACGCCACCCCTAACTCAAGAGGGAAGCGCTCGGCCTTGGGCGCTTTGCTTTAGAGCTTCCCTTCTCTCTTTAATTTATATCAAACTAACCCTAATTCCCCTTCTTTTTTTGCCACTAGATTTTTTTATATTTACCCTTGTGTCCCTTCTTTTTTATTTTATTCCTTCCTTCCACAGGCAGAAAAGTATCCCCTTCAATTCGCTCGAATTCCTCCCACCAATTTATTGAACCCTAAAGACATAGATTTCAAGAACATTACCGCAAACTTGAACCATGGAGGGTTGGATGAAATCGGATGGTTCGACCGGTACAAATTTTCTAGACCATAAATCGGAGTAAACCGGATGCTTTTCAAGTTCTAAATACTCATTTTTCAGAAAATAAAGTAATAGATTATTCATTGGGAAATAGAACTCAAACCATGAAAGATCACCTTGCAACAAGAGGTCAGATTCAAATATATATGTGTGTGTGTATATATATATATATATATGAAAGATCTATAGCCCGCTAGATGTCGGTGGTGTGCTACAATTCACTCATTTAACACGAGGCTATAATAGAGTTTGAGTAAATTATAAATTAGTCCTTCTAGTTTATTAGTTTTTATATTTTTACATTTATTTATAATTTAATATATTTCATTCTTTTTTCAATTTTTTTTTTGTTTTAATGAATATAAAAAAATATAAATATATAAAAAGATTGATAATAAAAGAATATATTTTTTTGAATAAAATAATATTAATTTTTGAAAAAAAGGTTGTTTAATTTATTTTGTAAAACTAAAGGCACTAATTTATAATTTTCTGTATAATGTGCTAGGGTGCCTTTGTTGATGAGTCCTGAAGACACATCAATTTTGTATTGGTGACGTGGATGATTATCATCTCCTCACCTCAGCATGGCCCCCATTTAACTTTTCTTTTAAACAAAGCTTCACGTTCTCTCGATAGACTAAATTATCCTTTAGTCCCTAGGTTTTGGAAGTGATTATAACTTACTTCTTCAATTTTGAAAGTTTGTAATTTAGTATGTTGATTCTTGTTGAAAATTGCCATATCTTACTAAAAATGCCTCCATTTTTTCTTATATAATGAGGTAAGTGTTCTATTTATCTTTATGTTTTAAAATAAGTTAATTATATTTATATATTTTAATTAAGTTTCAATCTATTTTTCTATAAAAACTTTTTAAAACTATCATATGATTTGTATATAATGAATTTTATTTTAAAAATACTCATCGAATGAATGACATGTGTGAATTACCTATTCACTACAATCTTTTTCTCTCGTCTTTGTCAAAATCCAACCAAGAATAAGCACCGAACTCTCTTTTGTTCTTCTTTTTCTCTTATCCTTCCCATTCATCCATTCTCCCTCTCCTTTCTTTTTTTCCTCTAAAAATCTGAGCAAAATCCATCCCAAACACAATCAATCTTGTTACCTTTTCGATTACTCTCAAAACCTTTATTTTTTATATATAAAACTTTCATATTTCATTTAAAATGAAGTTCTAACTCGTTAATCTACATCTCTAGACCTTAAAATCGATCTCTTACATCTTTTCCTCACTTTTTTTTTTAAAAAAAATCAATATCAAGTTGTTACTCATTTTAAGATATAAAGATAAATTGAATATTTATCTAATTATGTAAAGACGGACTGTGTGATTTTCCCAATAATCTAAGGAGTGGAAGTTAAGAGAAAAAAACAAAAGATTTTTTTATGAGGACGTTGGCCAACAAGAGTCTAGTTATGGAATTATAGGTTTTATAATAAGGATCAATGATAACTTTTTGCAAAACCTAGGGACTAAAGCATAATCTTCTTCATCCTCTCAATATTCAATTCTCAAAGTTGCACAAAACGACCAAAACTAACAACCTGGAACTCTTTCTTTACATTTGCTGCCATCAATATCCCCATAAAAAGCATTTGCCATCCCACCTCTCCAACAAAGTTCATTGAAAACGGTAAAAAAAAATATCAAAAAATCAGAAGAAAGCCAATAACACAGACAGAGAATATAACAATCCATGTTTAGCTTACTCTATGATCATTAGTTACCATGTTTTTGCTCTGCCCATGTTTTGTTCTAATCTCCCTTACCCTTTTCCAAGCTTCTTCACCAGCCTCATTACCTCAATCAGCAATTGCTCTTCTAAAGTACAAAGATAGTCTTCCATTACATTCTCAAAAGCTCTTGCCATGGAACCAATCAAACTCATCTTCCTCTCCTTGCCAATGGCCTGGAGTTTCTTGCTATCCCAACAGAAGTTTTGTGGTTAAGTCCTTAAACCTGTCAGGATATGGTCTTTCTGATATCTTGAAAAACTCCATTTCCTATCTCTGCCTCCATAAACATCTGGTCTTACTTGATCTTAGTGGCAACCAGTTCACTGGTGTTATTCCTCTGCTTCTTGGGAACTGTGGCCAACTCAATACTATTCTTCTCAATGACAATGGCTTACAAGGTTCAATCCCTGCTGAGATTTTCAAATCAAGGCAGCTTTTGCAGCTGGACTTGGGCTATAATTCTCTTTCTGGTAGTATTCCTCCAGAGGTAAGCTTCTGCATCGACCTTGAGTACCTTGGGTTGTATAATAATTATTTGAGTGGAGCGGTTCCAAGTGAAATATTTTCTCTACCAAAGTTGAAGATTCTGTATCTGAACACAAATAACCTAACTGGGTTGTTACCAGATTTCTTGCCTTCCTGTGCAATCTCTGATCTTTGGATTCATGAGAATGCATTTTCTGGATCTTTGCCTCTTACTCTCAGTAATTGCCAAAACCTTACTGTGTTTATGGCTTCTCAAAACAATTTTGAAGGAGTCGTTGCACCAGAGATTTTCAAGGGTCTTTTGCAACTTGAAGCCCTTCATCTTGATGAAAATAAACTTGAAGGGGAAATTCCAGAAACTTTGTGGGGTCTTGAAAATTTACAAGAGCTTGTTCTTTCAGGGAACAAGCTGAATGGCACAATATCTGAGAGGATTTCTCAATGCCATCAGCTTATATTCGTTGTCCTTTCTGGTAATAATTTTGTTGGTCATATTCCTAGACCAGTAGGAACTCTCCAACATCTGACCAATCTACTTCTCTCTGACAATAAGCTTGATGGCTCATTGCCTGCTGAGCTTGGAAATTGCAGTTCACTTGTTGAACTTAGGCTTCAGAATAACCTTATAGGAGGGAACATTCCTCCTGAAATTTGTAATCTTGAGAATCTTGAGGTTCTTTTCTTGTCCAGTAATGCTATCGAAGGCCACGTTCCAAGGCAGATAGGGAGACTGAGAAACCTTAAAATATTAGCTCTGTATAGCAATAATTTGACTGGTAGAATCCCATCTGAAATCAATAATTTTACAAAACTCACCTATCTTTCATTTGCTCATAATAACCTTACTGGTGAGGTACCGTCTGAGCTTGGGAAATATTCTCCAGATCTCGATAGACTTGACCTAACCGCGAACCACCTTTATGGACCAATTCCTCCTAATATATGCGATGGCAATAATCTGAGAGTTTTGACCCTTGGGGAAAATAGGTTTAATGGGAGCTTTCCGGTTGAGATTGGGAAGTGCTTGTCTCTTAGGAGGGTGATCCTTAGTAACAATCATCTAGAGGGGAGTATACCGGCCGATTTGGAGAGGAACTCTGGGATTTCTTACTTAGAAGTTAGAGGAAACTTGCTTGAAGGAAAAATACCTGTAGTTTTTGGTCTTTGGAGCAATCTATCGATGATAGATTTTTCAGGAAACAAACTCTCTGGCTCTATACCTCCTGAGCTCGGAAAGCTTGCAAATCTTCAAGTCTTAAGACTTTCTTCTAATCGTCTAACAGGAAGCATTCCTTCTGATCTGAGCCACTGCAGAAAGTTAATTAAGCTGGACTTGAGTAAGAATCAGTTTTCAGGAAAAATTCCTCCAGAGGTCACTTCATTGGAAAAATTAGAAAGCCTTCACCTTCAAGAGAACAAACTTAGTGGAGTTATTCCTGACTCCTTTTCTCCTCTTCAAGGTCTCTTTGAATTGCAGCTTGGTAGTAACATGCTTGAAGGTCCTATTCCTTGCAGTTTGAGTAAGCTTAACCATTTCAGTTCAGTTCTTAATTTGAGCTATAACAAGCTCTCTGGCAAAATCCCGTGGTGCCTTGGGAATCTAGACAAGTTACAGATTCTTGATCTCTCAAGCAACAGCTTCTCTGGGGAGTTGCCGAAAGAACTAAACAACATGATCTCCCTTTACTTTGTCAACATATCATTCAATCAACTCTCTGGCAAGCTCCCAACTTCTTGGATGAGAATAACGGCTTCATATCCAGGATCATTTCTCGGAAATCCAGAGCTTTGTTTGCTAGGTAATGAAGCAAGATACTGTGGAGATGTTAGAGGTGCTCATAGAAGGAAGCATGACCGGCATGTGCTGGCTGGTGTCATTATAGGCGTGATGATCTCTGTGGCATTGCTTTGTTCTGCTGTTTACATTATAGTGGTGCGAGTCCTTCAACATAAGTATCACCGCGATCAATCACTTCTTCGTGAGTGTCGATCGCAGACTGAAGATTTGCCAGAAGATTTACAGTTTGAAGACATAATGCGTGCTACAGAAGACTGGAGTGAGAAATATGTAATTGGGAGAGGCAAGCATGGAACAGTTTACAGGACAGAATCTGCAAACTCCAGAAAGCATTGGGCTGTCAAGAAGGTGAGTTTGTCCGAGGCTAACTTTAGCCTCGAAATGAGAACTTTGAGCCAGGTCAGGCATCGAAACATCATAAGAATGGGAGGTTACTGCATTAAAGATGGATATGGGTTCATTGTAACTGACTTCATGCCTGGAGGAACATTATTTGACGTCCTACACAGACATGAACCCCGCGTGGTTTTGGACTGGGACACCCAATATCGCATTGCTTTAGGTATTGCACAAGGGCTTTCTTACCTTCACCATGATTGTCTGCCGCAAATCATTCACAGGGATGTCAAATCAGATAATGTTTTTATGGATTCTGAATTGGAACCAAAGATTGGAGATTTTGGGATGTCAAAAATGCTTCTTGGTTCTGATTCAAGCTCCACCAGGTCTAGAATTGTAGGAACTCTCGGTTACATGGCACCGGGTAAGTGGTTCTATCAAACTAAAATATTCTTTTGGTTTCTTGATCATGACAAATTTATGTAAAAGCTCAACTACTAAATTCCTGTCTTGTGTTTCTCCTGTTTCCTTATCCAAAATTTCAGAAAATGCATACTCAACCCGGTTGACAGAGAAAGTCGATGTATACAGCTATGGAGTCATTCTGTTAGAGCTTGTTTGCAGAAAATTGCCAGTAGATCCCAGCTTTGAAGGAGGCCTGGATATCGTCTCCTGGACGAGGAAGAAGCTGCAAGAGAATGATGAATGCGTTTGCTTCCTTGATAGAGAAATCAGTTTCTGGGATAGAGATGAGCAACAAAAGGCTTTGAAACTACTAGAACTGGCACTAGAGTGCACAGAACCAGTTGCTGATAAGAGACCATCCATGAGAGATGTAGTAGTTTTTCTTGTAAAATTACAGGATAAGCATGAAAGAAGTGTATATAACAGAAAAAATCCAACGGCCTTAGGTGGTTCTTCACTGCAGGAAAAGCAAGACAATAATTGGTGTACTGGTGCAAGTAGCCTGTCATGTACTCATGTTTAAGCAATTTATGATACTCTGTTTGCTGATAATCTTATTGAAATTTGGTTTCTCCAATGCTCTCTTATAAAGATTCTGTATTTTGAGTGCATGAGAAAAAGAGCTTTAAGTTGGAATGCTTTCCGTCATGGAGGTGAGGCCGAACGTTTGTGATGCCAGAGCACAGCAAATCAAACAATATAGAAGCTCCCAAATGTAAAATCATATTGATTCAAGACCATCCAGTGCTGATGCAACTACCATGAATCAAACTGGGAGCAACACTTACCTCTAAAAGCTTCCCGTTTATCTCTTTCCTACGGAGATAGGATGCACAAGTAACGTCATTTTATCGCAGCTTATCATCGTCACAGACGAAAGCTTCTATCGTTGCATCTATAAGAATGCCTGTGTATTATTTCCACCATCACAAGTGACAATATGTCCAGTTACTAAGACGAATCCACACTCAAGGAAGGATTTGTTCCTTCAGATGCTATGGTGTGGCGATCATAAGAATTAACCAGCATTGCGAAAATACTAGAGACTTTTAAGACTCGATGTGTAAATTTTCCAAGCATCTTACATAATAACATCACCACAGATAAAATTTGAATACTCATGCATTGCCATTCATCCGATACAAATTGCAATCTTGCATCTTCGGGGAAACTTTGTAAATTGATTGAGTATTACCATACGGAGTTAGGAGTCATGACCTCATGATTATTCTTTAACAAGGGGAACAAAATCCATAAAGAAACCAACAGCATTATAAGAAAAACATGTCTGAAGTCACAACATCAAACTACAGTAGAATGCCTCAAGGCTCCTACTCCGTTGCTTGCAGAGGTTGTGAAGCTTCATTTTGTTTCAATTTTTCCAATGCAGAGATCCGTCTATCCAATGACTCGTGAACGCTTTCCACCTGGAGAATAAAAGAGAAAATAAGCACATATGAGTAGCATATTCACGTTTCTCCTAACACGAACACAAAAAGAACCATTCATGTTCTTCAAATGCCAAGATCCTACAGCCTTAAACATGAAGAAAACCATGGTCCTACCCTTGAGAATAATGCTTCGGGTAATGTTAACTGCAAGCATGCAATTAGTCCAAATGAACAGAAAATATTTGGGTCGAGCTATTAACCCTTCACTGATTGTTAAGGGCACTTCACCTTTACAGAGAGTAGTCTGGTGCAATTAGCAACTGATGGAGTGCTAATAACTCCACCCAAATTTTTCTTTCATTGGAAAGCAAAAACAATATTCCTATTGGTCCTTTTACAATATCTTCTGAAGTGCAGATACTAAAAGAAATAGCACAGCCATATTCTTTAGTCAGTCACACCCTTCCAACATTGCAATGAGAACTTAAAAACTTCAATGCAACATTAAGGAGACAATAATTGAAGAATGTTATCTGGATCACGGTTTTAACTCAATTCCTATGATGAATGAGCAAAATAATTTGCAATGGGAACCAATTCGGAGCCTCTAATACTGGTACCAGACTTCTGAGTCATTATTCCCTCCTGCATCTCTTTGCAACTATGTCTACAGTTTCTATAGACAAAGAAAACAATAATCACTTTCTGACTGTCAAATGCATGTTTTGCACGAAAACTGCATTTATTGTGACAAATTATGATTTGCTTTCAGTCTGAATGGGCTAAACGGAATTTCATCCAAGAATGCCAGTAATGCTTTAGGTAATGTTAATGGTAAAACTTGCCTTTAATCCAAATGAACAGAAAATCTTTTGGATGGGACTACTAATACTCCATTAATTGTTAATGACACTTCACCTCTATAGAGAGAAAAGTGTTGTGTCGTTAACGCTTTTGGAGTGCTAATAGCTCCACCCAAATTTTTTCTTTCATTGGAAAGCAAGAACAATATTCCTACTGCTTCTTTTATAACATCTCCTGAGCAGATGCTAATAGAATTATCATTCCAGCATTCTTCAGTCAGTTACGCCCTTTTCCATGTTGCAACAAGAGATTGAACACTTTCATGCAACATTAAGGGGGCACTGCTTAAAGGATGTTATCTGGATCAAGAAAGTTTAACTTAATTCAAATGCTAAAAGAAACAAAGATGCGCTCAAGGCTTCCAATTGGTAGCCTCTAATACCATTACCAGACTTCTAAATCATTCTTTACCATTTCTACAATTTCTCTAGACTAAAGGAAAAAGTTACTCTTTTTAACTTTCAAATGCATGTTTTGCATGAAAACTGCATTAGCGTGACAAATTATGATTTGATACCAGTCTGAACAGGCTACATGGAATTCACATAAAAGAATGCCAGTAAGTAAAGCATACTACAAAAAGAGCCCATATAACCTTATACTAACACAACCAACACCTAGTAACAAATGCATTCAGACAAGGCTACACCGCAAAAGAGACCAACAACAGGAGCATGCAACACCATACAGTTACCATTAACAAATCAATCTTGAAAATCTACCTTTTCAATTTACAATTATATACTTCTTCTATATATTTCTCCCAAATATAACACCTCTCCAACTAGCTTTACTCTTTTTATACTGTCGTTATTGCCTCTGAGGATCTTCAAACTTTTTTGTACAATAAAAACCCTAATAAAAGAGCAACCAATTCAAATGATCCACATTCTAATATCAATCTACTAAGTACCCTATTATAGCACAACATACAAAAAAATCAATAGCAATAACCAAAACACTCAAAAAGAGGAAAAAAAAAATCAAAACCCACAATTATTATCTTCCGATAATCACTAATTGGGCCTCAAGTCACTACCTTTTCTCTCAAATTCAAATAAACTATATGATTCTACAACATGCATAAATCAAGAAAAACAATAAAAAAAAAGGGACAATAAAAATGAAAACCCACTATTAATATGTTGCAATAAGGAATAATCAAACCTCAGTTACTATCTTTTAATAAAATGCAAAATGGGGTAAATATAGACTGCAAATTAAGCTTAAAAAGCAGAGTTTTTTTTTTGGAGATTTTGATAATTACCTGTTGAGAGATGGCATCATGGGCAACCTTGAAATCCTTGTAAAGTAAATAGATTCCTGCAAAAGATGCAGTTGCTGCTCCAGCAAAGAATGAAGCCAATCTCACTCTCAATACGTAACCCATTCTTTCTCTCTTTTTTCCTCTTTGTTCTCTCCCTTCGATTCTAAAATGGTGTCGATCCCTTCGTCTCTTCTTGCTGCTGGTGTTACAACTTCACTTATACGACGACGTATTTCTTTTCGGATTTTATTTTCTTTTTTTTTTTATATTAAATTTGGTGAACTATTTAATTCTCTTTGAAAAACTAGAGGGACTAATTTATAATTTACTCCTACTTTTATTCACATCTCTTTAAAACAAAGGGAGTGTTCTTAAACTATAAAACAAAGCCTCCACACGACACCGTTTGGTAAACTTTTTTTCTCGCTAACAAATTTGGCAAAATTATCATATTTTTCTATTTCCTTGGGAGAGTGTCACAGTGCCACCCTCAGCATTTTCCATAGGAAGTTTCTTTCTTTGTTTGTTTCTTTTAATCTTTTTTCTTGTCTGTCATTCGCAGTTAGGGTTTTTGTTTTTTTTTTTCTGAAATGCAGCAGGCACCACAACAAATGTTGAACATCACCACTGAGCAGATTCAAAAGGTACACACACTTCACATTTTCTTGAAAAAGATAAAATGTGGGCATGTTAGGTTTTTGTTTGGTTTTATCTGTGAAATGGGTTTGGCCTTTTGCATGCATTTGTTTATGGTAAGACTAGGACTTGTTTGTCTAACTTGTGTCTAAAAATTTTGGACAATGGTGTTAATTGATCAAGGTGTTACCTTTGAGTTTTAAAACTTGGTATTTTATTGAATTTTGTTTTTCTTGTTGTGTTTTTGGGTTGGTAAGGTTTTGGTTTTTAATTCCTGGCTGGAATGTGTTTGATGGGGTTTGTTAAAAGTTTTGGTTCTTTGTTTGACAATGTTTTACATTGTATATATTGTTGTTCTGTTTGGAATTGTTCATATTATATAAGTTTTCGTGTTCTTTAGAAAAGAAACTGAGGGATTGTTTGTTAAAGTAGAGCATTTTGATTGTCATTGTATGATCAAATAATTAATGAGCACAGATGGTAACATGACGGTGGTTTTTCTGTTAAAAATGAAAGAAAAGGCAGGGTTTGCCTAGGGGTGTAGGGATTAAACATGAGTGTTCTTTGATCTGGTTCTAATCTTTTGCAAAAGGGTTCAATGTAATTGTGCGCTTGTTACTTACATCGAAGCATATGTGTCAATTAGATTTTCTTTTCTTTTCTTTTCTTTATGCAGCACGGATCCACTCTAGTTACTATTACTAATTTACTGATGGTTTATGATGGAATAGCCGATGCTTAAAAAAGGGTGAGAAAAGAAAATTATAATTTGATTATTAGTTTAAGACGGTGATTGTTAGTGATTCATGCAGTATTTGGAAGAGAACAAGCAGCTGATTATGGCTATACTGGAGAATCAGAACAAGGGAAACTTTTCTGAATGTGCCTCGTGAGTTACAAACCGCCTGCATACCCATTTCTTGTTTGTTTCCTTTATGCACCAAATGGTTTGATCTTCATGATTTCGAACTCAGATATTTTTGCTGAGAGCTTTTGATGTTTCTGACTAATTTCAATAGCTAAAATGCAAACCAGTTTTTTTTTCCCCCCACATTTCGTATTTTTTGCTGAGACATTGATGAGATTGCAAGACTGTTCATGAGATAAACCTTTGCCCAGTGATGGGAATTATAATATAACAGATCACTGATTAGCCTCAGTGGTCTTTTACCTGGCACATTCTTGTTTTATTATTATTATTTTTTCTCTGGCCCTTCGTTGGGGACTGTGTTTTGAACATGGCATTGGAAACAAAAACCACATAATTAATGTATATACAACTGGAAGCTAATGTGAACATTTCGCAAAACGACATGAAAAATCTCACATCTTACACTGCTTATTGATGAATAGCATGTGTTGCTTTGTTAAAAATTTCAGTTTATTTAAAACATCTGTAATTGACACAAGTCCTTAGCTCTAACAAATAGCCATTGAGAGTGAATGGGGAGTAACAACTATGGTCTTGCTAATGCTTCTGCATCATAATCTTAGCATAAAGCTAAGTTTCTCATCATGCTTGATCTTGCAGAATGTTTGGCTGAAAGTGAGGGTGATTAGAATTATATTTTTGAGATGGTTAGAACAGAGTGAAGAGGGAGCTATGAACTATTATGGTTTTGCTTTCAGTCCTTGGTTCATGCTCTTTATCTGGCTTTTATATGACATTTTCAATTCATTTCCTCACTGATGAATCTTTTTCTTTCCTTACTAATAACAGTCAGATTTGTGTCTTTTCTGAATAAAAATTTGAAAAGCTTTCTTGCCTCTCTCATTCTCTTTTTTTGTTAAGAAAGAGAATGAAAATTATGTTAGCTCTCATTCTGCCAATGATTCAGGTATCAAGCCCAGTTACAGCAGAACCTGATGTACCTAGCAAGAATTGCTGATGCCCAACCACAAGGAACCACAATGCCTTCTCAGGTAATTTGCTGAATAAGACCTGGACTCTTTTTCTTTTTTGTTATGTTTTTTTTTTTTTTTTGGGTGTATTAGTCCCTACGCAAAGACATGTTAATTTCAGAGAACCTCGTGTCAAATTGAAACTTTTTCTTCTGTTTTTTAAAAAAAAAAAAAAAAAACCTGCAGATGCCCCAGCAGCTGCCTGCAGTACAGCAAGAGCAGTACGTGCAACCATCTCAAGTTGCTATCCCTCAGCAACCAATGTTCTTCAACCAGAAGCTCCATTTCCAAATGAATGATCAGCAGCAGCTGCCTCCACATCTCCAACAGCAATTCTTCCTCCAAGGACAGATACGAATGAGACCTGGTGCCGCCGATGGAGATTCTGATGCATGAAACCAGCTGGTGCTAATTGCCTTGAATGCTTATAGTTTTAGGACTTCCTAAAGAGCTTGTACAAGTGTACAACTATTCCTAACTGCATTTTATTTTGTGTAAGCTGTCTAGTTAATATCTCTTGTGCGCATGATTAAGTACCCTTCTCTTTCACTTTCATGGATGTTCATGCTAAGAGATTTTCAGGGAAAGTGAAACCCAACATGTTATTTTTTTCTTTTTTTTGGTTGAAATGGAAAGCTTCCAGTAAAAAGAAGCTTCTTATGAGTTAGAAGACGGAGCACTGTTTGGTCCGAAATGCTGCTGTCATAAATCAGCCATTGGCTGCGGTCACTGCCAATTCTTGTTATATGCTGTGTTTCAAACGATGCTAACACCCTCATAACATAAGAATTTCAACATCTCATTCGAACAATGTTAAGCTTCAGAGAAACAATCAGCATGACCATGGCCAATCTGGTGTTTGCATATTGTTTTCTTGGAACTTGGCTGAGCTTATATTTATCGCAGCCAGAAATTTGGGTTTCATGTCAAAGGTGAAGATGGAGGACTGTTTTAGCTTGGAGATCAATTTTGATGAATTCCTTATGCTTTTTAGCTTTTTAGATAACATGAGTGAGAACATAATCCTATTCGCCTAGATACTTGGGAAACCTTGGCAAAGACAATAATGGAGTATAAAGATTTAGGTTGTAAATCATACGTTTGGAGCGGTATGATATATCCCTTTAAAATTAAGGTTTATGTTCAACTCGTCACGCTAGAAAATCTATATCTTTTTAAAGAAAAATAGTTTTTTTTTTCCTCTTCAGTTTAAAAAATAAATTAAATTATAGTACTTTTTATGCTTCTTTGGGATGGATGACCACTTATTTCTGGATTTAAGGCTGTAGAATCCAGCAGAAAAAGATTGGTCTCCAACACTTTTTTTAAAAAAAATACAATGTCTACCGCAACAAGAGATCACAGATTCGTATCCTAATAATAGAATAGTTATGCTAAGAGCCTTGTGTATATAAATTGAAAAAAAAAAAACATTCTTGTTATGGCCACATAAATCAAAGTCAATAATTTATGCAATTAGCCCATTTTAATATGTTTGAGCAATCCTTACCAACACCATGGAGCTATGAAAGAAACCAAAATATCTTTTTTTTTTATGGCATTCATTTGCTGCTGAAACAATGCATTGGTTAAAAACATTACCAAAGCAAATAACTTAGAAGGGAACAAAAGGAGCAAGCATAATCAACTTAGAAAAAATTCACAAAGACAAGGGGCTGACAAAAGGAAGCATGGGCTATCAAATGCACAGAAGCAATTTTGTGCATGAATATCAACTGTAGAAAGTTGATTGTGCTGTCTTTGTATCATAAACACACATAACAAAAAAAGGCAGGTTTTTCCAAAAGCATAAAACTAAACAGGATAAAAAAAAAAAAATCAGCTAAGTCCAATGGTGGATTCTATAAGAAGCAAACAATGGCTGGCAGTTTCAGCAAGAGCTACCGCAAATCCTCCCATATATGCCCGACCTGCACACCAATTAACTCCATGAGTTAGTTTATGCATTGGGCGTTGCCTCCTGCAAAAACAGATTAAAATTGATTATATATCAATAGCAAATCACAAAAATCAAAAACAAGAAATCATGGTCGACTAAAGTGAGAACTAGCATAAAATGCAAATGCACCTCTCAAATTATTATTATTATTATTACCATACTATCTTCTAGAAGTTAATGCAGCTCCAGTTGTCCTGAAAGCATTCAATCACATAAAACTCAATGAGTCCTTAAACTGTATCATACAACATAAATTGCAAAATCTGCAGAATTTAGAAGGATTTAAACCATACCTGTTCTGTTGTTTTCCAGAATAAATTGAGTTAGTCATCGCATGAATTGAGCCCTTGGTTTGAGTACTGCTTATGCTTGATCTACCGAAATCTGGCCCATTTAGTTCTTGAGAATCTTTCAATTTGCTCAAAATTTTAACATTTGAGGTGCCTCCAGCAACCCCAAAATCAGCACCATTAGAAAATTTGGACTCAATTGATGGAACCTTCTTAATTCGGTGAGATTGTGCCATAGGAGTAACAGCCACAGAAGGCAAAAATGACGAGTAAGGAGATGATGCTGCCGCAGCAGCAGCAACTTTAGCAATAGCTGCTGTGGCAGCTATCATTTCTTGAGCTCCTTCCCGAAGCTGGATGTAGTCGCCCTTGATAAAAAACAACTGAAAAAATACAACTTAAAGGCTCAGATATAGTTACAGCATCTATGTATGCAAAGATGTAAATTGAGATCGTAAAAACTCACTTCTGGGTGACCACCCACAAAATCATCCAGCTTCCCATATTTTTTCTTGTAATCGTGCCAATGCAAAGGTGAAAGCATCTTGCCAAGTCTATTTGGTAGCTGTAATTGACAAAAATGACAATTATCATTGCTTCTGAATGGATTTTAAAATGTGCTAAGATCGGGGCAAAAAAAGGATTTTTTACACTCACTAACCGTTGAAGTGATCCGAATTCTACCACCAGCTGGAATAGTGCGAACTATGCAAGCCAACAGAGATCTTTCATCAAGGAGAGGAGTCTCAGAAGTTTTTTCTCCCGTAAACATATCTGTCTGCTCGGATGAGATAAATGTTTTAGAAGAAACAGCACCAGTGCTGTTGTTGATTGTGGTTTCACTGACATTAACTGAATGCACGGAGGTTTCAGATAATGATGCACTGGCAGCAGAACTCGCCTGCTCTTCTGTCAAAGCTTGGCCCTCTAGTCCCTGGTTATTAAAGTTCATAACATTTTGATCCTACACCAGTTCAAACTACTTTTAGTCTCAGCCCTAAATGCTTCTACTGGAGTAAAACACAAGCTAACCAATGGCACAAGCATGGCAAAGGAACTATCAGCAAAAACAAGCACAGACCTTCATTTCAGTATTCTGTTCAAGATGATTCAATCTCAAGGCTTCGCTAAATTGAGAAGAAATCTCTTGCAAGCTCTGCTCAGTTTGCGGAGTAACCAAGTAACTTCTATCAATCGACTCAAGAACCTGCAGAAGGTAGAATTTTTGCAGATCCAGTCAATAATCATTCACGAAACATATATTGATCTACAAAAGGCAACAACTTAAAATGCATGACCTGCGATTCCCCTGTGGATGATGAAATTACAGAATCAGGCTCTGCTCCTTGGCTGATATGAACATCAAGGTAGTCTGGATGAAAGTCATGGCCATTAACAGACCTTTCATAGTCATACTTTACATCTGACCTCATAAGGTTATGATCAGTATGAGATGATGCAAGTTGATTCTGTGTAGATAATTGTCCACTCTCTGTTACAGCCTGAAGAAGATTTAAAAAAAAGAAAAGGAAAGGAAAAAGAAAACAAATTGTTATTGTGGACAGCTGCGTTAGAAAACATGTTCTAGACTAATATCAAATAGAAATGAGTACACATCATATTTGCAAAGATTACATCTACAATGAGGACATGAGAAGTTTACATTCTGATAGTTACCTGTTGATTCTGCCACTGTGGGAGGGATGACATTGCTGGTATTGAGTGAAAATGTCCAACATGAGATTGGGGAGCATGTGGTGTCATAGAATGGGGAATCCCCTGTTGATGCAGAATGAATGGGTGCAGTGCAGTCACCTGCCCAGGTGGAAGATAGGTCGGCATCCCGAGTAAGGACGTTGGAGCCATTGGAAGCCCAGCAACATGGTTGGTCTGTTGATCAACAGAACATAATATTGAAACTCATGGATACAGGATTTGAACATTTAAGCTTTTTCCCAAGTTAAAAGTATGTTTCAATCACCTACTGGCTACGGCATAATACTTTTTTTTTTTTCTTGAGACAAATACTTGGAAACCCCTATTAAATATTCTATCTGTATGGCACATGGTTTATTTTGCTCTATTAGGTCTTTTCTATGGTATGAATCCTTTTGAGTGCCCTTATCACAATAGGTATGACCTCGGATCTCAACTCCAGGGGTATACTATGGAACCAGCTACCTGAAAAGGAATGAAAAATGCAAAACTAAGCTAGAGTAATGGAAGCCAGAGTAGGACAGCAACTGGGAATATGAGGCCATGCAATGTGGCATAACATATAGTGAACAGCAGCTGAAGAGCAATGCTGTAGAATAGAAGAGAAGTTGGTATTTACAGTTCAAATGGATAACTTGGAAAAGGAACAGGATAATATATATTTAGATTAATGGAAAAAGCAACCACAGTGACAAGAATCCTACCTGATTTGGTACATTTCCAGTTGACGCAAAAGACGAAGCATTATCTGCATTCCCATTTGACAATGCTCCATTATTAGCATTGGATGCAGCAGTTCCGTTTACATCTACCTGGTTGCCATTGTTCTGACTAAAGTTCGACATGTCCTTCGAATTTGATTGAGATAGGTGTGACTCATCTGTGTAGGATCCACTCCTTTCTCTGGCATCAGCTAGCTCAAACTGAAGCTGTTGTATGGTATGCAAATGAATTCTCTCCATCTCTGCAAACTGATATCAGTAACCAGGAGAGAGGGAAAAAATAGTCAATCCAAAATGCATGCAAGCAGACACACACGCTCGCATGCACACACCTCAAGCCCAAGTAATATACACCAAGGACCAAAAAGAAGTGCAAAGGATTAAGAAAGCAAGTGACCTGTCTTTGACAACCAAGCCAAAGCTGATTATACTGTTCTGTGCGTTCTCTCAATTCAGCTTGTAAGGAATGGTTGGCATTAGATTGCAAGGCATCCATCTCCTGAACACGTGCAATCCAAACTTTCAACTGTTCATCCTTCAAATAAATGGTCTCCTGATCAGCCCTATGCTGAAGATAAGATCAATGTTAGAACTTTTAATAAACACATGTTTTACGAATTCTTTTTTTGTTCCTGCTTTTAAGAGGTAATATGACACTGTTAGTTTATGTTTTACAAATTCTTGTTTGGCAATCGTATAGTAAAAACTTTCATTTCAATAAACAACACCTGGTCAAAACCAGAGCTTTCAAGTACCACTCGACCAAAAAATCCAAACAAATCAGAACTGAATACACAAACAGACCTGTTCCTGCAACTCTAGAATCTGTCTTTCCTTGTCTTGGATGTGTTCTTGAAGGTCCCGCAATTGCTGTATATGTTGTGCTCTTTCAGCTTCAGAATGATCACGCTCTCTTCTGCAGAAAGAAATAGACCATTTAAATTAGTCTATCCAGACTTAAATAACCCAACCTAACCTTAAAGACGAAGGAAAAAAATATTTATAAACAGTTATTGGAACCTAAACGTACAGTAGCTATGAATTTCTCGTGTGCACATCTTTTAGAAACATTGCATGAAATTAGAATGTCATTTCTATCATCAAACTAACGCTTAAGGCCATAGACCAGTGTCAAAATAATGAACACATACCTGAATGTCGCCAGTTCATTATTTTGTTCCCTGAGAAGGTCCTCTTTAGCCCAGGCCTGCAAAAATTAGATGAGAGACAGCACAAAACATTGCTGCAAAGACTTTGTTCAAAAGTACAGCAAACAGATGAACAAACCGCTTCATTATCTAATTTAATAGCATGCAGTTCTCTATCCTTTTCTTCCATTCTCCTTTCCAAGTCATGTATGGCCTGTCCCCTTTCATGCAGTTGTTCCTACACAACAAAGCAAGCTCGCATTTAAGATGGAAGTAACGGAATATGAGAAATTCTCAAGCAGTCACTATGCCAGGTGTCTAAAAAGAGAATTACAGAATAATGTAAAGACAGACAACAAAATCCATTGATCTGATCTTAATGATTTCAGGTGATGTCACTTAATTGAAACACACAAATAGCTTTCTTTCATGACACATAATTGTACCTTATCAAATTAACAAAGTAGCAGTTTTACAACTTCTATCAGAATTAAACCCTAAGGACATAAAAATGTTTAATGCAATTACAGATTATCATAATTTACATATAGAGAAAAGAAAGCATAAATCACATTGATAAAAAATCCAAACCTCAAGCTCTGCAGCTGCATCTTGATGTTCTTTGATTTGAGCATGGAAGCTGTTCTGCATTTCCATGATCTCAGACCTCACAATCACTTGAGCTCTGAGCTCAGTCTCCATCTGTTGCAACTCTTCTCTTTGTCTAGCAACGCTGTGAATTCTCTGCTGCAAAATATCATCGTCTAAACCCCCATCCACCGTGATCGAACAGAAGTCCACATCAACAGGCTCTCTTCCATGCTGCACCTTGATAAACACCAAATCAAGTTAACTTTGTGTGATATTTTACCAAATGTCCAGCCCAAAAATCACAATATTTACCTCATATATTGTTCTCTCATCTGATTGCCCGATTTTTGGCTGTTCCAAGTTCTGTGATCAACGTTTCCACAATTAATGACCCAAAAAATGAACATCTAATACCCACATTGGTTGCCTAGTAAATATTGAAAACTCAAGGAAAACGTATTTTGGCTTGCATTCAAATGTCCATAAACAAGTATAACAGAAAAACATTTAACAAACAAAAAAAAATTCCAATTATCAGGTTTATTCGATCTTCCGGTCTTCGCATAACCAAAAAGGAGACAATACATTTAGCCCACTTAAACATTATACAGAAAAATTAATTAAGCTTAATCGCTTCATTTTCAAAACAAACAAATCCCAACAAACCTTAACCTAAATTGGCTCACTTCAAAAACCATGTAAACCAAACATTCTACATCATGGGTGTCACCTGTAAATTCTATACATCCATATATAAGCACATTTTAACACACACAAACAGAAAATGAACCCTGATTCCCTGTTCGGCGTCACAAAAGCATGATATGGAAAAAAACCCACATCATTTCCATAAAACCCAACCCATTAACAAAAGCACAAAACATAACATCAAAGTTTTTCTCCTCTTTCCCTGGCATTTTCCCATCAACCAAGCAAACCCCAGTAAACCAAGAAATCACTCACTACCTCATTTCCACCACCGCCACCGTTTCGATGCTGCTGCTGCTCCGTAACCGCTCGCCACTCCTTCCTTGACAACGAACCACCTCGTGAGGCTGCCGATACTCCGGCCGTCGCCTCCATTTACTCAAAAAATCACCGATACGTATCCAATTCGTAACTGCACGAAACAGAACAACGACAAAAAAAAACCCTAATTTTCAAAAAAGAAAAACCCTAGAATTTCAAAATTTTGTAAAAGAGGAATCGAAACGAGAGAGAAGAAAGCGAGAGTGCCTTGCGTGAAAAAAATTGGGGAGTGGATTTAGTAACGGAATTAGGGATTTTGGGAACTTTTTTGAGGGTTTTGAGAGGGGTTGGAGTGTCAGTGGTTAAAAAAGTTGACGAGAGAGAAGAGAGAGAGAATTTGATGGGAAATGAGGGCTCCCGCCATTTATAGGGCAAACAGAGGTAAAACGTTTTTGGTTTTTATTACCATTTGGTCTTTTTGGTCATAGTAAAGTCTTTGAGGTTTTTTTTTCATGTTTTGTTTGGTAGTAAAATTTGATGATGATGATTTTTTTTTTTTTTATAATGCGGATGTTCGGATCAGTTTACGCGCATCTCGATTAATCTTATAGGTCCCGAAGTTAACGATCCCGTAAACCTCCAATGGCCACCAAAGAAAACAATTAAGACTCAAACCGGAGACCACAAAGAGAACAAATCCCTTAATACCAAGTCCTTGTCGCTCGCCACTCTTGATGGTTTAATTTGATGATATTTTTGTAAAATTTGATGAGATCAAATTTGAGATTGGTGAGATTGTAAAACATTGAATATCTATAATTTAATGATATTTATGTAAAATAAAAATAATGAAAATTCAAGTTTGAGTTTTGTTTGAAATTCTTATATTTGTTATTTTGTTTTTTTTTGTTGAAAAGTATAATTTCATTGGCACTAATAATAATATCATAAAATTTTGACAATGCTCATACAAATATAATAAATATAAAAATTGAATCTAATCAAATTCACAAAAATTAAAATAGTAACTATTGAAACTTTGAATAGCATCTTTTTTTTTTCTTTTTTTTTAGAAACTTTTCAATGGCTTTAAAAAATAATAATAAAAATAAATATACAGCTCCATTCCCAGTAATAACTGACGAATGGTTGCTGCACCAGCTCACAAAGTAGCCCATACACACCGATGGAAAGAACCAGGTTTAAGCCCATTAACTGCTAGTGCTCAAAGCAGCCCTAAAACCCAGCCCAGAAAACAGAGCCCAAATCTATTTACTGGTTTAAGCCCATTTGTTTTTTTTTTTTTTTTGGGATTTACGTTGTTCATCGCCATGTTTATTTCACGTCCAAATGAGTTTTTCGAATGATATAAACCAACGAAAGATAAGATTTATTATTTCAAATCTATACGGTAAATGCTTGATTTGTTAATAAAATAATTTACAAAAAAATAGGGGAAGCCTATTTATATACTCTCCTGTATTACAACATTTTTCGACTAATATCCTTCTATAGAAAACAATAAAATGATAAAAATATTTCTTTTGAATCAATAAAATATGGAATAAGTATATGTTGGCGTTGAAATTGGAATCTAGATAAGCTTGGTTACATATTTGAACTTTTTTTTCTTTTTTTACTTGAGTGGATACTTTATGTTGATTTAAAGTGATATTTTCATTAATTTAGATTCAAACTATCACAAATCATCCGTGTGATCATGCGTTTGATTATTAATATATTTTTCTATTGATATTTGACATATATTAGGTGATAGGAACGAGCCGAAGGCTACCATTAATTGTAGGGATGGCCACCCCCGCCACCTTCTCACCTAAAAATTTTTTGTCTCTTCTCCACCTTGTGTTTCGTTTGAGACGAAATTTTGAGTATCATCCTCACTCCAAACGGGACGGGATGGGCAAGGATCCCGTCAAATTATCATTTCTAAAGGTAAAATAAAATAATGGGAGCGAGAGATAGCTCGTTTTAAAAAATTTCACTTCATTCCCATCTCGTATCTCGTTTGGGATAAAATTTTGAGTATCATCCCTACCTCAAACAGGACGGGACAAGGCTCCAACAAAATGAAGCAAATCGTCATCCTCGATTAATTGATTTTCTTATGAAAGAATATCAATAATAATGTTTTTATATTTCAATTGAATACTTTTTTTTAACATTCCGAAAAGAGAATATTTTTCTCTCGTTTTTTTTAATCAAACATATATCGATCCAATCACAATCTTATAATGAGAGCATGATCTTTTTGTTCCTACATTTTCTTTTCTTTTCTTTTTTCTTTTTTCCTTAGTTTTTTATGCTTAATCTTAGTATCTAGTTAAGTATAACGGTATTGCTAAATCCACCAAATATTTTGTTATTTTCGTCAAATTTTTTATTGTAAATTACCAACACACCACCACACATCAAGTTAATAACTAGATAGTGATTAGATACAAGGGTTTGTTAGTAATTTAAAATAAAAAATTAGTGGGAATAACAAAACACATGGTGGATTTAGTAATACCCTAAATATAATTCTGTTAAAACATAAAGAAAAAATATATATAAATACATTGTTTCGTAGCTAAATTCGCAAATAGTAATATAATCGTACCACTTCAATTTAATTGTTTTTTTATTAAGAGTAAATACTTACAAAGACGAAATTATAAGTTTACGATGATCTATAAGATAGTGTTCTTAGGTTGAAGCCGACGGGTAATTCTACTTGCTGGGAAGATGCCGTTTTGTACAGTTGGCAATATACTTGGCTAGTGGATCTTACTCTTCTTGCATGGTGACAATGCACAGTTTTCATCTCAGTCAAATCAAATATCTTTGTGCTCCAAAGCATTGTAATTGCCATTAATTTATGAATCAAGGTAGATGTTGTTTTCACTTCTTTTTGCCATCTAAGTCGTTCGAAATTGATGGTGGCATAATTTCGATTTTTTCTCCAAAATTAATTTAGTTAATTTTATTACATCCTAATTTATTATTGTTGTTGTTATATATTTGTCTTTGATAGATTTAAATTGTATGACAAATAAATTAGATTGAAAATAGATCTTGTCCGACACAAGATTTTAGATTGTCTACAAATAAATACGTATATTTTGATAAAATCCTTGTTCATTTCTTGTTTTTTTAAATGTATTAGAGGCTTAAAAAAGTGGGTTTGAAGCATAGTCTCTTACAAAAAAACAATAAAATAAATCAATCAATGATTACATCTTCTTGCATGATGATAATGGCAATGTATATTTTTTAACTCAAATCTAACTATGCAAACATTAATAACGTGACACGGTTTTAATAATTAAGAATTGTGAAAAATTTTATAATATATAAGGAGTAACTAGAGACATGTATAGTAATTACTCTATAAACTCACTTTAAGAAAAGAGATAGACACATTAAATTACATCTAGATCTACCAAAAGTGATAAAAAGATTTTGATATTCGCTCGATTTTTTTTTAATTTTTTTTTTTATCTATCTCTCTCCTCAAAGTGGGTCCAATATAATAACTATTGTATATGTCATCAACTACTCTTTGTGTATTATAAAATTTATCAAGAACTATCTTTATTTTACTATAAATACCAAACTCAATGAGGAGATTTTTAACTTTGCATATTTTGCAAACTCTTGTTCTTTTATTTATATATTTTTTTAAAGTTCTCTCGATTTTACACCACATAACTAAAATTTTATTTGTTTAATTTTTAATTACACATAAATCTATCATTTTGACTTGCATCTTCAAAACATTGTTTGTTCTTCTTTCTTCATCTTTCATTATTTATATTCCCTTTACTCGATTAATTAATCACTGCTTCTTCAAACAAAAATACTAATTTTTTTTTTCTGAATGGTTCGATCAACTATTTTCAAAACACTCACATGCAATGAATCTTGCCTTTTCGGCGAAGGCATGGGAAATTGAATAATATTACGAACGAAACAAGTGGTTACCTACGATTGCTGTTGAGATTAGAAGTAACCCACAAGTGCTGAACTAATATTTAAAAGGTTGTTGAGACATAAAACGATGGATGATCCACACCTTGTTTCCTTTGAACAACATTTCTTTATTATTCATCAAACTTTGTGAACTCATCATTAAAAAAAAAAAAGTAATCTATACCGTTTACCAATCCTAAGAACCAGACAGGAAACGGAACCGTGAAGGCGGCAAACGATACATTACAAGGAAGAAACAAAGTCAAAGAAGAGAATGTTCCTATTACGAAAACCTCAAATCTGTCCATGTTTGGTTCGGTGACCTATATTTTGATTATTCTAAAACCATCCAATCCATCATTAAGCAGTAATTTATGACCCAATCCCAAGCAATTAAAAGAGATGAATCCCTTAAATTGTTTATGTAAAAAAAAAAAAAATTAGTTAAGACACAAGTTATTTCGAAAATATATTTTATTACAGAAGGAAAAAAAAAAATTCATGACCCACTTCATGGTAACACCCACAGCCTCCATTCCTAAACTTCCATAAATTTTTTCCTTTTTTTTTTTTTTCAATAGTCGGATATCTTGAGTTTTAAGAAACTGAATTCTTTTATGATTAGATTTTAGTTCATTTATCCATATCAAATTTAGTATTTTATCAGTAAATATATATATATATATTTTACTCTCATATAGATTTAAAAAATCGTTAACTGTTATGTTCTAGTAATATATATTTTTGTTTATACCTTTTTAAATTTTTTTTAGAATTATAATGAAACCAAATTCTTTTCAGATTTGATTATAATTTGTTTATCCATATCAAATTTAATACTTCCTCTGTCTCGAGAAAAAATGTTTTTTTTTTCAACTTTTTACACAAATTAAAAAATTTGTTAATTATCGTGCCATATTAATATATTTAATTCATAGTTTTCAAAAATATTTTTTATAAGTATATTTGAATAATATTTAATAACGCAAAATTTAATTATAAGTAATTTAAAAATAAATGCCACTTAGAAATTTAACCACAGAAATATTTTAAGATAAATAAAAATAAAAATAAATAAACAATTTCTTTGATACGAAAAAATACTATATTTATAAACAAAATTTCATTCTCAATCACATCAAATATTTTTTAAACGAAACCTTAATATTACAAACAAATCTGTTTACCATACAAACATTAAAATCCCAAAACATCACACACACTTTTCAGATTTTGTAACATCAAAATCTCTCACTTTCCATTAAAGAACCTTAAGAAAACCATTAGCGATTCCCCGAAGGAGAATCCATAGCTGTCTGATGCAACCGTTCGCAACTTCAACGACAAGACCTGTCCTTTTCTTTCTAAAAGTACCCAGCAGCAGATTCACGTTTTTTTGGAACTACAATAATATAAAAATTGTCAAGTTCATATAATAATAAAAATAATACAAGTAAGATACAGCATTTTCAACAAGAAAACGCGTTTTCTCACAGACCATTTTCTATTGACGTTAATTATAATAATAATCACAATTATTATAATGTTAATCCCAACTTAACTATTCATAAACTAAAATAAGTCAAAGAATTTCCGGAATGCAAGTCAAAGAAGCAATGCTATTTTTTATATTAAAAAATAATTATTTTTTATCGTGAAATGTAGCCATGAAATAAAATAGTAGAGTACATTAGTGAGATTAACCCAATCATTATTGATTATAAAAAGTTTCTTTTGGTCATTATTCTTCAGATATTGGTTTTGATGAGTAAATTTATTTTTCATATCTTTATCGTTTGAATTTAAATTTAAATTTTTATTTTCCAATTATGCATAATTTGCTTGAAATTTGATTAAAAAAAAAGATCAGCCCTTTGCTCTTGTGTTTTTGGATCGAAAATTCTTTAAAGATATATATAAATGTTAAAACATAATATCGATGCATGAAAGTTGACTAAAAAAAAATGTTGATTGTGAGGGAGAAATCTAAAATGAATTTTATTAAATGTCATTAATCTTAAACTTTCAAAATTTTAACATACATAACTTATAATTAACTGTAATATATGAAACCTAAGGGTATGATAGTTTAACAAGAGGCAAAAATTTATGATTTTTTCTTAAAGAAAAAAAACCCAAATTTTTTATTGATCGAAAATTATAAAACAAACTAAAACAAAACACTCAGTTACTATTCAAAACACTATTAATATACTCACATTTGACTATTCATACATCATTATTTATTTCACTATTCATGGCTTTTTTTTAACACTTTGGTCTTCGATTTTTTATATATTTTTTTTTCAATTTCAAACTCTAATTGTATTGTGATCTAATCCCATTTTGTTTTAATATGTTTTTTAATTATTTTTATTATTTAAAGTTTACTACTTTAATTTGTCATTTTTTAAAAAAAATTATCATCCAATTAATTTAAACTTTTTTAGTCCTCAAATTTTCTATACAATTTTTTTAATTTTTAATTTTAATTGTATTATGATTTTGTCCCATTTTGTTTTAGTGTTTTTTGTTGATTATTTTTATTATTTAAAATCTACAACTTCAATTTGTCATTTTTTTCAAATTCTCATCTAATTAATTTAAAATTATATTTAATGACAATTTTGATTTATTGTAATATTGTTCATTCTTTGGTAAATAAATATATAAAAATTAAATTCATATTTTTTCAAAAATCGATATTCTCGTCAACATTAAATAAATAAATAAAATTATTTTTTCAATTCTATGTGAGCTTTTAATAATTTTTTTTGACACAATCTTATGAAATACTAAAGCTTTCTAAAAAACATTATTTAATTTTCTTTAATTTGTCCTTTTTTTTAAAACAAAATTCTCATCCAATTAGTTTAAAATTATATGGTCTTCAATTTTTCTATACATTTTTTTTTAATTTCAAAATTTAATTTTATTATAATTTGGTCTCATTTTGTTTTAGTGTTTTTTGTTAATTATTTTTATTATTTAAAATTTACTACTTTAATTTGTCATTTCTTTTTAATTCTCATCCAATTAATTTAAAAATATATTTACCGACAGTTTTAGTTTATTTTAATATTATTCAATTTTTTGTAAATAAATATATAAAATTAAATTCATATTTTTTTCGAAAATCGATAATCTCATAACATAAAATAAAAAATAAAAAAAATATTTATTCAATTTTATGTAAGCTTTTAATAATTGTTATTTTTGTTTTTCGACACAATCTTATGAAATAATAAAGATTTTTTTAAAAAAATTATGTAATTTTATTTTTAGTTAATAATCCATGGATTAACAAGCATAAATCCTTTTTGTAAAAAAAAATAAATAAGAAAAACACGAATAAGAAATAGTTAAATATAAAAAATTTTATTAAAAAATTATAAATATTTTTTTCATTTTTGATTTCATATATTTTTATAGATTTACACCATAAAACAGACTATTAAATTGAAATAATTTTATATATTTTATCCAATTCGTAGTATAGAAAAATACAAACAAGAAATAGTTAAATATAAATTTTTTTTATTAAAAAATTAAATATATTTTTTTATTTTTTATTTCATATATTTTTATATATTTTATCCAATTCATAAATTTCATATATTTTTATAAATTTATATTATAAAATAGATCATTAAACTGAAATAAGTTTTCAAAATAATTTTATATAGTTATCTAATTCGTAGTATAACGCGACGAAAAAAAATCTAGTAAACCTGAAAAAAAAATCCAAATTTACCATTTATTACTACTACCACTCTTTTTTTCTTTTCCTTAAATGACTACGCTTTAGGGACCCACATGACACCTCATGTGATGACAATAATCAAACGGACAGAAATTTGGCATTGACCAATTAATGCATACAGTTCAATGCCACACAAGCTTCTGTCTGTCAACTTTCCTAAACATTTATAGCTAAGTAGCCAACTTCTCTCCTCGACTTTCAAACTTCTTCCTTCACTAATCTTTCCCTTCCTTCTACGTATTTCCCTCTTAATTTCCTTGCTACAGTTACTTCCGTAGCACCTAAGTTAAATCACAGCCCATCACCCGTCCGATGATCTGACTTTCTCTCGTTACCAACTAACTTCTCCTCCGTATCTTCTAACCATGGGACACTGCTGCAGCAAAGACGTGTCAGCAGTTAACAATGAAGCAATCACCGGCATCAAGCATCCTACTCCGCCGCACACGGCGGCAGTGGAGGTGGCTGCACCCGCATCGCGGCCGCCGATCCACAGTGACCACTCGAACTCGTTCGCTGCTAGCCCATTCCAGAGCCCACTTCCCGCGGGAGTCCGGCCTTCTCCGTCACCGGCGAGGACTCCCGGGAGGAAGTTCCGGTGGCCGTTGCCACCACCTTCCCCCGCTAAGCCGATCATGGCTATCATGAGGAGGCGGGGGCAGGGGAATCAGCAGCCGAAGGAGGGGCCGATACCGGAGGATGGTGGTGGCGGAGAGGGAGAGAGGGTGGCGGCGGGGACGGTGGTGTTGAATAAGAGTTTCGGGTATCCGAAGAACTTGGCGGCGAAGTATGAGTTGGGGAAGGAGGTGGGGAGAGGGCATTTTGGGCATACTTGTTTGGCTAAAGGGAAGAAAGGGGAGCTTAAAGGACAACCTGTTGCTGTCAAGATCATTTCCAAAGCTAAGGTACATTGTTTTCAGTGTTAGTCGTGATTAATCTATTCTGACAGTGGGTGTATTACATACGTGTGTTATTCTGTCGGTTGTTGTCAGCTTTTGTCTTGCTCTTTTGCCATGTGTTCCTTTTTCATACAGTAACTTCTAGGCTTTACTCATTTGTCCGAATGCCATAATTGACTGTGAGTTTGGTTTGCCGTTGGATTTGCAGTTAGGTTTAAAAAACACAATTGATGCTTTTCGCATTTCCAACTGCTCTTGACTGCAATACCAAACGAGCCATTAGTTTAACTAATTGTCTTGTTTTTGAAACATCACTTCTTGTTTCAAGTCTTGATATTGTTTAGTGTCCAGTATTGCTGACTTGAGCAGGCATTATCAATGCTGCAATGGCTCTTTGAGCTGAAATTGATTGTTTTGTTTAGTTGAGATATTGTATGACTGAATTAATGTTGGTGTGTTTTGGTTACTAAATGGGTGTTGATTGGCAGATGACAACAGCAATCTCAATTGAAGATGTTCGTCGGGAGGTGAAAATGTTGAAAGCATTATCGGGGCATACGAATATGATCAAATTTCATGATGTTTTTGAGGATGAAAATAATGTCTACATAGTCATGGAGTATGTATATCTTGTCTGTAATTTTTTGTCAAAACGGTTATTTATCTTACTCAGAGTTCAACCTTTCATTTTGGATGGCTCTTGCGTTGTTCTATACCTTTTCAAGAATTAAGTTGATGCTGATGATGAACCCCCCAATACAAATCAATCATTCCTTAGAGCATTCATTAATTATTTTGTTTCTTATCATGAGTGAATTTAGGCTTACTTTCTATGCCATTGCAAAATTTTAAAATTTGTTCTGAAGTTTCTTAAAATCTTTGTTATTTTCAGATTATGTGAAGGCGGGGAACTACTGGACAGAATTTTATCAAGGTAGTAAAGGAGAAGGGAATATCTATTCCTCGTGATACTTCAGATTTTAAGTTGTTCTATATTTTTTACTTAAGATTTTTCGTTTGACTCTATTCCTTGTGACTTCCATGTTGCAGAGGGGGAAGATACACCGAGGAAGATGCTAAAACTATCATTGTGCAAATTTTAAGTGTAGTTTCCTATTGTCATCTTCAAGGGGTTGTTCACCGTGATCTAAAGCCAGAGGTATGTCGATATGCATGCACACGAATGTATGCTATTGTTTCATTTGGAGATCTTCTATGTTTTGTCGAGTAGCAAACTCATGTTGTTGGATGCTATGCCATCGACTTCTTTTCCAGTTCTTAACTCTTAACCATGTATTCTGTGACAACTTGGCAGAATTTTCTTTTCACCTCGAGAGATGAGGATGCTTCGATGAGGATTATTGATTTTGGTTTATCTGATTTTGTTAGGCCAGGTATTTGCTTACTGACAAGCTTATCTAAGGGTTTTTATTTTCTCTGTGAAATTGTCCTTCTTACACTGCTTACATATTCAATGTGAGGTTGACTTGCTCGACTTAATAATGTCACATATAAAGCATTGAGTGCTGGATTGAAATGCTCAACATTGAACTTTTCCTCTTATTGATGCCTCAGGAAACTGTGTGTGCGATGCAGATTTCTTTGTTTTTTATTAGTTTTGTTCAGGTGATAAGGGCCTGTGTTCTCTTTAAAGTTTATGCTTACAAAAGAACCATTAACTTCTATGAATTGTGTTCTTAAAGAAGGACAATTAGGAAATTTTGGGTCAAAGAATAAGAAAATCGAATTATATCGAACCCATGAATGTTTCCCAGCCAACCTGCATTGGGTCCTCTGTCCTCGTACAAGCTTGGGTTGGCTGATTGCCAGCAACTTACATCATTGGTAATTCCATTTGATTTTATTTTGTTTGTGTCTGTGCTTCCAATTACATTTAGCTGCTTGAAGCAAAATGCAAACACTTTTATTGCGAGCTCCATTTCTATTTGAATATTCCAAATTATTAGAACTTCCAGCCATTATAAATTTATATTTATATAGAATCTTTGAAAAAGTTTGTCCAAAAAATCTGTTTCTGGTTATTTCTGCAATTAAATCCCTTTAATATGGTCTAGCTAAACTATAAATTTGAGAGCAAAACATTCAGTTCTTGTACATATGCAGATGAACGTCTCAACGATATTGTTGGCAGTGCATATTATGTTGCGCCTGAAGTGCTCCATAGATCGTACAATCTTGAAGCCGATTTGTGGAGTATTGGCGTCATAACATACATATTATTATGCGGAAGTAGACCTTTCTGGGCAAGAACTGAATCAGGAATTTTCCGTTCTGTGCTAAGAGCCGATCCTAACTTTAATGATTCACCTTGGCCTACTGTGTCACCAGAAGCTAAAGATTTCGTGAAAAGGCTTCTGAACAAGGACCACAGAAAAAGAATGACTGCAGCTCAGGCTCTAAGTAAGTCATCTGCAAATATTTCAGAAAACCTCCATTACTTCATTAAGCAATCACTGGAAATATAGAAACTCTATCTCTCTCGATTCTGGATATGCATGGGTTTGTGCATCCTTTTTGCCAACAGTTTCACTTGTATGTTTCTTTGTGGAAACTAATAAATGCACCTGCATTTGCAGCCCACCCATGGTTACGAGATTTAAATCAAGCTGTGCCTTTGGATATTTTGATCTTCAAGTTGGTCAAGTCATATGTTCGTGCCACACCTTTCAAACGCGCAGCACTGAAGGTATTTATACATAGACTCTTGTATTTTGATAAGTATCTTTTCCCTCACAAAGAGAGAAAGCAAAGGAAAATAATTAGATAGGCTGGTTTGTTTTCCTGAGTGATGTAACACTCGTGGACCATTTGGAGCATAGTAGTTTTTAATACTCATTGCATACTACTGAAGCTGGTTTTTTATTTGTTTTACTTTGCGCCATACCTTTCAAAAGTGCAACACTGAGGTTATTTATGCATGAACACTTGTACTCTGATAGGTACCAATTCTCTCGTAAAGAACGAAAGAAAAGGAAAATAATGGGATTTTATGAATTATGTCACGGAGTAATGTGTAGGTTGGTTTGCTTTCTTGACTGATGTAACACTTGTTGTCTGCCATTTGGATCATAGTAGCTTTCCATTTAATACCCATTAAGTACTATTGGGATTGGTTTGTTATTTGTTTCACTTTTGCAGGCTCTTTCAAAAGCCATTCCAGAATCTGAGCTCCTCTATCTCAGGACTCAATTTAATCTCTTGGAACCGAAAGATGGTTCGGTATCCCTTAATAATTTCAGAGTGGTTAGTCAAAGCATTCTTTTTCTTAAACCTCTATCTCTCTATGTTGAAATTTTGACATTTTCAAACAAAGGCTTTTAGTTTTTATATTCTTATCAAGCAGAGCATGTCACATGGCTGATTAATGAATCCAATTTTATATTATATTAGTTATTTGTTTTCCATTATATTCTTCTCACAAAAGATAAACTTGTGAAGTGCAGGCTTTGACCAGATATGTTACTGATGCCATGAAGGAATCGAGGGTTCTTGACATTTTAAATGTGGTAAGGTTTATTTAACAACCCTGCTGACTTCTTCCACAACATAAAAGAAAAGGAATTTGTCGATTCCGAAGTTCTACTTGCTTTATTCAGTACACTTTGACAGTTTCCTCTCTAAGATCTTTTGACTTTTATCTCGTTTAGGTTATGTTATATAAGGAAGTTGTTGAATACCTTGGAGCTTGGGTTGAAACATTTGACCAACTTATTTTCTTGGTAGGGAAATTTTGAAAAGTCAGCTCATCATCTGTTCCAGTGAGGGAACATTTACAATTGTCCTGACATTTTCCACTTTTACTCAAATGGCTACTCTGATAACTTTGCACTTGTGCTTGGAGTAGGATGTAATGAAACACGAAAAGAGCCTTGATAATAAATCACGAATCTCTTGCCGTTACTATTTCCTTTCGTTTTTTTTCCTGCTGTATCATTTTGAATTCTGCAAATGATGTGATTTAATGTGACTTTTGCATGAAGGGATTGCCATGCTATGAACCCTAATGTTGGAGACTAATACTTTAGCTTCCGATTTCAGATGGAACCGCTCGCAAATAAAAAAATGACGTTTGAGGAATTCTGTGCTGCTGCAATCAGCCCGTATCAGCTTGAAGCCCTTGAAGAATGGGAGAGCATAGCAACTGCAGCCTTTGAAATTTTTGAACAAGAAGGAAACCGGGTCATCTCAGTTGAAGAATTGGCAACGGTATCTGCATCATCTGCCATTTTACTACTAGCTAGCAATTTATGTTAAATTACACACCTCCTGACATTTAAATAATTTCTGCAGGAAATGAATTTAGGCCCTACAGCTCATTCTGTAGTCAAGGATTGGATTAGTAGTTCTGACGGGAAGTTGAACTTTCTTGGATACACCAAATTTATACATGGCGTTACGATACGCAGTTCGAACGCAAGATATCGATAACATAGCCAATATATATTGTAGAAATGTGACACTATTTTTTTGTACCGGACTTTTTTTTTATCAACCAAATCTGATTAGAGCTGTAGAAAGAAATGTCTAGGCAGGATCATGTTGAGATCCAATTTGCTTTGATTTTAACCCCATATTGTATGGCTTTTACGTCAGAAATTTCTGCAGGATCTTTCAGCACAGGTGGAGATTATTACCATAACCTTCTCTGTAAAGATGGAATACACATTCCTTGTTACAATTTTTTTTTTTTAGATTCTTCTCTTTATTTTTTGCTTCAAGATATGGCCAAGTGCTTATGTAATTAGGTCATAGAAATTGTGAGTTCCATACATCGGTTTTATTGATCGAAAAGAAAAATAAAGAGGAAAAAAAAAGCCTAAAGCATTTCAAGCAAGTTTGCCTAAAATGTTTTTTCCGAGTGGTGTTAATTTTTTGGTCGAAACTATAATATTAGACAATTCGTTGAACGGTGTGAGCTCAAAGAGAAAAGTTTCGAGAAATTTTATAATACACCCGGAGTAATTAGTGGTAAGGATTATCTTTGAATTAATTCGCGTGCCAATTGTGGTTAATTTTTTTTTCAATTGATCTTAAAAGAAAGATCTTATATCGATTTGGTGCATTTAAAACAATAATTTTTTTCTAAAGATTGACCTCTAAATTTGAAATCAAGAAATTAAGAAAATAAACATAATTTCTTGATCAATATCAAATCAAATATCCCCTTTAGGGTTGCAGTTAAAAACCCGACTTGTTTAAATTATTACAACAAAAGGATAGACAAATTTTGGATGTCTAACTTATCCTCTCTTTTTTTTTTTTTCCATTCAATTGCATGAAAAACTTATTAAAAAAATGATTATGGATGACTCTTATCAAAATTGTCTATTTTTGAGTGGAGAGATATTCATGTAATATAAATTAAATATGTCCAAATATATAATCGTAATAAAAATGAATAGATTACATATTTCATGTCATGATTGATTAAATGCTAAGTAATTTTTTTAAAAAAATTGGTGTCATTAAAAAAAAAATCTTTCAATTTATGTCAATACTTTAGGTTTTCTATTTATAAATGGATGACATGCACGTTATGTAATATTTATATAGCTAGATTATAGACTTTAAAAAAAAAAAAAAAAAAACTAATTTTTACATTTTTATCTCTGTAAATATGTCTAATTTACTATTCGAGTCCAATCAATTCTAAACCTTTAATTATCACTTATAATTTTATTCAAAATAAATATATCTAAACTTTTAAGATATTTTCTTACAATTCAAGGGTGTCCAAGATCCCCAATACATTAAACATTTAGCTCCTCATAAAAAAAAAAAAAATTAAAGCCCACAAAACATATGTAGTGGTTAGAAATTTGCAAAGTCAAATTCTATGTACCTAAAATTAAGAATGTTTGACTGTTCCATCCGTTCTTTTAGAGAACGTGCAGGAATCTAAGCTTGTAGGAGAACAGAAGAAGAAGAGTTCAAGAGGACCACAACAAATTAAATAGCTGGAAGAACCTTTACTGTATTTCTGAGAAACAACACGTAGAAGCAATGGTAGCTTAGAAGAGAAACTATTAGCAATTGAATTACGCTAATCCAGCCGCCAGGCATTTTTTTTTTTTCCATATTTTCCTCTTTCTTGAAGTTTTTTTTTTCAATAGTTATGATAGTTCTCGAACATAAGATATCGAAAAAAAATCAACCGTTAAGAAAAAAATGAATTATCTTTAATTAAATTTACTAGAATAAAAATCTCAAATTTAAAACAATTAGATTACTCTAATATTGAGGATGATATCACTAATTGAGATTAGATATAGCATTTTCTAATCCTAAAATAGGAATGATAGGTGACATTGCTAAAGTTTTGTTTTCATATTTTTTTGATAAACTATTTTTGAGTAAATTATAAACTAGTCCCTTTATTTTGGAGAAATGAATTAGTTAGTTCTTTTTTTTAAAAAGCCTAAGTAATTCGTCCCTTTATTCATGTTGATAAAATTGCTTTATTTAAAAAAAAAAATTTTTCTTATGGATCTTTCCATAATATCTATTTATTTATTTTTTAAAAAAAGAAATAAAAAAATTAGAAAAGAGCATAAAATGATAAAAAAAAAAAACTAAATAATTAGTGCTTATGTAATTAGGTCATAGAAATTGTGAGTTACTGCTTATCGAAATTAAAAAAAAAAAAAACTAAGCATATGAAGCAAGTTTACCTAAAATGTTTTTTTTTTCGAGTATTTTATTTTTTGGTCGAAACCATAGCATAAAGGATTCGTTGAACAGTGTGAGCTCAAAGAGAAAAGGTTCATTTATTCAAGGACAAATTGCAAAAACAAATGGGCTACAACCAGCCCAAAAGATTGGGGCTGAGCCTGGACAACAATCCAGCCCATGAGAGTTCTAGTAAGCCCAGAGGCCAGTGCCGAGGAGGAGTTCAAGAGGACCACAAACTCTAAATCTTTAATTAATTATCACTTGTAATTTTATTCAAAATAAATATATTTCTTGTAATTCAAGGAGTTCAAACTCCCCAATATATTAAACATTTAGCTTCTCATAAATAAAAAAAAAAAAAAAATTAAAGCCCACAAAACATATTTATTGGTTAGAAATTCACGAAATCAAAATCTATGCACCCAAAATTAAGAGTATTTGACTGTTCAATCCATTCTTTTACAGAACGTGCAGGAATCTAAGCTTGTAGGAGAAAAGAAGAAGAAGAGTTCAAGAGGACGACAACAAAATAGCTGGAAGAACCTTTACTGTATTTTCGAGAAACAACACGTAGAAGCAATGATGGCTTAGAAGAGAAAATATTAGCAATTGAATTACGCTAGCTAATGCAGCTGCCATACATTTTTCCCCCCATATTTTCCTCTTTCTTGAAGGGGGTTTTTTTTTCTTTTTTCTTTTTTCTTTTTTTTCAATGGTTATGATAGCTCTCGAGCATAAGATATCGAAAAAAATCTTAACGAAGTACCTTTAATTAGCTTTATTAGAATAAAAATCTCAAATATAAAACAATTAGATTATTATAATACTGAGGATGATATCACTAATTGAGATTAGATATAGCATTTTCTAATTCTAAAATAGGAATGATAGATAACATTGCTAAAGTTTTGTTTTAGTATCTTTTGATAAACTATTTTTAAGTAAATTATAAACGAGTCACTTTATTTTGAAGAAATAAATTAGTTAGTTCTTTTTTTAAAAAAAATAAAGTAATTTTCCCCTTTATTCATGTTGATAAATAAATTTTTTCATCGATCTTTACATAATATTTATTTATTTTCATGACAAAAAAAATTAGAAAAGAGCATAAAATGATAAAAAAAAATATTAAATAATTAGTTTTTTTTTTTAAATACAAGAATAAAAAATGAATAAAAAACTAAATAATTAATTTTTTTTTCAAAACTAAAAGGATTAATTTATAATTTGCTAGTTATTTTTTACAGAATCATGATGCATCGCACGGGAAAAAAAAAAAGGAAAAGAAAGTGATACAAATGTATAAATGGCATGATTTGTAATAACATGCAACTTTATAGTTCTTTATTGTAAAAGTGTATTCGTGTAACTTCCGTTAACAAGTTTCGTGTATTTGACCTTTGTTGCTCTTTTATACATGCTTTTAAAAACATTGTTCACGTAAAGTGACGAAGAAATTATCCTTGAAAAAAAATTGAGATTCAAATTATATAGTATTGTTAGAGTAAGTTATAAATTATCTCTTTTAGTTTTTAAAAACGAATTAAATAATCTCTTTAATTTTTAAAATTAATCATTTAATCTTTATGTTTTTAAACATATTAGTAATTTAATCCTTAATTTTGTTGTTTTTCAAATTATTTTATTTTTATTATGTGTGTTTTTAAAGGAAGGTTTGACAGACATTGGATCAAATAGGAAGGATACCATCAATAAATTGTTGGTCTAATAATAAATAAGTTGATCTCTAGTCATTTTTTTTCGCCAATATTATGTTGAATTCGAATTTTAGAATCGAATTTGTTAAAAGAAATTAAATTTTATCGTTCTTGCTTTAAATAAAATTAGTCCTATTTCTAATGTAATGAAATGAGGATACTTGAAGGGGAAAAAAAAACAAAAACAAAACAAGGAGGAAATCACCTTTTAATTTTAAATCTAAAAATGATAGTGAGAATTTATTACTACCAATGGCCAGCTAGCCATTACCAAGATTACAAAAAGCTCAATTACATGTCCAAACTTAGTAAATCGGCCGGCTAAACTGTCTTTAACATTGTCCACCTCAACAAGGATATGCTAGCCAGATACATTATTTTAGCTTATGGTGCGAAAAATATAGAGTATATAAAATTAGAAAGGGTAAATAATTCAAATTTCCTTTAAATTTTATGTAATTTGAGAATCAGTTTACAAATTGTGATTTCGAGTTCGATTTTTTTCTAATTATTTTTATTTTAAAATTGAGATTTTTTTGTTAAGTTTTTATCAATTTCAACGTACAAGTGTAATTTTTCATTTAAACAACATTTTAGAAAAAAAATTAGAAAAAAAATATTCATAAATTTTTTATCATATTTTTAACTATCGAGAAAGTTAAAAAGTAAATATTTATATACAAGTAATTTGTATTTTTATTAGTAGAATTGATGGAGACTCGACATAGAAAAACTCGATTTCAAATGAAAAAAATAATTAGAAAAAGTTTAAACTGAAATTAGAAGTTGAAAATTTTTAAACGAATTTTAGATTTAAAAGATATTCGTAACGTTTTAGAAATTAAAAGAAAGAAAGATGCAGTTCCAATATTGATGCAAGTAAACAGCAATTAAAGCGAGCTTGTGGACCTCTCGAAGAGTCGGTTTCCATGGGACCAAATTGTTTCAATTCAGCTGTTCTGTCACATGCACTTGATGACTTTAAGGGGCACCTATCGGCCAAATTGTTCAAGAAAAGTCACCAATTGGGAAGTTGTCAAGAATTTGTGGCACATTTCCTACCCAGTACTGAGATTATTATGTTTTTTCCACACACGATAGATATGATTTGTAATCATTTGCCGTGGGCACCATATTTTTTAATTCAATATCTAGTTGAGGATTGATGACTTTTTTAGCTAGTAAGCATGACGCAAACCACCCTTATATCAATTTAAAATATAATAACATTGTGGTTGGTAAGTTTAATTAGCGGTAGTTTTCTATAAATTATCGAAGGATTATTACGATTATTAAATAATATTAACTCATAGCATTTTTTTCGTTTATCTTCATGAACGTACCATTTGATTTATTATTACTTTTTGTTTATTGAATTTATGTAGTTATTATTTATATAATTTTAGAATCTCTATTTGAATTATTTAAATATATATATATATATATATATATATATATATATATATATATATATATATATATATATAAAGGGATTTATACAGTTAGTATTTTCATTAGAGGTTTCCAACAAATCACAAATTGTAATTCAATATCCGTCTTTTTTTATTTTTTTGTCTCAGGTTCTAAGATATTGATATATATAGAGATTTGTTCGTGATGAAAGACAAAATAAAATTACAATTAATTATTAATTATTATGAACTATGGCTTATTAACTAGACAGAAATAAAATTAAAATATAATTTATTAACTAAAAAGAAAAGATGGAAAATCGGTTAATGGTTCGAACTGTTTTTATATAATATATCTTATGCTTTTAATTGAATAAATTTCTTCTACTGGTTTGCAAGAATATTTTAAAAATAAAATTTAATTATGTATAAATAACTTGATCATTTAACATAAAAATATGAGTATAAAATTAATTCTATTAAAGATAAAAAAAAAAAAGATTGAAAAATTACTTATAGCACTGAGAACGACGCCAACTCGATCTGGATGTTTGAAATAGACGGTTAGGGTTTTTTTTGTATAGGATATCAATGCATAGAGTTTTTTTTTTTTTTTTTTTTTTTTTTTTAAGGATTGTATGGAATTACAATTAAGAGTAAAATAAATTGGAAGCCATTTACATGATTTTGGATTTTTAAAAGCTATTGAATGATTAAATTCCTTAAAAAACTATTACCATAATTGCAAATAGAAATTAAAAAAAAAAAAAAAAAAAGAATAGCTTGCTGAAGGAACTCGATGCTTATCTCTACATGTATGGTCTATTTACATGGAATATATTCCAACTAATATTTATCATAGAATTAAAAAAAAAAAAAAAAAAGTGAAAGAACACAGAAGGAATCAAATTCCATGGCTCTAAGCTAACCCTCTGCCCCCTTCCAAGTTCTAGCCGTGTCTTATACGGCTGAATCTAACATCCCTCGCTTCTTCAGCTGCTAGTTTGATAGTCAACTCTTTCTTGTGTTCACACCAACAAGAAATTTAGCAGGAAATTACATAAGCAAAAAAAAAAAAAAAAAAAAAAAATATATATATATATATATATATATATATATATATATATATATATATATATATATTTCGAGACATGAATATAATAATAAAAAAAAGGGTTACACAAGAGATTGTTTTAATTAATTTTTTCATTAAATTTTTTTCGTGATGATCAAAATATACATATTGGACTGCTGGCTAATCCAGGTAGCAGAGACATGCAAAGGACAAAACAAACGAAAATAGAAAGAAATATTTTTGTACACAATTGCATAAATAAATCAAACCCTAAAGCACCAAATATGATGATGATGGTTATGGTGATGGTGGTGATGATCATGGGAATTTTCCTCTTCAATCATGCCTTGAACATTGCGAAACTCCTCAACATGGCAAGGAATGGCGATGGGGCCTTGCTGATCAAATCCATACTCTTCCTCAGCTTCTTTCAACAATTGCATGAAGAGTGGGTGATTTATATAAATCACAGGAATCACGAACCTCTGCTGCTCCTCCTCTGATTGACCTACCATGACGGCAAGACACCCTTTTGGGATATCCTTCAACTCTTTCCTCTCATCATGGTGGTGGTGGTGGAAGTGGAGGTTTGGCAAGTGAATATGGAAATTCAAATGGTGTTTATCTCCACTCCCCATTTCTCCACAACCCAAAGAAAAGAAGACAAAATCAAAGAAACAAATCAAAGAGAACAACCTTAAAGGCCTACGCTTGCTTTTCTTTTCTTTTCTTCTCTGGTTTTTGCAAGTGTCACTAAATTCTTGGATTTTGGTTATAAAAGAGCAGTAGAAAAGGGCCAAGGGTCAGATGCAGAAATGGCAAGCTTGAAAAGGGTGAAAGAAGAGTCTTGGAGAGATCTTGGTATGTTGCTCATGATATATGAAAATCAAAGAAAAACAACATAAGCACAAGAGAAGAAAAATTGAGAGGCTGTGTTGTGCTCGAAGATTTGCTTATATAGGAGGGGATGGAGCTAGGTTGAGATGGTTCTAGCTAGCTAGGATTTGCTTTGCTTAGGCTGTACTCAAAGATCGAACTGCAAAGAGTTCCCATCTTAGGTAGGTTTTTTATTTATCTGCCGTCTAAGATAAGAAAAAACAATTACAGATTTTACAGCTGGAATTGAAACACGCTATGTCCAGGTATTTTGGTGGAAACATTTGACTTTTTGAAGAAAAGGGAAGGTCCATTAAGTTTTAAAAAAATAATAAAATTTCACCATTATTTGTTGCTAGGATTAGGGTCATATAGTTGACATTTATTGTATGAATAAAAGTTTGCAGATTTTTTTAATTAGAAAAGGATCGATGTTACCTTTTTTGGTAAATAAACAATCCTTGGTAATTTTATTAGAGATTTTTTTAAGTTGAACATGATATTTAGAGGTGGCAAATGGGTGGATATGGGTTAGGTGTAAATGGGTCGGGGTCATGTTGACCCATCAACTTGAGTTTGTTTTTTTTGTAAGAGAGAGGAATTTAAAACCAATTTTTTCTAAGAAAATTGAAAAAATGAACGAGTGGTGTTGAAATCTATGTCTTGTAAGTTTTAATAGAATGGAATTGATAAATCTTAATGAAGAAGAAAATTAAATTTTATTTTTTTTAGATCTTAAATTGTATTTTTTTTTTTTTGAGGAATGAGAATCATTTTGAATTTTATTACCCGGATTTTTTTTCCCAGATGGTTGAATATTTCTGTTTACTAATTTAGGAAATAATATCTTCGATCTTTCTCCATTTTTGGGTGATATTGATTTTATTTGTTTTCGACTAATAAATCAAACCTATCTAGATGGTCATAATGGACTATTCACATTTTCACACGCCAAGAATATTGGAAGTAGTAGAAAGTAAATTGCTCTTAGCAATTAATTGATACAATTATTCTTATCATTTCAAAGTTTTTGCCTAACTTTTTCTTAAAAAAAAAAGAAAAAGAAAAGGTACAGTTTGCTTAACTGATAAAACACGTGGATAATGATGAAAGCAAAAACGTCAACCACGTAAGAAATGTGGGAACCCGGTAGACAGACAAGGAGGTGCTCTGTACACGTCAGCATGAAGGGAACACCCAATGGCAAGCCTTGAAAATGGAGTAGATTATAAACCAGTCCCTCTAGTTTTGTAAAATAAATCAAATAATCCATTTTGTTTCAAAAATTAATAAATTAGTCTCTTTATTAGTATTGATCATGAGTAATTTAATATTATATTATTTTAAAAAGAACTTTTTTCCATCCGTTCTTCCTTATTTTTTACTTATTTTTTAATTTTTAAAAATAAAAAATCAAAATAAATTGAACATGAATGAAAAAACTAAAATTATGAATGATTTTAAAAATATAAAAACTAATTAATTAATTTTGAAACTAAAAAAATTATTTAATTCGCTTTAAAAAACTAAAGAAACTGATTTACAATTTATTCCTTGAACATTTCCACTTCACAGAGTTACCATTTTTAAAATCACTACTACTAGTAGTTTGATTAATTAATTACTAATTTCTTGTTTCTTGACATGTGATTTTCTGTGTTTAACAGTTTGAAAATTGCACTCTTTTATTTTCATTTGTCTCAAAAAGTTTGTGTTTTTCTGACTTTTCATATAAATTAAAAATTTTATTAATTGTCATGTTTTGTTTATATTTTTTAAAATTATATTTGAATATTTTTTTTATAAAATAAATTGAGGGAGTACACAAATTAAACACGGTTAAGGAAGCAAAATCAGAGATGATGGGTTTATTACCAATTTTACCCTTGAGGTATTTCTATAATGAATGACACCTGTACGGGGGTCCCCCTCAGTCCAGGTTCCATCAAGGGCCGGATTTTGTGGCTGATTTCACTGCAAAAGCTTTGTGATCATCGTCTCTCTCTCTCTCTCTCTCTCTCTCTCTATATTACCAATCATCATTGCCACGCATCGTAGTTTTTTACCAAGTCGGAAATCTTAGCGCCGGGGCTCATGGCCTTCCCATTGCCCCCACAGGCACAACCATGGAAGAACTCTTTTTATCTACTTTTTTTTTCTTGGAAGTTCCAACACATCCTTAAGGTTGAGCAATGATGGATCATTACATTATAATCTTATAATTGAAGTAATCATTTCCCAATTTCCAAATTTATAAAATCTTCTTTTTATCTTTTTTAACAGCAAGCTAAGAGGATTGTAAGAAGAGCATCACAACTATTTTTTAACTCAATATTAAGAAATATCTCGAATCGATTTTTATATTAATTAAGATTGATTTTTTTATAACAATTTTAATAACACATCATTCTACATCGATTTAGTGAATTAGTAGCCTCGTACGTTTGTACAATCATATATAAAAGTTATGGTTGTGAATGTTATGAAATTGCTTTTTAATTTTATTCGACAATAAGATATCATCTCGTCAAATTGTAGATCAATGGACATAATATTTTTTTTAAAATAATTTTAAATTTATAGTTTTTATGTCGGACCGATGTAATTAGAAAAAATAAAAAATTTCAAATTACATTTGATACGAGGTTAAAAATTGAAGGAAACTTTTATATATATATATAATTCGTAATTATTAAGGATGTGAAAATTAGTTTTTAAAGATATTTAATGTGTTAATAAATTGAGACATAGGTTAGAAGAAATGAGATATAGAAGCACCTATAGATACTTTAACGTGCTAAAAAATAAATACTTTAAATAATTCAACGTAGAAATTTCCAAAAGATTCACCTATTTAGTGCATGTGATGGTGAATTCCAGATAGTGGGGAAGAAAAAATTAGGTTGCGGCTTTTGCCCCACCCATAAGTTGGGAAATCTATGATCATATCCATTTGGTCCCTTTGCATTGATTTTCTACAGTTTTTTATTTTCTCCTTTATTCTTTGCACTTGCTTCTTGCTTTCCAGATCAAGATCTGCCCCCAAATGGATGGACAAGATGACCTGCAACAATGGTCAATCAAAATCCATTACAAAAAGGTGAAAGATAAAGCTCATCCCACCAGTTTCGAATAATTATTAGGTCTTAAATCATTGTCAAATGCGATCAACAACACTAAATGTTAATGTCAGCGAAAAATTATTATTAATTAAGATAAAACATCTCAATTTGTGATGATTATCAAAGATAGCCAAATACCAACAAGAATTGAATAGATTTTAGAAACTTCAAATATTTTTGAATTTGCTATCGATCCTTGTAATTGACATGACCTTTGGTTTTCATTTTTCCACTATAAAATGACGCACCCTCCAATGAGCTGAAAGAATACGGCAGAATAAACTACTACATAATTTTATTTATTTATTTTTTAATAATATAGTCTTGTTTAGTTGATTATGATTTGTTTTAGGTAGGTGACAAGTTGGTAGTTGGATTTTGCAAGGACCACGATTTTCGTTGGAGCTATTTGCAACCTAATTTACTAATAGTTCCGTGCAATTAATATCGTGGGCAGTACACCTTTCAAAACTTCTAGGTAATTGTGAACAAAAACTACCTGAAGTTTGACTTAATCAATTTATTAACATTCTAACATTTTCTAAATCAAACATTAACAAACTCTAGACAACAAATCAATTGACAAGCCATTAAGTTTGAATAAAATGATTGAGATATGGTTTTATATAATATAAGTTTCTAACCAATGGTGAGCCCTATTTAGTTAAAATCGAAAAATAAAAACGAATCGAATCAAATTGGTAATTTCGGTTTGATTTTGTAAAAAAAAATTTAAAAAAATTTGAGATAAAAAACCAAAAATACTTCAATTCGATTCCTTTTTTTTTAAAAAAAAATTTGATTTTCTGTAAAAACCGAATTGTTTTTTTTTAACACACACACCCAAGACTCAAAGCATTTTACTATGACTTTTTTTACTAAAACTTCAATTCAAGCTATTAACATTTCTTAAAAATTAAAAAAAAAATTTATAAAAAAATGGCATTTCAGCTTGATTCAAGAAAAAATTCAAAATTTAGAAAAAAAAAAAGTTTTAACCAAAACCAAATGAGAAAATTCAGTTTTTTAACCAAAAAATCAAACCTCAACTCGATTCGATTTTTGTCTTAATCAATTTGATTAACAAAAAAAAAAAAAATGATCACCTCTATTTCTAACTACCAAAACCTTCCTTAAGTTTAACCTCCTCAAACTCATTTTTCTAAATGAAAATTTTACATTGTTTTTTATAAAAAATTTTCATTTTTAGATATCTCAAAAATAAAAACATACCCATACTCATGACATGACATATTATAGTGATAGAATGATGATAAAAAAGAAAGAAAAGGAAAGTGAGATTATCAGTTGAGAGATAGAGAGACAGAGTAAAGTTTAGGGATATGGTGACAATAAGTGTGACAAGGACAAACTTCAAGAAATTGCCATGTCAATGGCACCATTTCTTTATGGGTTAGATCTTAGCTACGTGGTTAACATTACCAATTCAAAAATATTAATGGAACTAGAAGTCATGACGATAAGGAAAAAAAAAAAAAAATCTAGAAGGTCAAATTGTAAGAAAATTTTATAAAAACTACGAAAGGAGAAAATGCAATTTGATAAAGAAAGGGAGCGTAGAGTAAAGAATAATAAAAAGACAAAGCAGTCCAAAAGACTTGGATGAAAAAGTGCACTTT